GAGGAAGAAATAAAGAGGTAGAGTGTTGGCATTGCTGCTTGTATTTACTGGGTAGAGACCAGACACTGCTAAACATCTAATGGGACACAGACTAGTCAAAGAACATCAATAGTACTGAGGTTGAGAAATACTGACTTAAAAATAATTTTATGGGGCCCGGCAGCGTGGCCTAGTGGCTAAAGTCCTTGCCTTGAACCTGCTGGGATCCCATATGGGTGCCGGTTCTAATCCCAGCAGCTCCACTTCCCATCCAGCTCCCTGCCTGTGGCTTGGGAAAGCAGTTGAGGACGGCCCAAGGCCTTGAGACCCTGCACCTGTGTGGGAGACCCGGAAGAAGTTCCTGGCTCCTGGCTTCGGATCGGCATAGCATCAGCCATTGTGCTCACCTGGGGAGTGAATCATTGGATAGAGGATCTTCCTCTCTGTTGCTCCTCCTCTCTGTATATCTGACTTGCCAATAAATAAATAAATCTTTAAAATAATAATAATAAGAAGAAGAATTTTATGTCCTCCTAAACGTTTTCACCACTTCAGGAAGCTTTCGGCGCTGTTGTTCGTTCTCTAGACATTAACCAGCCTGGAAAAATGACAAGGTGTCTTGACAGGCAAGCTCATCACCTTGTTGTTGAGGGAGGCAGAGCTGTGGGTCCAACGATAACAGATGGCACCCCAACTGTGAGCGAAAGCAAGCTTGACCCCGACTTACAGGTTCCCTTTAGAGCTACGTGTTCTGTGGGGACTAATCTGTGAGCTGGCATATCTGTTCAGAAAGTATGCAATTCTCAGAGTTGCTTCCTAGATCAGGGTTGGATTCAGAGGCGCACAGAGATGTATCTGTCTTTTAACTCTGTTGTCGTTTATTTTCCCACATGGAATCCCATAAGCCCAATAATCAGGACCACTCTTCAATAAGTTTTCAAATCATCACAATGATTCTGGAAAACGGACTCCCTGCAACCTGGCAGCAAGCTGACCAGCCTGGGATGGCTATATATTGTAGTTACCTATAGACTAGATTACACATGCCAGATTTTCCAAAATCATAGTTAATGCATCAGCAAATCTATTTCTGTGGTTATTCTTGAAGCCAAAGAAGCATCAACTGAAAACTCTGCCAAGCCTTGACAATCTGGGCAAGCCTTTAACAGCACAGGACCTCGGCAGATCCCTCTACAAATGGTCTTTGAAAGAAATTCTGTGTCTAGAAAAGAAAAGCCTCCTCGCCATATCTCCTTTCCATTTTCATTCTTGACTCAACTGAAAAAATTTTAAAAAGTGCTAAAATTTGGGGAGAAAAAAAACCCATGATGTAGGATTTTTTTTTCTTTAAAGGTCCTCTTCCTTGGGAGACACATCCCCCAAGAATGGCCCTGGAGCTTCCCAAGTCTTCCATCTAGAATGCTATATTCAAAACTATAAATAACAACAAAAGGACTACCTCGCTTTTCCCCATAAAAACAACTGAAATAATTATCTAATTGACTTCTTTCCTGCCATCTACTGGGTGAAACTGATACTACATGTGGTAAAGGAATACAAGCAAAGGTCTTTGTACTGTCTTGCTTCTTTTTACTTCTTACCATGCAATGACTTGTTTTTAACTTCATTTCTTGCTCTGCAAACACCCACAAGATACATATACAATAAGATGTTATATCAGTTGTTTAGTAAGTAATTATGAAATGGTTCTTCATTTAGTAATTTTGGATGTTGCACGGACCTTAATCAAAAAGACTATTTCAAGGATCTTAAGGACATCTCTTCCAAGAGCTGCAAACTCCCGCAATTGTAGCAGACAAAAGCAATGAGCTGATTTCTAACAACCCTGAAACAGCCACCTATTCACCTTATTCACCCAATACTAATCTGCAAGATCTCCAAAGTATTGTTTCAGACACTATTTTTCAGTCCTCTGGCTCACACAGATCAAAGCTGGTCCAGCCTCATTTTGAGAGCCTTAATGCACTCAAACGCAGCTGGACTCTGGCTGGACTCTGGTTTTCTTCCAAAACTGAATATCCTTTCTACTTTTCTATGTCCTCATTACCAGTAAGTGCTGAAAATTTGAAACTGTTTTCTTCATGTGAAGTCTCCGAACTGTCTGCAATGCACTAATTAGCATTTAGGCGCAAATGAGCACCCCAAGGATCTGCGGTGCCTGCTGTTACCCCGCATACCTGGCATGTCTCGCACTAGCAGACCTAACACTTACCAAACAGATACATTAGCAGTTGGCAACTCATTCCCAAGATTTCTTCAAAGTGACTATTTCAATGATATTATAACTTGGTGTCTAAAATTTCACTTGAAACAGGTTCACTTTATGAATAATTTTTCATGAATTATATGTTACAGTGCCAAAGCTGCTATAGTCCTACCAATAGCCACTGATGTAGCATTCGGACTTAAGCATGTGCCCTTACCTGCTGATAGGAACACTCCCCAGTCTCTCATGCCTTACAGGGATGGTCAGCATGGCAACCATCAGCAAGCCTAGAGAAAACTTGTGTTCTTCTGAGACCTGGAAAGGCGCTCCCACAGGGTACAGGAAGCTTTTCTATAAGAGAACATTTATACAAACAAACAGCATGAAAGAGTTTTCTCCATCTAGAGGGAACAACCTGAGCAAGAGAAGCCATGAGGCTGACGCTCACTCCCCAGCTCCTGTATCCTCAAGACAAGCACAGTCTTCCTGAGGATTGGTATCTGCCTTTGGGCCCTCAGCAAGCTGGGTCTCTTTGGGGGCAATCTGCAAGGCCACTGGCATCTTTCTGCTAATGTCCTTCCCATCCTTATTATTCATCCTAGTATCAGCACAAACCTGGCTATTCCTGGATGTTCAGCATTCACTTAGGGAGGCTGTTCACGCTCACAGCTTGCGCAATAACCTCACTCCCTTGATAATGACATGAATCCATTCATGAGAGTGCTGACCCAAAGCCCAGACAGCTCCCGTTAGTCCATATCTCCCAGTACTGCCAAACTGGGGATCAGCTTCTACCAAATGAATTTTGGGAGATGCATTCAAACCACAACAAAAGATGACAATATTTTGTTAAACTCAAATTCAACCAAAGTTATCCTATTACATTTATGACCTAATCTGAGAAAACCACATAACAGAATACAACTCATACAACCATTCCTTCGGTAGAAAAGATGGGTTCTCTTTAGTGACCTTAACATATTGATCCATGTGGCAATTACCGCTGTAATACAACAGTACAATATGATAATGGTAACCCCATTACAGCACAATGGAATGAAAGAATTGCAGAGACAGAAGAGACATAGAGAGTGAGAAAGAGAAATCTTCCATGCACTGGTTCACTCCCTAAATGGCTGCAATGGCCAGAGTTGAGCCACTCCAAAGCCAGGAACCTGGAACTCTATCTCAGTCTCCTACATACATGCCGATGCCACATGCACTTGGGCCATCTTCTGCTGCTTTAGCGCATTAGCAGGTAGGTGGATCAGCTGAGATTGAAGCAGTGTGGATACAAGGCCAGCCTCTCATATACCTTATAAATTCAAGAACATAACAGTGGTGGGTATTTGGCTCAGCAGATGTGTCCCGGTACCTGCAACCCAAGTGGGAATGCCTGGGCTCACATACTGTCTCTTATGATCCCAGCTTCCTGCTAATGTGTACCCTGCGAAGCAGCTAACGAGAGATTAAGTTATGGGGTCTCTGCTGTCCGTGTGGGAGATCAGGACAGAGTTCCAGGATCCTGAATTTGGCCTAGTCCAGCTCTGGCAGTTGCACTAGGCAGGAGTTTGGGATTTGAACTAGCAGATGGTAGAGCTGTCTGTTTACCTTTCAAATAATACAAAGAAAAGAAAAAAAGAACACAACCAATTATAACTACTGGTAATTGATAACCCTTTATTTTGAGCAGTGCTACACTGGTTTAACATGGTCAGATGCTGTTTGTTTCCACCTGTAGCACCTGTATTCCCACATTGGCTCTGGTTTGTAGGCCCTGGTCTCCCAAGGGTTAACTCCACAGCTCAGCTGTTTCTCAAAGGTGTAACAGGAAGGGCAATCATGGCCTGATACATTTAGCCCGTGGCTTGACTGCAATTTCCCTCCTTCCTGCTTCCCCTTTTTGCATGTCCTTGGGGGAGCTTAGGTGTTGCTTAACCATTGGGAAGATCCTGGGAGGGGCCAAGCAGACTATATAAGAGAGTTCGACTTTGAATAAAGGCTTCACTTCACAAGAATGAGCCTCTGTGTGTTGTGTGTGTTGTCTGTCTTGTCTGTCTCATAACCCTAGTCCCTCCGCTCGACTCGGGGCTCGGGGTACGTGGCAATGCGGGCATTGCCAACACTGGTTCAAATTCTGGCTGCTCTACTTCAAATTCATTTCCCTGCTAATGTGCCTGGGAAAAGCAGTAGTAGATGGCCCAAGTCCTTGGGCCCCTGCCCCTGCACCCGTGTGGAAGATCCAGAGGAAACTCCTGTCTCCTGACATCAGACTGGCCAAGTTCCAGCTGTTGCAGCCATTTTCGGGGAGTGAACCAGGGATGGAAGATCCCTCTTGGTCTTTCCTTCTCTAACTCTGCCTTTCAAGTAAATAAATTAATCTTTCAAAAGAGCGAGAGAGTGAGAGAGAGGATCTTTGCAAAGTAACCACACTAAAATGACTAGTTCAAGTATAAAAGGGAATTTTGGCATGGACACACATAGAAGGAAAATGATATAAAGAAGGCAAACCACTTACAAGACAAGGACAGAGTTCTGGAACAGATTCGTCCCCTAGTGCCTGCTGAAGGAATCAGTCCGGCTGACCCCTGCATCTAAGACACACAGCCTCCAGCAGTGGGAGTCTATATACACACTTAAGCCATTTGTAGTCCTTCACTGTGGTAGCCATAGCAAACTGCTGAAGGAAGCCTCAGCACTCACCACATCCTCAGAATGTTGTCCTTGTCTGTCTAAAGGTCAGGCTGGCCTGGTGAAGGAAGTCTTGAAAGGTTCCCCTCTTCCAAAGATGCCTGAACTAAGCAGAGGTCTGCAACCAAAACAAAGGGCCAAGACTTGTAGGTGGGAGGAACGGCATTGTTAAATGCCCTTTGTGTAACCACAAGGGACAGAAGACAAGGGTCTATGACAAAGACAGTGAGGAGTACCCAAAGAGAAGAGGCCAAGTACCCGAAGGCAAGCGGCAGCTGGGATCTGACGGCGCAGGCTTTGCGGAGCTGTGTTGATGCTGGACTTCATCTCCAAGTGCTCTGGGATGAGAAAGCCAGGCACCAGTTAGGAACGTGAAACATCCAGCATCATCTGTGAGGCAGCCTTGCTAAAACATCAAGCATAAACCTAGTCTAGGAAATAAGAGAAACAGAAAAGCAAGTTAAATATTTACTAAACAGAAAATCAGACAAATCCAGATTGTGGAATATTCTCAGTAACAATTCAGCCAGTTCAAGCGCTCAGTGGTGAGAGAAAAAAACAATATGATGGAAGAAAGAGAGCTAGAATTAGAAAGAAAAAGGGTATGACAGAATAAAAAAGCAAACCCCACATAATTGTTGTTTGGATCTTGAATAGAACAACTCAACTACAGACACCATTTGCAAGCATTTGTTAAACTAGAATACGAATTGGACATTAGTTGTTACTAAGAAATTACTGCTAGCAATTTGGATAAATATGCTGTGTCTTCCCATTAAAGTTGTAATCTCGACAGCACAAAACTGCATGAAAAACAGTTATTAAAGTATATGTACGTGGTGCTGATACTGAATCTCAGGATTTCACATCTAAAGGCCCAGCACAGTAGCCTAGCGGCTAAAGTCTTCGATTTGCACATGCTGGGATCCCATATTGGATCCAGGAGGCCCCGCTTTCCATCCAGCTCCCTGCTTGTGGCCTGGGAAAGCAGTTGAGGACGGCCCAAAGCCTTGGGACCCTGCACCCATGTGGGAGACCTGGGAGGAAGTTCCTGGCTCCTGGCTTCAGATCGGCACTGCACCAGCTGTTGCGCTCACTTGGGGAGTGAACCATTGGACGGAAGGTCTTTCTGTCTCTCCTCCTCTCTGTATATCTGCCTTTCCAATAAAAATAAATCTTTTTAAAAATTTCATATCTGCATACAAGGTCAAGAAGCAACTAGGAAATATTTCCTATCATTCAGAATGACTGAATTGTAGAGGTGGGATTGTCTAGAAGGAAAGGACACAAAGCTGACAATGGCACAGTTGGTCTGGAACGCAGACTTTGGACAAGAGCCCAGGGTGCACCTGTTTCAGAACAACTTACAGGGATGTTTTTCTTGTTTCCAAGTCCTGGGTGGCTCACCATCCAACTCCTTCTCCTCTCCCATTTGACTTTACGTTCTTGCTCTTCCTCCTCATTCAATTTTCCATCTCCAGACATTTTAATTTATATTCACCCAAAAACTTTCACTGTCCTTGAAAATGCTGACAAAGGTAAAACTGTAACTGAGAAAGAATAATGAGTGGAAGAAAAACATTTCTAAACCAAGGACACAACAGCTGCTGTATAAATCTGCAGATTTACATGCCTCCTTCACCTTCTGGCTCTCATGGCCACAGTTTCCTGCCTGCCCCCCCAGCTTTATCAGTGAACACATAATAGCTTTTCATCAATCATACAAGTCTCAAACAGGAGAAATTTTTTTTAAGCCATTGGTACAAAACAGAACAAATACTGCTAAACACCCTATCTCTGTTCCTTGTTTTGTCTTTGCTTTTCAACTCACAGCTGCTGTAAGGACCAGAGGTCAAAATGTCATGAGTCACCACAGGCCTTTTAGTAGTACATTGTTTTTTTAAAACTATTTACATACATTTAGCTAAAATATTTAGGTTCTAGGAAGCTGAATTATAATTAGCCAATACGAAGTGTTTAGCAATCTGAGTACTCTGAGACTCAGCCACACTGCTGAATTTACAAATTAAACCAGGCAACAATAACATGCTTATTGTCATAAGAGCTTAACATAGGAAATAAACTATAGCAACATACCAAAAAGGACAATTTAAAATACAAATGGACGGAAACATGGGATCCAGTAAGCACAAACTAATTAGAGAAATATGCATTTTCCTGGACCTATCTGCGGAATAATAGTTCCACCATTATGTTACACACTTACACTACATATATATTATCATTAGTTCTTATAACAGAAGGAAGGTAATTACTGCCCCTATTGTGCAAAAGAGGTTGATCAAAACTATAATACAAAGCTGACTCCAACTTCATATTCTTTCCACTACAAAATAAAAACTACCATTCAGGGGCCAGTGCTGCAGCACAGCTGATAAAGCTACTGGCTATGATACCAGCATCTCAAAAGGCTGCCTATTCATGTCCTAGCTATTCCACTTTGTTTTTTATTTTTAAAGATTTATTTATTTTTATTGGAAAGACAGATCAGATTTTTCACAGAGAGAATAAAAGACAAAGATCTTTCATTTGCTGATTCATTTCCCAAGTAGCCGTAATGGCCGGAGCTGAGCTGATCCAAAGCCAGGAACCAAGAGCTTCTTCTGGGTCTCCCACACAGGTACAGGGTCCCAAGGCTCTGGGCCATCTTCCATTGCTATTCCAGGCCACAAGCAGGAAGCCAGATGGGAAGTGGAGCACCTGGGACATAAACTGGTGCCAACATGGGATCCTGGCACAGACAAGGTAAGAACTTAGCCACCGACTCATCACACTGGGCCCCCAGCTACTCCACTTTCAATCTAGCTCCCTGCTAATGGCCTGCAGTAGCAGTAGTCATTGTCGTCATCGTAGAAGGAGATGACTCAACCCACATGGGAGGTCTGGATACAGGTCATGGCTCCTAGCTTCAGCCACTTGAGGGTTGCGGTGGTGAAGCAGCAGATGGAAGACCCCTGTCTCTTTCTCCCCCTCTAGTTATATAACTCTGACATTCAAACACATCAATAAATCTAAATTAAGTCTAAAGTTAGAGGGATCTCTGTCCTGTCCCCCCCCTTTTTTTTTACTAGTAACTCACCAAGTTATATTGTTAGATTTTTTTTTTATTAATTGCATTGCATATATGACACAGTGTTATAGGAACTGGGATTCCCCCACCCCTCCCCGAATCCTCTTCCCATGGTGGATTTTTCCACCTTCTTGCATTACCACAGTTTAAATTCAGTTGAGGTTCTTTCATTGGAAGTATTTACCAAGTGATGACCATTAGGATTGCTCCAGAAACCCCTCAAAACAAATGAACAAACATACAAACAAACAAAAAACCTAGAATGGACAGACAATAACAAGGAAAGCTTAAAATCAGACAGGATATGGTCAGCGTGGATTCACTCATACCTCATTAGGTGGGACACAAAGATTAGTTACGCCTCACTAGGGTACTGGGGATTTCTCTGCACACCCCTCCTAAAAAAAATGTTCTGTACCTAAACTGATGACACATGTCTTGCTAGAGTTATACGCCAGTTCAGACCATCCAAAAAATAACCAAGTTAAGCAAAATCATGCTTCAACACTATAAACAGCTAAATACTAAAATGAAAACAGACATGAGACAGCTGAATTGTAATCTATAGCTATTTTGAGGTGTATAGAACCCGGTTGAATATAAACCAAAATTGAAATGTCTATGAAGAAGTCAGGATGTAGTTAAGAACCTGCATTTTCTTATTAACATATTGGTATTGATTACAATATCATGTCAATTAATGCCATAATGTTGTAAATTGTTGTTGATGTTATGTTGGGGCTTTTAATTGGTTGGGATGATACTTTGCTGGCTATACCTTCAGACCAGAGATGGTCTCACCAAGAAATCGTTGAACTCTCTAGGATATTCTTAGATTTTTATGAAGATTTCATATAAGAAATGACCAAATGGGGAAATAAATGTTTTCAAAGACAAATCTAAATGTCATCATAACAAAAGAAGTATGATTTATTTCTGAGAGTTTCACACTCTAGATTTATTCAAAAGTGAGTTATGCCAGGCTAGATTGTCCAACCAACACACATAAAATGTCATACAAGCGCCCTCAACTGGTTAAGATACAGAACTACCAAAATACATGTTCCATTAAATTGATTGTATCTTCCTTTTCAGAAATCTCTGTAACTCCAGCCTGGGCTCGAAGAATGGACATGATGTCATTGGATAACTTTTCAAAGCCATTTTGTAAACATATATTTGCCATCTCTTGCCACTTTTCCACAGAGCAAAATGAATCACTTATCACAAGATGTTCTACAGCATCTGAGAAGGAAAATATATATTATTCTATGGCACTTTTTGTTAGTTAGAGATTTTGCAAAAACTAGAAAGAAGCATAATTGCAACCCAGTTCCTGTTCCTCTCTACCCGAGTCCCATAGTTTAATGCTATAACACATGGACTGCTGAGTTCACCTCACGGTAAGTCCTTGGGAGTTAGCACCTTCTCCTCTATCCCTGCAATCTCTTCATCTCTCACTTCAAACCTCCGCCATTTTCACATTCTAACGCCTCCACTAACCTCCTTTTTGGTAAGGTAGCAAATGTTGAAGGTTACAAGGCAGAGAGCTCAGCAAGTGAAGAATGTAAGCTATCCTTATCCACACAGTCTATAGTACACTACCAGAAACTACCCAAAATACTGGGAACCTAACTGTTCAGTTTTCATGTTCCTTCAATTCTTAAAATACCTCAGTAGTGTAGACCTAAGGGTTTAAGGAATTCTGGAAAATCTCCGTCCTATTTTTTTTTTAAAAAAAAGATTTATTTATTTTTATTTTTATTGGAAAGGCAGATATACAGAGAAGGGGATATAGAGGAAGACCTGTCCGCCAATTCACTTCCCAAGTAGCCACGACGGCCAGAGCTCAACCAACCGGAAGCCAGGAACCAGGAGCTTCTTCCATGTCTCCCATGAGGTGCAGGGTCCCAAGACTTTGGGCTGTCCTCCACTGCTTTCCCAGGCCACAAGCAAGGAGCTGGACAGGAAATGGAGTAGCCAACACATGAACTGGTGCCCATACGGGATCCTGGCACATACACACACATATTTGCGTGTGTGTGTGTGTATCCTCTGTCCCTGTAACTCTATCTTTGAAACAAATAAAATCAGGGGCCAGCGCTGTGACACACAGCTGCCTTTGGTGCTGTTATTCATATGTGTACTGGTTTGAGAGCCAGCTGCTCCATTTCCAATCTATTTCTCTGCTAACCTTCCTGGGAAAGCAGTGGAAGAAGGCCCAAGTACTTGGGTCCCTGGACCCGCATGGGAGACCTAGAAGAAGTTCCAGCATTCTGGCTTCAAACTGGCCAAGCTCTGGCTGTCGCAGCCAGATGGGGAGTGAACCAGCAGATGGAAGATCTCTCTCTGTCTCTCCTCTCTTTGCAAATATGCCTTAAAAATCAATAAATTCATCAAATCAATCTTTTAAAAAAGAAATTTATAGTATTGTCAATAGATTATTATTGACATGGTAATCTTTATATTTATAGATTTTAAGTAAACATTATCAAGACAGAATTTTAAGGAAAATTTGAGTTAACTCAAAAATAATCTTACTGAGCCTTTCCATGAATAACCTGCTACTATTTCATCTACAACATTTCATCCTGCTTACCTTTCCCACCTGTATTTATTTGCTGAAGTAGCATCATGCCCGTCTTTCTCAAGTCGACAGAGAACAGATGAAGCACGGCAAGACTGAAAGATAAAAACGGTGGCTTTCCGTTCCATTCTTTAGTGAGACACTGAATTAATTCAGTTTGAGGACATAACGTTATTAGCTGTATCAGGTCATCTGAAAGCAAAAACGGAAAACTGTATCTCAACATCCTAAAATGATAAATCAACTGAAAACTGGGGCCGGCCAATATCCATCAATACTTCTTTTTCCAGACCTTCCTACAGTCTCAATGACTCACTTCGAGTGAACAATACTATCCCAGTTGAAAAAAATTAGATTCAGCATAGCCTAAACCAAAGGGAAACTATCCATAACAAAGAATACTAGAAAAAAAAAAAACAAAATAACCATCATGAAAAGAAATGTGGTGTATGAAAAGCATATAGATTTCAATCAGGATACCTAATTGAAAATCTACTTATATGACAATTTTTTGAAATTCAGCTTTTGCATCAGAAAATGCTACAATTGGAGATCATTTCTGAGGTTATATCTAATAATACCACAATATTATTACAGTAATACTACAGTATTATTACAGTAATAATACAGATCTTGCAACTGTTATTTAGATCAATGTGTACTGAACAAATCTTTCCCTCTGAGCAAGTAATTTCCTTTTAAAAAATGTTAAGTATTTAGAATTCCAGTCCTAGGCCTGGCACAGTAACCCAATGACTAAAACCCTGGCCTGGCACACGCCAGGATCCCATATTGGTGCAGGTTCCCATTGCAGCGATCCCACTTCCCATCCAGCTCCTGCCTGTGGCCCGGGAATGCAGTCAAGGACGGACCAAAGCTTGGGACCATGCACCTGCATGGGAGAACTGGAAGAAGCTCCTGGCTCCTGGCTTTGGATCAGCCCAGCTCTGGCCATTGCAGCCACTTGGGAGTGAACCAGCAGGCAGATCTTTCTCTCTCTCCTCTCTGTAATATTTGCCTTTCCAATAAAAATAAATAATTCTTTAAAAAAAAAAGAATTCCAGTTTGAAGATTCTAAGAAACCATTAATTAATTCAAGTATTTAATGTTCATGCCATATGAAATTACCTACGTTTCCCCCAGCTGTAGGCAACTGTCTAGGTTATAATGAACTTAGGGTAAGTGCCACACTGCTGGGAGAAGAGCAGCCAGTGGCTGGCGGGCATCCTAGGCCTAGTTAATGTCAAATTTGTGTTACTATACCAGTGTGCCAGCATAGTTGGTTATTATATTTTTTAATTGTTTTTTTAAAGATATATGAATGGGCAGATGCCAGCACACCAGCAGACAGGGTGTCTAGGGACCCTCACATGAGTGCACATGGGTCCTGGATAGGTAAACAGGGCTCCAGGCTGGCACGGCGCACAGCTATAGGCTTGGGGACCTGTGCACTCGCAGGCACAGGGGGCTGTGGATTACTCAGAGAAGCGGATCTGGAGATGAGTAGGGAGGAGGGCTGCTGGGAAAACTAGATGAGTGAGGAGTGACTTCTGGGGGACTTCCACCAACCAGGCTACTGCGCTCGCGACTAAATAAGGGGGCTGAGACCAGGTGGTTTAGAGAAAGGAAACCAGAGAACCTTTGGAGGCTAAACCAAACATATTTACTGTGCAGTGATCACCAAACAAATTTATTGTGCTGGGATTTTACATATATTAATTCACTGCCTTTACTATTCAGAGTGAGTGATATATTATCCTTTTCATGTTACATGTAAGGAAACAGATTTAGGAGACTTTGTTGGAATTTATTTCCCTGAACCATGCACACAGTATAAATCAGAACTTTCTCGCCTATTCCCAGTCTATGCCCTTCCTGATTTATAGTGCTGTCCCTTCAAAAGACACACACACATACAAATTTGTATGTATTATGTATTCAACATATTTGATTACATGTTCCATGTATATATATTATACCTGCATACATATGATGTGTATGTTTGTGTGTTTGCATATAGATCCAGAGTAAGCCTGTTCTCATATAGGTGGTTAGAATATTCTCTTACTTAATGATAATGAGGGAGCTGAACAAAAAACTACTTCATCTTTATTTCAGAAATAATTACCCGAGAAAAAAATAAAAACAATGTTTACTTCTAAACAATAAATCAGAACCATGCTTTTGTAACAAAATTTTTTAAGGATTTTTCTAAGTTGTTTTGGTTTTAGTTCCCTTTTTTTTTTAGTGCTATTTTTTTAACTTATAACTGTAAACTGATGATCTAAATACAAGAGAAAAGACTTTTTTTTTTCTGAATTCAAGATATTAACAGAGTCAATCTGTTCCCCAGGGTCAAGGATATTACCTTGGGAAGCTGTGGTTGTTTCTCATTAAAAAGAAAAATAAGCAAAGTGGTTTTTCAAACACTATTTCTATCTTTTAATATCTATTTTCTCTGGTTACATAACTTTCATCTTATGACATGCTGCTAAATAAGTTATTAGGCTAAATTACAGGATTCCAACTGTAGGAGATTTATGACTTAATTATTAGATATAATTTGTATAGGGTAGATTGCACTCCTAGAGGAACAAAAGTGAGTCAATTCTGTTTCTTTGCACCTATGTGAATTTTTTAATCAGCAAAGAAAGTTCATATTCCATTCAATAAAAAGGGTAATTAAATCCTACAGTTCATGAATATGAATATGTATTTTTTATATAAGGAAAGAGAAACACAGAAACTGCATTGTCACATTTAAATAACAATAAAATATATAATTCATTCAGCCAAGTTTGATTAATACTTTCTTTTTTAAAAAAAAGATTTATTTGCTTTTATTGGAAAGCTGGATATACAGAGAGGAGGAGAGACAGAGCGAAAGATCTTCCGTCTGATGGTTCACTCCCCAAGTGGCCGCAATGGCTAGAGCTGAGCCAATCTGAAGCCAGGAGCCAAGAGCCTAGAGCTCTTTCAGTTCTCCCATGCAGTTGCAGGTCCCAAGGCTTTGGGCCGTCCTCAACTGCTTTCCCAGGCCACAAGCAGGGAGCTGGATGGGAAGTGGGGCTGCCGGGACCAGAACTGGTGCCCAAGCGGGATCCCGAGGAGTTCAAGGTGAGGACCCCAACTGCTACACTATTGCACCGGGCCCAACTGAGTAATACTTTCTATGCTACATCCTGTGTGTAACTTCAGACTAATTGCTTGCCTTTCTATGGAGGAGTAAGTGCAATAATGCAGGCAAAAAGTCTAGCTATCATCACAAAAATGGTTTGGGTATGCTGTTATTAAATAAAGAAATCAGTCACTTTAAAAAATATACAGAATCTAAGTAAAAGTCAATTCATCACTTAAAAATGATCAAATTCATGGCTGTAAAATATTCATTTTCCTGAAAAATGTGATCTAAAATTGTTGTTTCATTCTACTTTATACATTCCTATAGCTGGGATGTTCAGCTTTTAAATTAAGATTGGTGCAAGTCTGAGTGACAGGAAGGTGTGAGAACTGCCTGTACATTAAAGTTGCTCTTTAGCTGAATTTATAACATAGGTCTACAATTCTCTGCTGCCCAATTTTAACTTGTATATTTCCTAATTCTGAAATAAACATTCTTTCAGTAATTCTTCATTTCTAATACTTATATTAGAGTTCAGAACAACAAATAGACCAACAAATTCATATATTTTTTAAAAACTCTTGTTTGCAGCATGCTCTAGCATACCAACTAAATTTATCTTTAAAAATGCATATTTCCTCCAGATGCAGACAACTGCCTAGTTTGCCTTGTACCTAGGCAAGTGCTGCACTGCTGGGAGGAAAGCAGCCAGTAGCTGGCATGCATTCTGGGTCTGCTTAATGCCAAATCTGTGTTAACAGGTATGCCAGCATACCTGCTGCTTCTTTTTTAAAAAAAAGATTTATTTATTTTAATTACAAAGTCAGATATACAGAGAGGAGGAGAGATAGAGAGGAAGATCTTCCTCCAATGATTTACTCCCCAAGTGAGCGCAATGGCTGGTGCTATGCCAATCTGAAGCCAGGAGCCAGGATCCAGGAACTTCTTCCTTCCAGGTCTCCCACGCGGGTGCAGAGTCCCAAGGCTTTGAGCTGTCCTCAACTGCTTTCCCAGGCCACAAGCAGGGAGCTGGATGGGAAGCCAGGATTAGAGCCAGCGCTCATATGGGATCCCGAGGCATTCAAGGTGAGGACTTTAGCTGCTAGGCCACGCCGCCGGGCCCTGCTTCTTCTTTTTCTTTCTTTCTTTTTAAGAGATAAGTGGAAGAAGTGGGGAACTCTAGGGCAGGATATGCCACCCTGACTCCTGGGACGGTTGTAGGGGAAAGGGAATGGTCACAGTTTGCCTAGAGAAGGGTTTCTGAGCATATATTGGAGTGGGAGCAACTGAGGGCATGTTTGACAGGGAATGGATGCCTTCTGGGGTCTTCCACGGACCAGGCCCCTGCACTTGCAGGTAGGCAAAGAAGCTGAGATGTAGTAGTATAGAGGGGGAAAACTGGAGGGCATGTCTGGGTCAAGCCCAAATACCTGCCACATGGGAGACCTGGACTGGGTTAAATGGCACTGCCCACCACCTGCTGGAGCTCACAAAAGCTGGGGCTGGGAGACATGCCTGGCTGGGCTAGACCGAAGTATCTCTCCATGAGTGTTGGAGCAGTGGATAGGCCATGTCAGGCTGGGCTAAAATACTCTCAAATACATGAGAGAAGTGAATCTTGGGGCAGCTTGTATAGGGGAATTGTGGGCTTGCCTCTGTGGTATGGCAGTACCTGCCAGTTTACATGGAGAGCTGGGGGTGGTGATGGGCCAAGCCAGATTGGACCCCACAAAACTCACTTGACAGGCCCCTACTTAACACTTGCAGAAGATGTGCCTGGGAGAAGGCGAGGCTGGGCCAAGCTGTAGCATCCACTAACACATGCAGGCATCAGCACTGAGGGCAGACCATGTCAAGCAGGGCCACTGCCCCCCCACTGGTACATGAGAGATCTGGGGCTGGAAGCAGATCTGATTGGGCAACTTGAGGAATTATCCTGCTAGGTCGCAGCTCTAACTGGGGAACACAAGAGCCAAGGCTGGGGGCAGACCAGGCCAGGCAAGTCTGCAGCACTTGTCAATGTTTGTGTGGGCTGGGTCTAGGGACAGGCTAGGCTGGGCCAGGCATTAGCACTCATTTGCACACATGAGAGCCAGGACAAGGTGTAGACCTTGTTCAGCTAGGCTAGGCTGCAATACTCACCAGCAAGAGCTGAGACTGTGGGTGGGCCATGCCAGGTTGGGTGAAATCACCTACCAGCAAGTACAAGACCTGGGGCTGGGAACAGCCTGGTAAGAGAACTCTGAAGACTCTCCTATTGTACTATAATTCCCATTAGTGAATGAGAGAACCAGGGTTATGGGTGGATCAAGTTGGGCAAGGCTGCAGCCACTGGTACATGTATTGGCTGGTACAGGTGACATGCTGCACCTGACCCTGCACTGGCTGGCACACATAAAAGTCAAGTCTGAGGTCACCCCGGGTGAGGTTTCTTTGGGACTTGCTGACTACATCACTGGACTCAAACCCTGGACACAGGGAAAATCACAGGATGTGTGGTCTGAACTTGGAGTGCATGTGTTGGGACAGGGCCTCCTCAGTTGCTGATGCCCATGCATTAGACAACATGTCCAGATGCACACGGGGGACATGACATCCAACTCAGGACATCAACTGTCTTGTCGGAGGCCAGAAAGCAGAACAGGTTGGATCTGGGCAAGCTTTGCAACACACTCCTGGGTCTGTGGATACACAAAGATTCTCAACCCTAGTGTAACGACTCTGACAACATCTCTCAACTACCAAGACTATTCAAGTAACACCCTTGAAACACTCTTCCCCACATAGGGGTCTCCAAAGTATCATCAAAGGACTGTGCCCTATCCCAGCATGCTGATATGGTTTAACAGCAAGGCATGGCCCCCTCCCCTTCCTCCTCTGCATCATTATCAACTATGTAAATAATGCATTACAAATAATTTTTTAATTAATAGGTTTTTTAAAATAAAATAATGCTTGCTTATTAGTCAATCTAGTGAACTGCCTTATTAGTCAGTCTAGGCAGGCAACAACATCAAAGAGCATGTCCAAAGAGCATGACAAGGTTCTGACAAGGGTCCCCTGGATTGCATCACACCGTGGCAAAAGCACACACTTATGGTCTCCTTTCCTTGCGTGATAAAGCTATCAGAATTCAATCATGAGGCCTCCACTGTAATAACCTTTTCTAATTACTTCGCAAAGATCTTACCTCTAAACCATGTTTAGATTAGGTTCTATGCTCTTAATGCCATTAACACAAGATTTGGGGGATTAAACTAATTCGGGGTTTTAGGGTACAAACAATCAAAATACAGCAGCCTGATATTATAAGCACTCTTACAATTGGAAGTCTAGAATTTCAATGAATGTATTCAAATAGCAGGTTTTTCACTTACCAGAAGTAAAGTCCTTGAACTGTATATACTCCATGGCCCTGTGAATCTGTCCCTGCTTACACAGGCAGAGTAGAACTTTCTTGTGCTGGCCACACTCACTGTAGACAATCTGGGCTAAAGCCAAGCACTTGGCTTTGCTGTAAGTATCTTGTTCCCCGTAATCATAAATTGCATCCCCTGCTTTCTCAGACAATGTTAGCCTAAAACCAGAAGATCAATAAGGCACCCATGAGAGACTTCTTGATCAGTGGTTAAGACCAAAGCAAATAAAAATTCAGCACAGTGGAACCACATTTTCCATGGCCTGTAAGAATGCCAATAGGCACTGATGATGAAAGAGAAATTAAACATATTGCAATTGAATACCAAAAAAGCACGCATTCCTTCTGGAGCAGACATTTGGCAAAGTGATCTTAGATGTTTTCTTTTTAATCCTACAAATAAGGTTAAAACTCTCCTGAAAATCCTGATAGGATTTAAAATTATAAGGTGCACACATTCCTTTGTAATTTTGTATCTCAGTTTCTCAGCAGTTATTTAAATTCTGAACCTGTGTGGTGTAGGATTTTATTCAATGCTGGTTGAACACAGCAACTATAACTCCATCTCATAACTGGTGACACATCTTGCAAGCATTTGTACTTGAAGGAAAACAGACTGTGATGGCACTATCATTTCACAGCTTGTTACAGATATGTAAGATCCAACAGGGAGAATGGAAATAACTGTCTGCTGGAAAATTCTCTTAAGATGGCCCAATTAATAGATTTTACTTATCATACTGAATTGTGCAATCTTCATGGACAAGTAAAGTGAGTCATCTAAATACCATTTTAGAAACTCCACCTGGAAACTATTAATACAAACTGAAAGAACATCTTGGTATCACTTCTAATTATTGGATGCAGGGAACTTTGTGTTTTAGTAGTATTTTTAATTAACAACTATAAAACATCAGTACTCACATAATATTGATGTCTGTACACATCAAACAAAATGCTGAAAACATAAAAAATGAGATTCAGAGAAGCCTAAAGAATGGATGCTTACTAAACAGCCAGTAAACAAAGGTTTCTGTGCTTATTGAGGTGGGCAACAAAGAGAAGGGTCTAAAATTAGTAAGCAGTTGGCAACTTTGAGTACAAACAAATTATTTTGTTAAATGGAGTGGGAATTTTGCACAGTGATAGCATGTCCACATCTTGTATCATAGCATCTGGGTTTAAGTTCCAACTCAAGCCCCTGATTCCTGCTAGAGGCGAGAGCGATGACTCAAGTACTTAGATCCTTGCCACCAAATGGGAAAGCCAGATTGAGCTCCAGGCTCTCAAGTTGGCCCAGCCCAGCTGCGGAGGGCATCTGGGAAGTGAAACAGCAGATGGGAGATCTCTATTCATTTCTGCCTTTCAAGAAGTAAAAATTTACAAAATATATAGCCATAAATCATGTAACTAAGCAAGTCCTTGACTTCCATAATTTAATACCATAATATAGACATTAGAACCTGTAGTCATGTTTCTCAAGGCTGGACAAATAATTACTCTAGGTAGTAACTCAAATACCAGAGAGAAATGAAAATACCATTATTTTAGTATTTATTTTACTAATCATTACTTCTCTGGTTTTTTTAAAAATTTTTATTTGTTTTTTGAAAGTGAAAGTTACAGAGACAGAGACATGACAGACAAACAAAAAATCTTCCACCTACTGGCTCACTCCCAGATGGCAATCATACCCAGAGTTGGGCCAAGGCAAAGCCAGGAGCTAGGAGTGTCGTTGTCTCCCACGTCACAGGGTCACACTTACGCCACCTTTTCCTGTCTTTCCCAGGTCATTGCAGGGAGCTGGAATGGGAGTGGGGCAGGTTGGACATGAACTGGCACTTTTATGGGACACTGGTATTGCAGGCTTTATATATCATGCCACAGTACCAGCCTCCAGTACCATTATTTTTCTTAAATAGTTACCACCATGACACTGGTGCAACAGGGCTGGGAAGTGGACTAGGAGCTTCCAACACTATACCCAACCCATCACCTTCTCACACCCTTCTTTTATTTGCTTGAATGTCCTCACCCCCTCATGGGCTCTCCTCACTCCAGCTCCCCATCCAAAAGTGACTCTTGCAAGGACCTCTGAAAGGGGATATAGAGAATACAGAGGAGCTATGCTTATCTCCACCGGTAAACTAAGATACGTTTAACCCCATTAGTAAAAGGCGAAAGATTTATATGATCTGAAGAGAAACCAGAATATAACGTTTAACCCCATTAGTAAACTAATATAAAAGGGAGCATTCAGTTACTAAAATCATGCACCACACTTAGTATTTAGTCATTTATAGGGCTGGATTTGCAAAGTTAATTTCCTTGACTTGCTCCTACTATAGTATCCCTAAAAACAGTGGTATTTTCTCAATTTATACAGTCAAGGAACTGTATAAGAATTAAACTTTAGGGGCCCAGTGTGGTGGCCTAGTGGCTAAAGTCCTCACCTTGAATGCACCAAGATCACATATGAGCGCCGGTTCTAAATCCAGTGGCCAAGCTTCCCATCCAGCTCCCTGCTTGTGGCCTGGGAAACCAGTCGAGGATGGCCCAAAACCTTGGAACCCTGCACTCATGTGGGAGACCCCAAGAGGCTTCAGGCTCCTGATTTTGGGTCAGCTCAGCTCTGGCAGCTGTAGCTACTTGGAGAGTGAATCAATGAAGGGAAGATCTTAGTCTCTCTCCTCCTCCTCTCTCTCTCTATATATATATCTGTCTTTGCAATAAAAATAAGCAAATATTAAAAAAATAATTAAATTTTAATTTTTAGCACTGTGGAATGGGTCAAGAATCATCAGTATGTATTACAGATGTTGGGAAAGAACAAGCACTTTCTATGATGTCTTCAAGTTCCAACCATTTCTACAGCTCCCTATCAAGAAATAGAAATGATTCCAGACAGAGAAAGAAAGAAGGAAGCAAAGAGAGAAATGGTAATTATAGACATGAGGAGGACATTTCCTAAATTAAAGAACTGAGACCCAGCCCCAAGAAGCCACTTTCTGCCTGCGGCCTTGGTCTTCCTGCTTCCCGCTTACAGGTGTGCCTGGGTCTTGCCGTTCCAAGTCCTCACAGCCTGCTGCAGCAGGGTTCCACCTTTTCCCAACCAGGAGGGACAGGGGCCACCATTCCCACCCTTATTGCTTAGCTTCCACCCTCCACTAAGCTATCATGAATCAACTCTTAACCTGGACTCGCTGTGACTGTGCCTCACTCCTCTGTGAGTACTTAAATGAATACTTTCCAACTGATTAACTGCAACAGTCTTAAAGTAAATGCTCCAATACTATACTGAAAAGAAAATTGTTAAAATTTTGAGAATGGATAACTTCATCAACTGAAAGCCAAAATTAAGTTAAAAGGGAAACTTTGCTTACTTTTCCTGGGTGACCCAATTGGTAACCAAATCAAGCCGCTTTTCTAATAATCCACATTTGATTCCTTCCAGAGTTAGTTCTGCATCAACAGGTTGTCTAAAAGCATGACTTGTGCTAAAGATAGCCTCAAAAAATAAGAGTAGTGGAAGAGGCTTTCCTCTAATTTTTCCAACAGCTACAGAAAGAAGAAAAGTTTCTGCATTAAACACATTAAGAGATAACTCCCTTTTCCTTATTTCATATCACTATATTGCTTTTCTAAAACCTTAACAACCTAAAGATCACATACTCTTAAACTTTAACACATATAAACTTCACATCTTTGATCATAACTAAATATTACCATCCCTGCCATATGAAGATACAGGCAGCTTGAAGTGGTTTGTCTACAAGCCCAGGGATGTCAACAGCAGCTGATGGTAGCCAAAGGCGGGAGAGGCGAGGAAGGGAGTTTCCCTTAGAGACCCCCAAGAGAACCTGCTGACACCTGACCTCAGCCTGTGGCCTCCAGAACTACACAGAATAACTTTCTTTTCTTTTTAGCCACAGGAATTGCCTGTTAACGGTGCTTATCTACTATAATCAAATAAAAACAATTTAAACACAGAAAACAATAGCAGCTGCAAACACAGAAAATAAAATTCTTCATGCAGGTCTGGTGTTAATGCATCAGTGTGCCCACATCCCATGGTGGAGCATCTGAGTTCAAGGTTCAGCTCCCCTCCCTACTTCACCTCCTACGAATGTGCCACTGGAAGGCAGAAGGCTTCCGCTGGGACCTGCCACCCATGTGCAAGACCCAGGGGAGTCCAAAGCTCCTGCTTTTGGCATGGCCCAGCTCTGGTTGTTCCAGGCATTCAAGGAAAAATCCAGCAAAGTAAACAGATTTCTCTCTTTCTCTCTCTTTGTGTGTGGGGTGTGGGTATGAGAGAGACGCTTTCAAAAAAATAAATTTAAAAAATTCCATATGAAACTCTACTGCTACAAATATAAAACTGCATTTTTACTCTGGCATGCTCTAATACTAAAAATAATTCAATGAGAGTTGGCAAATTGGAATATTGAATTTTATATGTATGTTCAGTTAGTGAACAAATATAGAATCCCAAACACACAGTCACATGACAATTCATATTGATTTAAACTATGTATGTGTATAAGCATATATGTGTGTATAGCAGTTGACTTAATCTGGAATCACATAATCTGGAATTAATCCACCAAATTATTTTCCTTTTCTAAATAGAGAATATCATATTTTCCAAGTTTTTATTTGGTTGGAAGTGAGGAAATTTTAAGAGAAGAGCCGGACAGGGCTGTCTTAGGACTTGGAGAGCAGAGACCAGTGACTAACATTTCCCTGGAAAGTGTACAGTGAAGAGGTAAGAGTGCGGGAAGAGGCCTCAAGACAGGAGCTGACTCAAAGTGGACCAGATGGCTGTTCAAGGGTGAAGGAGATTCCAGGGTGGGCGGGCAGGCAGGGCCTTAGCGTCCTCCCCGAGAACTCTGGTCTCAGCTGAGAGCAGAGGGTCTTTCGCGGTATATGCCGCCAGAAGCAGGGAAGAAGAATCGCAGGGAACCCTAACGTAATACCTCCTGAATGATTACAGGGTGCGGGGGGAGGTGAGGCTCTAAAATGCAGACTAACAGCAGTCAACTAGAACAAATTGGGGCATCTGCCACACCTCGGAGGCCAGACCACCAGTGCCCATGTGGAGTTAGGCTTTGCTTGCCCCCTGCATAAGCCTATTCGAAAGCTGCTTGGTGACTAGAAGAGGGGCGGGTACCACTATTAGTGGGAATGCAAATCAGCACAACCTTTATGAAATGCAGTATGGTGATGCCTCAGAAATCTGAAAATTGATCTACCACATGGCCCAGCCATGTGACTCATGAGAATTTATCGAAATGGAATGAAATCAGCAAGGCTTAAATTACTGCATTACCAGCAAAAAAAAAAAAAAAAAAAAATCAGCGAGACTGACATTCTGGGATTTGATTATTTACAACCTTATCTATACTCCTAGGGCAATAGGATTTATTTATTTATTTTTATTTTCTGCTTATCGGGCCCAATCGGTTATTAAGAAACTTATAAATAATGAATATTTAATTTGTCAGCAAAGTAAAATTCTTAATGTTTGATATCCAATAAAAATTACTAAATTTGCAAAGAATCAGCTATGACTCAGAATGTGAAACAACTAATAAAATTGTTATGAAAACACAGAGAAGAATCTTTGAGGATTTGTTGCAGATTTCTTAGGTATGACACTCAAATAATCTTCTATAATAGAAAAAATTCACAAATTTCAATAAAATTTAAAATTTCTAGGACTGGCACAATGGCTCAATGGCTAAATACTCACCTTGCAAGCACCAGGATCCCATTTGGGCACAAATTTGTGTCCAGGCTGCTCCACTTCCTATCCAGCCCCTTGCTTGTGGCCTAGAAGAGCAGTGGAGGACGGCCCGGCTTTGGGACTCTGCACCTGCATGCGAGACCCAGAGGAAGCTCCTAGCTCCTGGGTTTAGATCAGCTTAGCTCTGACCATTGTGGTCATCTGGGGAGAGAATCCTTCTCTCCATAAATTTGATCTGCCTTTCCAACAAAAATACATAAATCTTTTAAAAATAATAAAATGTTTATTTCTAGACACTGTTAAGAGAATGAAAACCAGGAGAAAATGCTTGTAAACTATATGCCTATCTGATAAAGATTTGGTACTCTCATGACAAGATACTATTCATCAATTTAAAAAAATGATAGATTCAACAACATGAATTCGAAAATATTTAGGTGTTAGGCAATTAAGTCAGTCACAATCAAAACACTCAATGTGTGATTCTACTTATGTCAAATTACAGGACACACGAATCCATCTAAGGTGAATGCAAGCTGGCTGAACTGCCTAGCAGCTAGGAGAAAGAGACATGGGAGAGAGAGGGTGGGAAAAGAGATCGCTTACCGAGTTGTACAATATGTGCATATCAAGTTACCACAAGAGGGCTGCTTTTAAAGGATGTGGGGAACATTTGACAAAACATTAACCTGTATTAAGTTTTATAATGAAGACCTGGGTATGAACATATTTCTGTATATTTCTATGTACTTGAAACCCCATAAATCAATTTAGAAAATTTAATCAAACTCCTTAACATTACAGCTCAAGAAACTGGACTGCTGACAGAGACAGGTCTGGACTCTGGATTTTCAATCTCTCAGTTTAATGCTCTTTCCAGTCTCTAAGAGGTCGGGGACTGAGAGTATAATTTGCATTCATATACATGGTTGAGAGAGACACTTACCTTTAAATTTATTCATCGTGCCAATGTTTCGAAGAATTCTTCTAGGGCTATTTGCTGCAAAACAAGCTGCTTTTTTATATTCACCAAGTGAGATTAATTCATTGAACCTGTGGCCATTGCATGTCATAATGCATTGTTAACAGTACATGCAAAAAAAAAAACAAAACAAAACAAATGCTAAGTCTAACACAGACTAAATACAGTGGCATAATACAGGAAACTAAAAGGCAATTCCAATAAACTGGATTCATTCTCTCTATAATGATGTTCCACCAATTCTTTCTCTAATATTTTGGGTTTTCTTTTCAAGTCTCAGAATAAAACTCTCTACCGCCAGCTGCCATTGAACTTGATGCATACTTTATTCTGATAGCACTCACAACCAGCCATACAGAATGGAAAGACAGAATTTCAGTGAATTTACAATAACCGCAGATTTTTTTCTCTTATTATATCTTCTTTTTTTTTAAGATTTTACTTTATTTTCATTAGAATGTCAAATATACAGAGAGGAGGAGAGGCAGAGAGGAAGATCTTCCGTCCGATGAATCACTCCCCAAGTGGCCTTGCAGATCTGAAGCCAGGAGCCAGGAACTTCTTCCAGGTCTCCTACGCAGGTGCAGGGTCCCAAGGCTTTGGGCCATCCTTGACTGCTTTCTAGGTCACAAGCAAGGAGCTGGATGGGAATCAGGGCTGCCAGGACACAAACTGGTACCTATATGGGATACTGGGGCATACAAAACGAGGACTTTAACTGCTAGGCTACCACGCCTGGCCCTCTCTGATTATATCTTATACCCATATATGAAGGTGAGTTGGAATAAAGAAGGGCAGTCTCAGAGAAGCTGAGCCTAGAGAACAAATGAACTGAACAGGGTTTGTCAAACTGGAGATCAATAGGTATCCTGAGGCTGGTGTGGTGACATCAGGCTAATCCTCCACCCTGTGGCACCAGCATCCCATACAGGTTTATGTCCTGACTGCTCCACTTCCAATCCAGCTCCCTGCTTATTGCCTTGGAAAGCAAGGGAGGATGGCCCATGTCTACACCCACATGGGAGAAGCTACTGGCTCTTGGTGTTGCCACCAATTACTGAGTGAATCAACAGATGTAAGACCTCTCTGTAAAATCTGCCTTTCAAATAAAAATACATAAAAATCTTTGGAAAATAAAGAGATGCCCTCACTATTTCTAAGACTACATTGGTTTCCAAGGCATCTGGCTCTCAAGTAAATAATAGTAAGCTAACACAAGAAGAAAAGATACTGGCTAGATTGTCAAATTAGCTCTTCAGAGTGTGTCGTGGGCAGTGCTAGGCTGGACCACACCATCCATTGTTTTGCATATGAGATGGGGCTGGGGACAGAACTAACCAGGTGCCTGCAACCTCCAGTGTGTGTGGGGGTGATGGACTGAGCCAGACCCTGCACTGGCTGGCACACACAGGAGTAAGGCAGGGCACCCCATCCTCCAACTGGATTACTGAACTCAGAATTCTAACCACAGTAAAAATCAAAGGAAATATGGTTTGACCATGGAGTGCATGTCTCAGAACTAGGTCTCCATGGTTGCAGAGGCCTGTGCAGTGGATGACATGCCCACATGCTCATGGGGAACATGACAACTGCGACGGACGGGCTCAGCCGGGAGCAATCAGTCCGACGGGAACAGGACCCCGGGAACGGTGGGCAAGGATTCGGCGAGTGACAAACAGACACGACAACTCAAGGAAGTTGTGTCTGAGTGTATTTTGCAAAAGCAAGGCATCAGCTTATATACAATAGATTATTGCAAAAGAACATTTTTCTTTGTTTATACATGTGGTTACATTTCTAGGGAGGTAAACAGGTGTGTTGAGCAAAGATTGTTCTCTAATAGCCCGGTGACAGACTGCAGTTGCTATTTCTTGTGGACGCAGTTTGGCACCAGTTGCAGTTTTAATTATTAAGTAGTTAGCCCTCATTGTGTTTTGTGCCTTACACTGGTTTTAATATTAACTTGCCTATATTTCTTGTTTTTCTTCTTGTATGGCTTCTTAAGCTATAGTTTTCTACTATAATCTTCTTTCTAGAAATTCTCAAAATTAACCCTAAATAGATTCACTAAAACTAACAACTTAATAGTTTTTATCTCAGACTGTTTGCTATTCTTATCCAATCTCCTGTCAGAAGGCTTCATAGAACTATAAAGGAACATTGAGCCTTTGCCGCACATAAATAGTATTATTCCAGTCATAAAGGTAAGAGCAAAGAGAGTACAGCTAGGAACGCCAAGACCACTAGAGATGCAGCCGATTCCGGGAGGCATCCTTCCTTGAAGCTTACGCCTCGGTCCGGCGATTTCTCAAACCGGCTTCTACCGGAGGTGGCGTGACAGACAACCAGTTCACTGAGGCCTGCAGAGGACATTTAGGACCATGGAGAACAGAACAAAATGGACAGCTCTCCTGGAAAAGCATCTGGGCGAATTGAGACTAAGGTGAATTATGTCGACCAATGGACCTCAGAAGGATTTCCTCAAACCTAGAGCAGCAGAATCAACAGCATCTCAGAACTATCAGAACCACTCTGGCAGTATCCTTGGACCATGCTTCATATCAGGGACCCAGGGATGACATCAGATGGCTGTCCCTCACTAGTGGGTACTGATGTACTTGGGCTGCTGGGAACAGCCCTCTTCCCTTCTCTCTACACTTCTCTCAGATATTAGACAAAAACAGGAGATTGGAGGCCATTTTCTCATGTGCTTTTCCCCATCCCTCGGCCCTCCCCATCCTAATCGATGATCCACATGGGCATGCATCCGACTCAACCATGTAAACATGATCAAAAATAAAATATTATTTTTAAAGCAGCCAAATTAGCTCTTACACCACAATTAACAAAATTATGGCAAACAAATTACATGGTACTACAAATGAGAGTAGAGCCCCACAGGTGAAATTCCACTGAAATAGTAACATAAAGCTTTCTATCTGAAAATGGAGGTATGTACGGGTGTTCCTTCATACACCCCTTCCCTGGACTGGCCTCACGCCCTTGGAGCGAAGCAAAGACCCATCACAGGAAGAACAGAAAAGTCAGTGGGAGAGAGACTTGGAAATGAAGCCAACCTTTTCACTCGATAATGAATATAAAGAAGCCATCCAGGAGGTAGGCAAGCCAGAGAAGAAAACATCAATACAGATTTTATAAAAGGAACTCCGTGCTTGATTCACCAAGGTAACCTTGTGTTCTGCTTTGTTTCTATTTATGTAACATTAAAATCAAAAACAAAACCTGTTGTTAAAAAGTTTTGCAACATCAGATTGATAGCAAAAATATCAAATAAAACTTGTATCAACATTATAACCCTCTTATCACTTCTGAAAAACTCAGACTACCAATGTTTTCCACAAAGAATATATGGGGGGAAATGCCTATATAGTTTATATTCTAATTTCCCCAGTAAAACAGAATTTTAAAATTATAAAAGCCAGAGAGGTGGGTATTGTGGCAAAGCGGGTTAAGCTGCCACTTGGAATGTCCACATTCCATAGTAGAGTACATGAGCTGATCCCTGCAAAGCCACTTCCAGCCTAGCTTCGAGGCTGCACATGAATAGCTCAAGTCTCTGCCAACCATGCGAGAGATCCTAATGGAGTTCCAGACTCCTGGCTATTGTGAGCATTTGGTTAATAAATTAGTCGATGAAAACTTCTGTCTGTCACCCAGCCTTTCAAATGAACCAAATAAAGTGAATAAACATTTTGAAAAACTAGAGATTATATTTTATCAAGATACTAAATGGTGGGGTTAGTGCAGTGGTGTAGTGGGTAAAGCTGCCATGTGCAGCACTGACATCCCATGTAAGCACCTATTTGAGTCCCAGCTGCTCCATTTCCCATCTAACTCCCTGTTAATGGCCTGGGAAAGTAACAGAAGATGGCCCAGCTCATTCTGCACTTTCATGGAGAGACCTGGGAGAAGCTCCTGGCTCCTGGCTCCTGGCTCCTGCTTTGGATGGGCCTAGCTGCAGTCATTGCTGCCATTTGGGAGTGAAATAGCAGATGGAAGATCTCTCTCTCTCTCTTTGTCTCTTCCCCTCTCACTCTGTAACTCTGCCTTCCAAATAAATAAATAAATCTTAAAAAAAAAAAAAGGTACTACTGGGCCCAGTGCCATAGCCTAGCGGCTAAGGTCCTCGCCTTGCACATACTAATATTCCAAATGGGCGCCGATTCTAATCCTGGCAGCCCCACTTCCCACCCAGCTCATTGCCTGCAGCCTGGGAAAGCAGTCAAGGACGGCCCAAAGCCTTGGTATCCTGCACCCATGTGGGAGACCCAGAGGGGTTCCTGGATCCTGGCTCCTGGCTTTGGATCAGAGCAGCTCTGGCCATTGTGCCACTTAGGGAGTCAATCATTGGATGGAAGATCTTCCTCTCAGTCTCTCCTCCTTTCTGTGTATCTGACTTTCCAATAAAAATAAACTAAATCTTTTTTTTTAAGTGTACCAAGTGGTTAATATGGTCATTTAAACATGAAAAATCAAAAGCTTTGAAGATATTTGCCATTCAGAACAGGTGCTTAGTATGGGAGTTAAGATACCCACATCCCAAATGGCAGTGCCTGGGTTCATGTCAGCTCCTGATTCCAGCTTCCTGCTCATGTGGGCCCTGGGAAGCAGCAGAGACGGCCTAGTGGCTGGGCTCCTGCCACTGTGGGTGGGACCTGGAGTGTGCTCCTGGTCCCTGGCTCCAGAGCCACATCAGCCCCAGTCACTGTAGGCATTGGGGAGTAAAGCAGCAGCAAAGAGCTCTTTCTGTCTCCCTAAAAACAAAGCAAAACATCGAAATTGCCTTTCAATGTAGTAAAGCACAATCTCAGCTTCTCTGGTCTGGTTTGGATCATCTTCCAGTAATTCCTCAGCGGAGCCTTGGTCACCTGTAAACATCGAAAGCACTACTGGAAGACATTTGAGGCTTATCAACAGAAAAACAGCATGCAAATACATGATTAACAAAAAGCTACCAGCTTCCTCCTAAACTGAATGGCCTCCCTGTGCCTTTCCCCTTTATTTTCAATTATATTCTCTGTGGTTCACCAAGTCTATTTACCCATTAACTGTCAGTGCTGAAGAAAGAAACTTATAAGTAAGGAGGCTAGCACAAATAAGTATATTTTTGCTTTACTGAAGCTCAACCTAGTAAAATCCCATTTTATAGATTTCTGCAAATAAAAATATCTTCCATTACATATGCTAATCAATAACAAAGGTGGGAGGGTTGAGGTTGTGGGGGAAGCAGATAGAGCCATGCACGCCAGCATGACCTATGGCTGTTGCTTAGAGTTTGAGCTGCTCCACTTCAGATCCAGCTTCCTACTTAAGTGCTTAGGAAAGCAGAGGAGGATGGATCCACATCCACTCAGAGACCTGGAAGAATAGGTGCTGGCTCCTAGCTTCAGCCTGGCCCAGCTACGGCTGTAGTAGCCATTCGAGGAGTAAACCTGTAATGGAAAATTCCCTGTTGTCTTTCTCTTTCTCTCTCTTTCAAATAAGATAAAACAAATCATTAAAAAACAAAACTAAGGCCAACACAATAGCTCAACTGGCTAGTCATCCACCTTGCAGCACTGACAACCTATATAGGCGCTGCTTCATGTCCCAGATGCTTCAGTTCCCATCCATCTCCCTGCTTGTGTCCTGGGAAAGCAGCGGAGGATGGTTCCAAGTTTTGGAACTCTGCTTCTGTGTGGGAAACCAAAAGAGCTTCCTGGTTTCAGATTGGCTCAGCTTTGGCTGTTGAGGCAACCTGGGGAGTGAACCAGTTGATGGAAGATCTTTCCCTCTGTTTTTCCTTGTCTCTGCAAACATGCCTTTCAAAAAACAAAATAAAGCCTTTGAAAAATTACCATATAAATCTTTGGTTTTCTGAATTTGCTCTACAAAATCTGGGAAGGAACTGCTCATATCAGATTTCATCCATAAGTTAAATGCACTAGAAATAATCTGTAGTTTTTGATGACTAGAAAGATAAAAAAAAAATCAACACATGAATCTAATATCAAATGGAAGGCTATTAGAGCAACACACACCCAAAAAGCTTTCATACCCAAACTGCAATTCTTTGTTCAGATTTTCAGCTTTATCTCGCCGTTTTAATAGCATAATCATTTCTTCATCTAAATCAGCCTTCTTCTGAACTGATATATAGTCTACTGACATAGACTGCTTTAGTTCTGCATATTTATTTTCAAGGTATTTCATGTGTTTAGTGAGTGCTTCCAGACTGATGGATTCTTGGAGAGTCAGGCCTGTAGGAAAAGGAAGATTAGACTGGCTAAGCCATATGTGGGAACCTTGTGCTACACAGTAAATCTTGGCCAGATAGGTCAGATGCTCACTACACCAACATATAATTCAAAGGGGCCAGCACCGTGACATAGCATATTACACCTCCTGCTGCAATGCTGGCACCCAACATAGGCACCATCCTGGCTGCTTCGTCTTCAGTCCAGCTTTATGCTGGATTAAAACAAAACAAAAACACATAAGATGGCCCAAGTGTTTGGACCCCTGCATCTACATGGGAGACCTGGAAGAACTCCTGAGCCCTGGCCTTCAGCTCAGCCCAGCTACGGCTGGTTGGAGCCATCTGGGGAGTGAACCAGCAGGTGGAGATTCTCTATCCCTCTGTCTCGCCTCTGTAACTCTACATTTCAAACGAACAAACCCTTTTATTCAAAAAAAATTTCAGAAATGGTTGGTAGCATGTACATATAGATTACGAAATGTTAGTAGAACTAGTGTAAAATTGTAAATAGCTAGCAATTTTAAATGTCATCAATGGTAATTTAGTGCAGTGACAATTCTGACAACATACAGACCTTAGCAGTTGAAAAAAAAAATCACCTGTGACCTCATCACCACTCCCAGAAAATCCCTATGCATCACTGTTGCTTCAAGAGCCTCTGCCTAACAACTCAGGATTTCCTTACCAGATCTGTCTACCCAAGCTTCACATCACTCTATCACACAGAGTTAACTCCACCACAATGGGTTTATTCTTCCAAATGCCAAACGTGTACCTACCTGCTGCAACTTTAAATGTCTACTTTTCCCAATAAGGCCAATTGCTGATTTGAACACACAATTCCCAAATGTCCTCTTTTAGAAGCCTCCCTAGATTAATACTAGATTTTAATCATTTCCTTATTCTAAATCTTCTCAGCATTTAGTCAATCTGTCAGTTAGTCTTTGTTTATTTATCTCTATACATCCTTCTAAAATTTTTTGCTTACCTACTTATTTGAAAATCAGAGCTACAGATAGAGAGAGATCTTCCACCCACTGGTTCACTCCTCAAGAAGCCCGCAAGACCAGGGCAGGATGAGGCTAAAGGCACAAACCAGGAATTTACAGGAGCTTGCCACATGGGTGGTAGGGCCCCAGCATTTGGGCTATCTTCTGTTGCTTTTCCCAGGCCATCAGCAGGAAACTGGATGGGAAGTAGAACAGCCAGAACACAAAATAGCACACATATAAGATGTCAGCACAGCAGGTAGTAACTTCACCTGCTTTGCCACAATGGGGAAACCAACATACCATATAGGAGTGGAGTGCCTAGGTCTGAGTGTTGGATGCACTTCCAGTTCTAGCTTCCTCTTAATGTGTAGCCGTAAAGGTTGCAGCTAATCAGGTTCAAGCACTTGAGACTCTGCAACCCATGGGAAAGACTTGGACTTAATTCCAGGTTCCTGGCTTGAGCCTGGCCCCACCCTGGCTGTGGCAGGCTTTTGGGGAATGAATCAGTGCATGGAAGATCTCTATCTTTCTCTTTCTCTGCCTCTCATTCTCTTACCATTGCCCCAACCCTACCAAGCATGTGTATTTATGTGCACTATACCCTCCTAGCCTTTCAAATAAATTTTTTTTTCAAAAAATATTTTCTATCTATTGATTTTGCCTCTAGACAAATATAATCCAAAATATTTAAAATTTTTGAATGTTTAGCAGGGCTGGGGGCAGGCTGGGCAGGGTGGCATGAAGGGCTGGTACCACTCCCATAAGAGGGCACAAAAACTAGGACAGGGGCTAGGTTGGCTAGACAGAGAGACACCCAACAACAACTGTGAGGGCTGGATAGTTGAGCTGGTTAGATGGAACTAGGCTTTAATACCCATTGACATGTATGAGAGCCCAATGGGATGTGGGACAGACTGGACTAGTCTGCTATACAAACCCTGGCAAACCAGGGTAGGGGGTGGGCCTGGTAGGGGTTATTGTGGGGCACTCCGATTAGGCTGCAGCTCCTACTGGTTTATGTGAGGGCCAAGTATGTGCTGGGCAGTACCAGGCTGGACTATAACACCCATTGGTTCCAGTGAGAGACAGGGCTGGAAACAGAACCAACCCAGCAATTGCAACTGCCAGCTGATCAGGGCGATGTACTGTGCTGGGCACTATACTTGTTGGTACATACAAGAATCTGGTCTGGGAACACCTCAGACAAAGTTTCTTTGGAGATCTCCCCAATCGAAATGCTGGACTCAGAACTCTAACTATGAAAAGACAGAGCACAGAAGTCAGTCAACTACCTCAGCTATATGTTGGCAGTGAAAAACTGGGCAAACAGAGACTCTAAGATGGACTATGTCAATCAGTGGATTCTTCAATGACCTCATTGTGTTTGGAGTGGCAAGACTGGCAGCAATTCATAACTGTTGAACTATCAAAACCATTTGAGCAAGACCCTCGGAGCATGCTCCACATAAGGGACCTAGGATGGGTGGGAGATTAGGTGGGGCTTCTCCCTTAAAATCCCCCTTTATCTCAGATATATGAAGGAAACAATATGGAACTAATAACCTTACCCACTTCCCTGTAGCCCTTGAACCTTTTTACCCTAATTATCTATGTAAATATTGTTAAAAACATAATTTAAAAATGGAAAAAAAGGGGGGGGGGTCTGGTAACATGGCCCACACCCTCGGCTAGGCCATTATACTCATGGCACATGCAAAAGCGGGGCTGAGGGCAGCCCATGCAGGGGACACCTAAAGAGGTGGGATCCTGGAGTTTCCTGGCCTAGGCAGCACTCACTAATGCCTCTTAGCTTTGGCAAATAGCCTGTTTCCCTTTCCTGATGACCTCGGGTATCTCAGAATGCCCAATCTCAGGCCTTGGCAAATGGGTGTTACGACTGGGACGTCTCAGTTGCTGAGGTGAAGCACATACTCAGAAGCACATGAAAGGCAGACAGCCCACCCCTCAGAAGCCAATGACTTCTCAGAACAAAGACGAGGATGTGGGGGCACAAAACCATTGGCACTGAGCAGAAATTCTCTGGCTTCTGAGAAGGATCCATTAGAAGACAGAACCCAGGATAGGCAATTCCTATACCTCTAATTAGCAGAAAGTAACTAAGAGAAGATATTAATTTTGCATCCTTCAGCGACCTTCAAGATTAAGGACTATAAATCTAGATAGCTGGCTTGGGCTCAGGAACTGGAAGTCATGCCTCCCCAGCTCTAGGTAAATCTTACCTGTCTATTTGTCACTCAAATGTCCTTGCCTCCAGAAGGTATCTCCCCCAAACAGGGAGAAGGCAGCAGCAGGAGAGGAAAGGCTGGGCAGCAGGGTGGAGAGGTGGGGAAATGACGGACGGTATCACACAACCACTTCCCTTCCCAGGCTTTCATGTGGCATGGCACTGTGAAGAGGTGATCTCTCTGCCCACAGACACAGGATGGGCGGCAGAAAAAGCTCTCTCTCACACCTTTCCCTTGCCATCCCTGAACATGGCCCGTGGGTGCCTGGGATCTCCTTACCACTTAAATAAACTTTATAAACTTTTGTTTGAATACAATTATCCATTTTAAAAATCTTTCTTTTCTCCAGGAAGAATATTTGTAATTCCTCTAGTCATCTATCATACGAACTTAAGCTAATTTTTTAAACTTCTTAACATCCTAGATGAATTCCTAAATATATCCCACTTTCTTGAAATGTAGTTAAGATGGGCCCGGCAAGGTGGCCTAGCGGCTAAAGTCCTTGCCTTGAACACTCCAGGATCCCATATGGGTGCCGATTCTAATCCTGGCAGCTCCACTTCCCATCCAGCTCCCTGCTTGTGGCCTGGGAAAGCAGTCAAGGACAGCCCAAAGCTTTGGGACCCTGCACCTGCATGGGAGACCCGGAAGAAGTTCCTGGATCCTGGCTTCAGATTGGCATAGCATCGGCCGTTGCGCTCACTTGGGGAGTGAATCATCGGATGGAAGATCTTCCTCTCTGTCTCTCCTCCTCTCTGTATATCTGACTTTGTAATAAAAATAAATAAATCTTTAAAAAAAAAAAAGAAATGTAGTTAAGAGTATCATCTTTAAGACATGGGATGAGGGCCCAGCGAGGTAGCGTAGCAGTTAAGGTCCTCGCCCTGAACGCACCAGGATCCCATATGGGCACCGGTTCTAATCCTGGCCCCGCTTCCCATCCAGCTCCCTGCCTGTGGCCTGGGAATGCAGTCCAAGATGGCCCAAGACTTTGGGACCTTGGATCTTCGTGGGAAACCCAGAGAAGGCTCCTCCTTCAGATTAGCTCGGTTCCAGCCATTGCAGCCACTTGGGGAATGAACCATCGGTTGGAAGATCTTCCTCTCTGTCTCTCTCTGTATATCCACCTTTCCAATAAAAATAAATAAATCTTTAAAAAAAAAAAAAAAGACATGGGATGAGAAGATGTTGAAATTAAGATGTATCAACAGTGTTCACCAGAACTTGACACTCTAAAATCTTCCCATACTATGCCAGTGGTTTACAAACATTAGAATGCATCAAAATTACCTACAGAACGTGCTAAGCAAAAAACAACCAAAAAAACACAAAACCAAAAACATGACTGCTGGACTCAACCACCACGACTGGAACATTGTATGTATGTGTAGGGATCCACCTGATGCTCATGGTGATGCAAAAGTGTACTTTAACAGTCACTGCATCACACTTCATACAAACCATTCACACTGGAATTCTTTCATCTTTTAGAGTGGTTGAACTTTTTCTCTTTCCCCTGCATCTACCTGCAACCCTGAATCTGAGGACACAACATACACTTGGAAGAGGCACACATCAGCACATTTGCATGAGCTTTCTAAAATGGGTAATAATACTTGGACACACTTGGGATTTCTCCCAAATGTTTTAAGCAAAATACAGTACCTGGGATACATGCTGATGGGTCTTTAGAGCAAGCATAATATTTTGTTTCTTCTGTATAATACCCTTCCCTAAGCCGTCTTGCTTGATGTATTTGCGACTGGATCTTTGAAGAATTGTTTTCAATAATTCTCATCCTGAAAGCCAGAAACAGAAAAGCTTTCTTACATTGCATTCAACTAATTTGATCCTAAAATTATGAGTCAGACCAAATTAAATTAGGAGGTTGGTAATCTGGTGCAGCGGATTGGTTTGGAACCCGCAGTGCTGGCATCCCAGAAGGGTTCTGACCCAAGTTCCAGCTACTCCAGTTCTAATCCAACACCTTGCTAATGTACCTGAGAAAGCAGCAGAACATGCCCAGGTGCTTCAGCCCTTGCACACCTATGGGAGAGCTGGAAAAAGCTCCTGATTCCTGATTCAGCTCACACAGCCCTGGCTGCTGCAGCCATTTGGTGAGTGAACTAGCAGATGGAAGATCTGTCCCTCTCTCTCTAATTTTTTTAAGGATTTATTTGAAAAGTGGAGTTACAGAGAGAGACATCTGGTTCACTCCCTAGATGGCTTCAATAACTGAGGCCCAAAGCTTGGCACTTCTTCCAGATGTCCCATGTGGGTGCAGGGGTCAAAGCACCTGGGCCATCTTCCACTACATCAGCAGGCAGCTGGATTGAAGTGGAACAACCAGGATTCAAACTCGTGCTTGTATGAGATGTCTATTTGGCAGACAGTGGATTTAAGCTGCTAATGCAGCAATGCAGACCCTGACAAATAAATCTTAAAATGAAAAACACACACTAAATTATTACTTCATTTTGCCCAATTATAATCTTGAACCATTAGGAATAGGTAGAAGCTTAAAAAGCAATGCCATGAAAAATGTCTCACAAATGAAAATTTTTCTTTCAAAGCATTAATAAAATTCTACTACTATAGTTCTTAAGCCTATTAGTAATTTTCAACTGCTAAACATGATAATCTGGCCAAAAAGCACCATTCAATCCTTTTAGTGGAAAATTACTTTTGCAATGTAAACATTATTTTTGTAATTGTGTAGTTTCCTACAGCAGTGTAGCAAATTAATATAAACCTGCTGTCAAACAACATGCATTTCTTCCTCCACTGTTCTGGAGGTCAGAAGTCTAAAAGTGGTATCGCTGGCCCACATCAAGTACAGCCAGGGTCATGCTTCCTTCTGAGCATCAAGGGAGAATCCGTTCCTGGCCACCTCCAAACTCAGAGCTCCATGCTTCATCACGTCCACCTCTGGCTGCATCCCCTCTGCTGGGGAAAAACTCCCCCACCTTCTTCTTGTAAGGACAATTGTGATTACATCTGGGCCTGGAGCAATAGCCTAGTGCCTAAATTCTTGCCTTGTATCTCCTGGGATCCCATATGAGTGCCTGTTTGTGTCCCAGTTACTTCACTTCCCATCCAGCTCCCTGCTTGTGGCCTGGGAAAGCAGTCCAAAACCTTTGACAGCCCAAAGCCTTGGGACCCTGCACCCGTGTGGGAGACCCGAAACAAGCTCCTCTCTCCTGACTTCAGACTGGTTCAGCTCCAGCTGGTGCAGCCACTTGGGGAATTAACCAGAGGACAGAAGATCTTTCTGTTTCTCCTTCGCTCTGTAAATCTGCCTTTCCAATAAATAAATCTTCAAATATGAATAGAAATAAAAATAGAAATAAACAATTTATATAAAAACAAAAAAAGACCACTTAAGCCATGTTACACTAGCTGCCCTTGTTAAGGCACAAGTAGCACTGGCCAGGTTGCTCACTAATACACTTACTTTGCTTTAAGCTGTGTTATTCTTCTCTTGTGATACACGAAAGTGGTGGGCTCTGCTGCCAAAACTTTAAGTTTTCCATGAAGATAAAATGAAGCTCTTTTTGTTTTCTTTATTGTCTCAATAAAGGCATCATATTCTTTTTTGATTGAAGTAAGAATGGATTTGTATGCAGTGACATAGTCAATTACCTGAAATATGATTTTTCTGCCTATGGTACAGATTTTTTTCTAAAAGACAATGGATCAAAATCCTTGCAAAGAACATATAGGTTATTTTTTAAATGAAGTGATCAGCAATTAGAAATCTAAACACTTTCAACTAGTTCAAACATGACTGGGAACTACAAATAATTAGCATTTACTGAGTAGGTATTTGTTGAGCACCACTGGAGTAGATACTATGAGCTAGTAATAGAATGTACTGCTAGTGACAGTATGGGTTAATAATATGCTTGTAGGGCCCGGCGCGGTGGCGCAAGTGGTTAAAGGTCCTCGCCTTGCACGCCCGGGATCCCATATGGGCGCCGGTTCTAATCCCGGCAGCCCCGCTTCCCTTCCAGCTCCCTGCCTGTGGCCTGGGAAAGCAGTCGAGGACAGCCCAAAGCTTTGGGAACCTGCACCCGCGTGGGAGACCTGGAAGAGGCTCCTGGCTTCGGATCGGCATAGTATCGGCCCGTTGCGCTCACTTGGGGAGTGAGTCATCGGACGGAAGATCTTCCTCTCTGTCTCTCCTCTCTGTATATCTGCCTTTCCAATGAAAAAATAATAAAAATAAATCTTTAAAAAAAAAATAAAATAATATGCTTGTAATGATATGATTACCTCCCATGCCTGTTAGCTGGAAAAAAGTTATTTCTGAACACTCATGGGAACTGTTGAGATTCAAGGCCAGTGCTGGGGGAGTAGGAGGTAGAGCTGCCCCTGGAGCACCAGCATCCTATACAGGTGCCAATTCATGTTCCCACTGCTCCACTTCCAATCCAGCTCCTTGCTTATGTACCTGGAAAAGCAGTCAAGGATGGCCCAAGTCCTTGGGTCCCAGCACCCACATGGGAGTCCCAGAAGACACTACAAGCTCCTGGCTTCAGATCAGCTCAGCTGTGGGAATGTGGCCATTTGGGAAGTAGAACCAGAAGACGGACATCTTTCTGGCTTGCTCTCTCTGTGTAACTCTGTCTTTCAAGTAGATTAATTAATTAACAAGAATGCCAAGAAAATGTATTAAAGCAGAATATGCATACTATATGTAGCATAGAGCTAGCAATTTTGTTTGACCCACAAAATATTTAAAATTTTGCAAATTTTATCCTAAAACCATATATTCAGCTTTTCTTGCAAACTGAAAAAAGTCTATCAACATAGAATTCCCCTTCCTTAGCAGTAGCCAATAATGGAGTTTTTAGATTGGCTCTGCATTCTACCACAAATCCCACGGTTCCTTATTCTCTTAATTAACTCTACTATCTTCCTACCCTTTGCAGGCACTGGAGTGTGAAACATCGGCATTAAGGTTTCTGTTAAACTGGAAAACAAAGACACACACTGCAACTGCTCCTATTTGCTACCAGAGCCTGAGGAAGAAGACTGGTATCCATTCTCTCCCAGCTCCTATCTAAGGATCCAATGTATTTATACAAAGGCTACTAGGAATACACAAAGCCAGCCACTCCGCAGAGACCTGATGCTTCCAGAAGACAGGGATCCACTCTTCCTGGTTACACAAGCCAAGGCACCACTCATCAAAGACCAGAGCCAGGAAGGCCTGGGTAGATGACCCTTCTGGCCTTGAGTCTCCAGGCTACACCACTTTAAACATTACTTGGTATTTGCTCTCCAGTTCCAAGTGTCCAGAGATGCAAACTTTCACTTTTACCATCTTCCCAACTAGTCCAGGAAGGTGAGAAGTCACAGAAATCAGTTCTTAATAGCTCATTAACAATCTAATGTGCTGGAATGACATGAAAATGAAGAAGTCTACTGTGAGAAGCTGGAAGAAAAGTTTCTCTAAGCAATAAATAAATTCCATTTCAGACTCCCTCCCTATCCTGAAAGATGGGATTCTTTTCAATGTAAAATTACATAATGTACAATTAGTTCAGATGGAAAATGTAAATATTTTATAATTTCATGTGTTTTCTCCAAGAACTAAATTTACCAACATCTCCAAAATGATCTCACTGTAACTATATTAATATAAAGCAGACAGCTTCCATGTATGACAAATGCTGACGGGTGCTAGCCTTTGGATGCAGAGAAGCACATCACAGCTGGGCCCTGATTCCACACAGGGTGTTGGTGTGACTCTTGATATTTATGAAATCTACTCAGGATACTATACTACCTTTATGTAAACATTCGCCCAATACATTCGTTAATAACTAAAACACCAAAGGCAATATGACTGATCAGAACATACAAAATATACTAACTCTAAAAGATAATGACTGGAAAGGGAGATTTTGTTTCTTTATTTTATATTCTCAGTGATATGTACCAATCCTTAATTCTACTGGTAGGCACATATCACTGCATTGTGCTCACTTTTCCTAAGAGTGAAGGACTAAGGTTTTTAGAGAAGATTGTGTCGAATGGTTAACAGATAAATAAAGGACTGAGTTCCTGTTGTGCCAAGGACTGTTCTATTCAAAGACCAATGGTTTATTAAAATCGTAAGGTAAGGCCCTGGCATGGTAGCCTAGTAATCAAGCCCTCACCTAGTATGTGTTGTCCAGCTCCCTGCTGTGGCCTGGGAAAACAGAAGAGAGCCACCCAAAGCCTTGAGACCCTGCACCTGCATGGGAGACCAGGAAGAAATCCATGGCTCCTAGCTTTGGGTCAGCTCAGTTCTGGCCGTTGTGACTACTTGGGGAGTGAACCAGCGATGAAGATCTTTCTCTCTGTAAATCTGCCTTTCCAATAAAAAACAAATAATTAAAAAAAAAAAATCTTAAGCATTTCTTCTAGGCAAGGAGAAAATGCTGTGTATTTCACTACCTTTTTCTCTCACAGCATCTTCCGAGGGAAGATGACAAAAAATAATAATTAGTATTGATGCAAAAAACTTCAATTGTGGGCCTGGCAGCATGGCCTAGTGGTTAGAGTCCTCGCCTTGAATGCGCCAGGATCCCATATGGGTGCAGGTTCTAATCCTGGCAGCTCCACTTCCCATCCAGCTCCCTGCTTGTGGCCTGGGAAAGCAGTCAAGGACAGCCCAAAGCCTTGGGATCCTGCACCCACGTGGGAGACCTGGAAGGGGTTCCTGGCTGCTGGCTTTGGATCAGCGCAGCATCAGCCGTTGTGCTCACTTGGGGAGTGAATTATCGGATTGAAGAACTTCCTCTCTGTCTCTCCTCCTCTCTGTATATCTGACTTTGTAATAAAAATAAATAAATCTTAAAAAAAAAAACAAAGAAAGAAAACCTCAATTGCTTAAAAGTGAGAAAAAAAAGAACACTTTTAAAACCCTAAGGATAATAAAGCATGTTACATAAAGCCACAGCATTTCCTAATTTGTTTTAGTGTTTTTTCATTTGTGTTTCAGCATATTCTAGTATGAATTCCACATTTCTAATGTTAAGCCCAGTCCAACCTTATTTATCGTAACCACCTTGATCTCTAAGTAGAAGATGTTGTGGTTTAATATGTGAGATCAAATATAAACCAACACTTTAACGAATTGACAAATCCAAAACAGGGCACAAACACACTACTGCTTAAGGTTTAGTTCCTAACAAGGTAAGTGGTATCTTCAAATGCAAGGGTCCTTGTGACTGTCTGGGCACAGTTTGCCAGCCCAACACTTACTGCCTGCTTCTAAACTAAAATAACTGACACAGTGATTGACAGCTGGGTAATACCTACGTAACTCCATAACTACAGGCATCTTACCATCCCTTACTGACAAATTGGATGAACTCAAAATTGACGATGGAGATCAGTCAAACAAGCAATAATGCTGCCAAGGCAGGGGTACCTGATTGTCAAGATGGTTATTTCCAACCTCATGAACACTTCATTGTCTTAAAAGCATTATGATACCTTATCAAAAACGGTGCGATATATGGTGTAATATTCATCAGCAGGTCCTTCCTCCTTGCAGCCCACTCTTTCAGTTTCTGTAATTATGTATCTTTGCATATTTTCCAGAAAGTCCTTGTCACTGCTACTAATGATAGGAGGGAGAACGGCATGCTTATTGATCTCCTGGGCTGCCATAAGTCACGATCTGCACACTGGTTCACCAGAGGAAACTTAAATCTTGACTGGCTTTTGCAATAAAGTGATAAGCCTGAAGGGGGGGGAGGAAGGCCATAAATTAATACAGAGTTTTAACAAAATTAAATATTGATCCCCAAAATGTGCTTGAAGCAGAAAAAAAAAAACTTCCATGAGTCTGTTGCTGAGATGAAAAGTTCAACTTGTAAATCAATACTATTTTGCTGTCATGCGCTATCCTTCTGAGAAAGGCCAAATCCCACTTATTTCAGAGGTCTTCTTTCAGGGAGCAGCGCAGCTCCTCGCATGTATCAGAAAAGAGACGGCTTCCTAGGTTGAGCTCAGGAATTGGCAACACAAGGCTTAGCACTCAGCAGCTGGTGTGAAATCTAGTTGTAAGCCTCCTGGTGTCACAAGCAAGGACAAATATTCCTGTAACCCAGCACCCACCTGGCCCAGTCACAGCCGCCACCATATAATGCCTACAACTTACATATTTAGTTTTTAATAAACTGTATCATTTTCATCTTTTATATGAAACAGCTAAGGATTAGACAGATGTATTACATTGCTTTTTAATGAAGAATCATTATCCTCCTGAAGCTGATTCTGAAGATCTGGTCACATTAACACCAACTACAACCTTGGGATTACTTAAAAAGTTCCCACATGGCCTCAGGTGAGCTGTATCAGGGAAAAGCCAGGCTGGGCTGACTGTTCCTTCTGGTGCAAGCATAAATCAGAGTGGGTGAGGGTTGGTTGGGCTTTGTCGCAGCATCAGCTGGCAGATGTTGGCACCAGCGACTAATTCTGTCAAGTTAAACTGCAGAACCATCTGGAGAGTGCATGTTCCGGGAGTTGAAGTGGTCTGGGAGGGAAATAGTGGGCACCTCCCTCCTGGGTTATCACTCCCACTGGAAAGCATGAAAACCAGGACCGGGGCAGTGGTGGCTAGACAGAATGACAACCACTACCGTGTGTGTGGGCTGGATGGGGACCCGGTTGGGTTACACCAGGCTTCAATGTCCACTGCCATGTATGAGAGCTGAATGGGATGTGGGACAGACTGGATCAGTCTGCTGCACATACTGGCAAGCACTGGAACGAGGGCAGGGGCGGGCCTGGTGGGGATTATTGTTGGTTGCCCCGAATAGGCTGTAGCCCCCCACTGGTTTGTGTGAGAGCTGACTGTGTGCTGGGCAGAATCTGGCTTCACTGTAACATCCACTGGTTCATGTGGAAGACATGGCAGGAGACAGAACTGACCTAGCGATTATAATCAGCAGCATGTACATAAGCTGTCTGAAGTGACGAACTGTGCAGGACCCTGTACAGGTAAGCACACACAAGAATCTGGTCTGGATCACTTCGGGAGAAGTTTATTTGGGGATCCCTCCAACTAAACTGCTGATCTCAAAACTCAACCATGAAAAGAAGTGCAGATTCCATGGTTTGACCATGGAGTGCTAGTGTCACAGTTGAGTTGCCTCTGAGGTTCAGACGGAGCACATGGAAGATACGGCAGTCCACAGGACCCTGCAGAGGCTATCCAGTACCACAACAGAGGACGGAGAAAAGAACAAATCATTCAACTACCCTAGCCATGTGCTGGCAGTGAAAATCTGGGCAAACAGAGACTCTAAAGTGAACCATGTCAGCCAGTGTATTTTGGAGACATTTCATCATGTTTGATTGGTGAGACTGGCAGCAATTCAGAACTGTTAAACTATCAAAACCACCTGAAAAGGACCCTTGGAACATGCCCCACTTTGGGGACCTGGGATGGGTGGGAGGCTGTGAGGGGCTTCTCCCTTTTTCTTTCACCTTATCCCAGATACAGAAAAAAAAATAGCAATAATAACATGCGGAAACAAAAAAGGTCCCCACAAAACCAAACATTTTCACTTTTCCAACAATTACAGAACTACATATTCATGCTATACAATCTGGGATATATATGCCAAAGAATATAAACAAGAAAGAAATAAAAAAATTAAGAAAGAAAGAATGTCCCAGCCTGAAGGATAATCACTATTTAGTACCTTGGTATATCACCTTCTGATCTTTATGATTATAAAAACTGGGATCAAACTCCATATTCAGTCTACCTTATTTTTTAAAATATAACTTATAAAGATAGCATGTTTCATGGCATAATATTCCTTACAAATTTAACAATTTCCCCACTGTTAGACATTTTTGTTAATTTAAAAATGATTCATGACACAGCCCTAGGAGAGGGGCAGCCTGGCAGGCGCTTGCTCTGGGTTTTTCAGGATGGGTTCCTGCTCACACCCAGGTGAAGGAGGACTACAGAGGGAAAACCATCAATAAGGCCACTTTCCTGCAGGTAAATGAGGGAGCTGAGGCCGAGTGGTTTGGAGCCCCCATGGCAGACCTGAGCTGAGGTAGGTAGCATCGACCACCACTGAACACCACCCACTGGTGCACACTAAAGCTAGTGCTGGGGGCCCATCTGGCAGGGCTAGATCACAGTACCCACCAGTAAGCCTCACCCCTGTGGAACTGTAGTCTCTGCTGGTACATGCAAGACCTGGGGCTGGGAACAGGCCTGGTTGGGAAGCTAAGGGGATGCCCTGATTATGTTGGGCTCCCACCGGTGATCATGAAGGCTGGAATGGAAGCAGCTGTCTGGGCTGGATTTGGCTCCACTTGGCATTTGTGTGGACTGGGTCTGGGGAGCACCAGACTGGTCTTAACTCCAGCACCCGCTAGTACTTGTGAGAGCCAGGGTGAGTGTAGAACAGGATGGGCTAGGTCTCGGCTCCCACAAAACCACGTGAGAGCTATGTCTGGACATGGACCAGGTATGGCTGGACTGCAACACCCAACAGTAAGAACCGACTTGGGTATGGGCCAGTTGGTCAAGGCTACTGTTCCTTCCAGGACAAGAGGCAGATTAATTCAGCTTCAGCCAAGGACCCACCAGGGTGTGTGAGATCTGTTATTGGGAGGAGATCTGCTATAGGAGCCTGGGGAACTCCTTTGTCAAGACACAGTCCCTGCAGGTGAGCACAAGAACAAAGGCCAGGAGCAGTCCAGACTAGGTCAGGTTACAGCACCCACTGACACACAGGCTCAGGTCTGGCTCAGGTGTGTGGGGGAGGGGATGCAGGCTAGGCGTGGCCAGTTCGTAACACCCACTGACAGATCTGAGAACAAGGACAGGTTGCAAGTTGGGTTGGGCCGGGCTGCAACACCAGCCAGTTCACATTCGGGATGCTGAGGCGAGGTGAGCCATACCAGTCTGGGTGCGGCAGGTGCTGGGTCCATGAGCCCTGGGAGCAAGGCTCTGGCGGGGCCTGGGTTGCCTGGCCCAAGTCCCTGGGCCCGCCTACTTGGTGGGTGCCGGGTCTGTGAGTCCTGGGCATGGGGGGCCCTGGGTGGGCAGCCCAGGGCACCAATTACACTAGGAGAGCCTCACTGGCTGCCTAGGGCACACTTGTGGAGACTTGGTGTTGGGCTTGCAGGGGTCTGGCAATGACACAGATGGGGGCGTGTCACATCTAGGATTGGTGGCCTGACCAGGGAGTTCATGTGTCAAAGGTGGGCCTCCTCAATGAAAAAGATGGAGCAGTGGATCAGGTCCTGCAGAGGACATCTGGTAGCACAGCAGAGGAAAGAGGACAGAGCAAATTGGACAACTACCCCATTTAAATGATGACAGCAAAGGCTGACTATGTCAAATAATGGATATTGCAACGGGTACCTCACCCTTGGATAGACAGACTGACATTTCAAAACTAGCAAAACAAAACAAAATTAGTGAAACCACTTGGGCTGAACCTTCAGAACCTGCGCCATGTTGGGGACCCTGGGTTGATACTGGTCAATGCAGTGATGGCGAGGCTGCGCATTGCTTCTCCCCTATGCTCTCCCTCCTCCCAGATACAAGAAGAAACGGAAAATTCGAAAACACTGATCAGACCTACTTTTCCCTAACCCTCAGTTCCTTCCCACTCTCAACTATGTAAACTTTGGGCCCGGCGGCATGGCCTAGCGGCTAAAGTCCTCACCTTGAACGTGCCAGGATCCATATGGGTGCCGGTTCTAATCCCGACAGCCCTGCTTCCCATCCAGCTAGCTCCCTGCTTGTGGCCTGGGAAAGCAGTCGAGGATGGCCCAAGGGTTTGGAAACCTGCACCCGTGTGGGAGACCCGGAAGAAGTTCCTGGATCCTGGCTCCGGATCGGCATAGCATCAGCCGTTGTGCTCACTTGGGGAGTGAATCATCAGACAGAAGATCTTCCTCTCTGTCTCTCCTCCTCTCTGTATATCTGAATTTCCAATAAATAATAATAATAATAAGCTATGTAAACTTCATCAAAAACAAAACTAAACCAAAACACTAGTCAGCTTAAAAAAAAAAAAAGATTCCTTTATCTTTGAAAGGCAGACTGACACAGAGAGGGGAAATCAGTATGACGGATATCCCCCATTGCTGAATCACTCCCTAACGGTCACAGGCTGGGAAATGCCAAAATAGTTTAGAACTTTTAAATCCCAAATGGGGTGGGGGGCAGGCACTTGGCACAGCAGTTAAGTTGCCACTGGGAATGCTCATATTGCAGTTCGAGTCCCAGCTCCAACATGCCTAAGGCGGCTTCCCATTAACGTGTGCCCAGGAGGCAGCAGAGGGTGGCTGAGGTCCTTGCCCTGCCGCCCACGTGGGAGCCACACAGCACTGCCTGTTGCGCCCACCTGGGAAGTCAACTGGCAGGCAGAACGTGGAACAACATGTGCTTTAAAATGTCCTTATGCCTTAAAATAAAAACACGAATTTATTTATGTTTTTTATCTGGATAATAAGTCAATCTAACAAAGAAATATAAACTAGTTCCAAAAAGCAATAATTACCAGACTTCCTAAATGAGAAATTCATTATTTTTTTTTAAGATTTTATTTTTATTGGAATGGCAGCATTACAGAGAGGAGAGACAGAGAGAAAGATCTTCCACCTGCTGATTCACTCCCCAAGTGGCTGCAATGGCCAGAGCTGAGCCTATCTGAAGCCAGGAGCCAGGAGCCTCTTCCAGGTCTCCCACATGGGTGAAGAATCCCAAGGCTTTGGGCCGTGCTCGACTGCTTTCCCTGGCCATTTGGGATCCCAGAGCATGCAAGGCAAGGACTTTAGCTGCTAGGCTACTGTGCCGGGCCCCATTTCTTCTTCATTTAAGCAGTAAATATTGAGCATTTACTAAGCACCAGGCAGTATTTTAAAGCTAGCGATTCAGCAATAGATCAGATGAAGTCTCTGCCTCCTGCAAGCTTGTAATCTAGTGGTAAAGATGGACTACACATAATTTCAAAGGTTCAAGATGAAACTAAAGAGGAAAGGATGAGTGTAAGGATCTCTGGGGACCAAGTGGTCCTTCAAGAAAACCCAAATTCCTCTGCATTACCTAGTAACACCCTAGAGCAGATGTGGGCAAACCTTCTCCATAGGCCAGTAATGGCCATTTGGACAATGAAAATGTCAGTTGCAAGCCACACAAAATTGCCAACAAAGCGAGCCTGCTATACACTGATGGAGTTCCAAGTCCTTCCTGTGATGACCTTAGCAGGGCCACACCAAATGATTTCGTAGGTCTTACAAGGCCCAAGGGGAACTTGAACTCTTTTTCTCTCTGACCAAATCTGTCCTTCTCTTGTTCCTGTCTTCCCGACCCCTCATTTCAATTTCCACAAACTGGTTCCCTTACTTCAGTGTCTTCCTTTACTTTACAAAACCTTTCCTGGGTCCAGTGTGGCCTAGTGGCCAAAGTCCTCGCCTTACATGTGCCAGGATCCCATGTGGGCGCTGGTTCATATCCCAGCTGGTCCACTTCCCATCCAGCTCCCTGCTTGTGGCCTGGGAAAGCAGTGGAGGATGGCCCAAAGCCTTGGGACCCTGCACCCATGTGGAAGACCAGGAAGAAGCTTCTGGTTCTGGCCGTTATGGCCACTTGGGAAGTGAACCTGTGGGGATGGAAGCTCTTTCCCTCTATATATCTCTATCTATATCTATCTATCTATCTATCTATATCTATCTATCTATCTATCTATCTATCTATCTATCTATCTATCTATCTATCTGCCTTCCCAATAAAAAGAAATAAATTCAGGAATCAAATTAAAAAACAAACAAAAACCTTTCTTTCCCACAGACCTTCTGGGCCTCAAAACATGCATGTTCATTTGGCTTTTACTCATCCTCAGATCTCAGCCTAGGTGGCCTCAGGAAAGCTACCTTGCACTCCCTTGAACTTGGTCAGGTACCACTAGCCTGCTCTCTCCCGGGGGGGGGGGGGGGAGGGCTTGCACTTGGCCTGTTGTGGTACTACCACTCAGCCACACTGTGCCACAGGGTACCTGCTTATATTGTCTCCTCTGTAGGCTGCAAGCTTGGGAAGACCAGGAATGCCCGGCCCTGCACACGCCAGAGCATGACAATGCCTAGCCCAGCGGGAACTCAAATACTGGCGGGATAACCGATCATCACAGAGAAACAGTCGGGCTGGCACTGAACACACATGAGCTGTGGTGCTCTCAAACTACAACAGGCTTGGTGTTTGTTTCTGAGCATTTACAAAATGCCAGTGAGATACATAAGCTAACTAACACTACCGTTCATTCCTAACAGACCCGCAGGGACACACCGAGTACAAGTCCACAGGTTCTAGTGAGTGCTGTAATGAAGCAACTAATCTACTGTCAGCAACTGCGACATCCCACATGGCGCTGGCTCCCGCGCCGCTGCTCCAGTTCCCACCCAGCTCTTTGCTCACGCGGCTGGGAAAGCAGCAGAAGGTGGCCCGAGAACCATAAAACCGAAAAACCAGAGATTTCAGCAGGTTAAGTCATTTCACCCTCAAGAGGGACATAAACGCACTTCATCTTCCTCAGGATGGGCACAGGTTGGCGACAGAGACCCCTGGTGCGGAAAGCGCTCCTTTCCCATTCTCCTGCCCGCCCCGCCTGCCTCTCCTATCACGCTCTCTGACACGACATTGCTTCCTTGCGCCCCTAAAGCTTTCCTCCTAGGCATCCCGTCCGTTCCCCAACCGCACGAAGCCCGACGTTGCCTCAGGGCCTTGGCCAGGCCTCACCTCGCGCCCTTCCTCCCAGCACCGACCCGGCACGTAGTAACCGAGGAACCGGGGCGGGCGGCACTGCATTGTGGGACGAGTAGTCCAGTCCGCACGAGGGCAGGAGAAGACTACAACTCCCAGAACGCACTTCCGTTTCCTCCATTTTTTTCTGTCACGGGGTCCTTTCCCCTGGGCCCACCTCCTTTTAAAGACTCTCCTAGTCGCGTTACCCATGGGGGGTTGGGGGAGCTTTAAAACCATTGTTAAGTTTTAAACACAGCATTTAGTCAGCATTCTGAGGGTGACTGTCAGACGTGAGGTGCACGGGGCAGCCGGCGCGCCCGCGATCAGGCGCCTGCCGTGGCCGCCTCGGGGGCGGGGCGTGCGCCGGGGGTGCCGGGAAGGCCCGGGGGCCGGCGGCGCTGCTCCTTTTCGATCCGCCATCTGCGGTGAGTGTGTGCTCCTCGGCGGCTCTCCGGCCCGCGGCCCCCACGGCCCCCTCTGCCCGCGGCCCCGGCCTGATCCGCATCGTCCTTGTCCCCCCTCTTAGGTGGGGCCGCCGCCACGATGCAGATCTTCGTCAAGACCCTCACGGGCAAGACCATCACCCTCGAGGTACGGGCCGGGCGACGCGCGGAAGCCGAGGCCCGAGCGGGGTCCGGGAGGGCAGGGCGGGCCGGCGCGGCTCGGGGGAAGCTCTGCCCTGCGCCTCCGGGCCCCGGCGCGGGATCCAGCGCAGCTTGGCCAAGCAAGGGTGCGGGGGTCTGCGCTTTGCACGCGGCGGCGGGAGGAGGCCCCGCGCCCGAGCACGTGGGGTCCGCCGCGGCGGGGGAGGCTGCCTCGGACCGGCTGCACGCCTGCATTGGTTTCCACTGCGTGGTTAGCACTCCGATGGGATTATGTGAGCGTTCTGTGTAACCAACGCGCTTGCCTTTCACGCTTTCTAGGTTGAGCCCTCGGATACGATAGAAAATGTAAAAGCCAAAATCCAGGATAAGGAAGGTGAGTAGCGTTCTGGGGGCAGCATGCCTACCCACACAAGGTAGGCGCAAAGCTCGGGCAGGATGGGACAGGGTGGAGTAACAAGTGGGAAGACATGATGTGACAGTGTGAGCCCAGATGGGGGTCCATGCAGTGGGTCCCATCTGGGTGAATTCGGCCAGGTTAATTCCTTGCCTGGTAGCTGTTAATTTACCTGTACAATTTGGAGAATCAGTGATAAGGCAGATGCACATTCGGAGCTGTCTAGCCTGTAGTGAAATGCTGGGCGACGGGTGTTGAATCCTGCTACCCTGCATTATCTGTAGACCTGGGCAAATGACCTTGTTCTGGCATCTTAGGTTTTGGGTTTTTTTTTCCCCCCTTCATTAGGAATTCCTCCGGATCAGCAAAGACTGATCTTTGCTGGCAAGCAGCTGGAAGATGGCCGAACTTTATCTGACTACAACATTCAGAAGGTATGAGTGGGAAAGGGCCAGCCTTGGGTCGGAGGACCCGTTTTGGAATGTTGATGTGCAAAACGTGGGATAAATGGCAGATTCTGAGGTGTCTGCTACGCTAGCCTGGTGTATTTTCTCACACTTAATTTTACAGCCCCTCCCGTGAATTCATGTCTTTCAATCTTGACAGCTAACCGAAGAACGACATACTATGGAGTAGGGGTTCTCCCCATAGCATTGTGTTGTTAGAAAGTATATGGTGTTGCTTGTCTGTTTTCAGTGCAGTGTGAAAGCCAGTTTGCTCTGTCCCATTCGCAGGAGTCCACTCTGCACCTGGTGCTGAGACTCCGTGGTGGTGCCAAGAAAAGGAAGAAGAAGTCGTACACCACTCCCAAGAAGAACAAGCACAAGAGGAAGAAGGTTAAGCTGGCTGTCCTCAAGTACTACAAGGTAAGCCAGCCTTTTCTTCTCCCTAAATGGCCACGATGATGGGAGCTGGCCAGTGTGCAGCCAGGGGCTCCTGCCAGGGTGGCTGGGGCAGAGGTTAGCCAGATAAGATGATCTGGTGTGTTGAAAGAAATTCTTAACACAGCTTTGCACTTTGCAGGTGGACGAGAACGGTAAAATCAGCCGCCTGCGTCGCGAGTGCCCCTCTGACGAGTGCGGTGCCGGCGTGTTCATGGCCAGCCACTTCGACAGGCATTACTGCGGCAAGTGCTGTCTGACCTACTGCTTCAACAAGCCTGAAGACAAGTAACTATGAGGAATCAATAAAAGGCGCTGACCAGCACTTTACTGTTGACTGACTTTTACTTCGGGAACGTAAACGATGGGTTCTTTGTTCTGGTTGGTGCCACGTTTGCCAGTGTGGTGTGTTGCATGGGAAGGTTGTTTCAGTCATTCTGGATGGTTCATCTTGTTCTAGCCTCATGCTAAACTTTGTGTCTGCCAGCTTCTTGAGAGGACCTCCCCACAGTGTAGTGGATAAGACATTTTGGGAACTGCTCTGTCTGTGCTCACTGGATGCCAGTCAGACCATTCCTTTCTGGCTGAATGCTGTATGCTAAAGATGGGTGCTTAAGTCAGAAGGAATACAAAAGAACCAGTTCTTTTAACACTTAAAAATTAAGACTGTTTCAAGCAGCATTTAATACCTGCCACTATGTGAAGGGCAGAAATATAGAGGGAGAGGCAGATCTTATCTGCTGATTCGGTACTGTGTCGGAGACCCTCTTAACCAAAGAAACTGGCTCTCCCTTTGTCAGGGTGGCAGGGATCCAACAGTCGCACCTGCCTGCTGTCTTGCAGGGGCACCTGGGCAGATTCAGACCCAGGCACTCCGATGCCGATGTGTCGATCAGTCTTTTCCTGAGCCACTTAGTTTCCATAGAGTTTAAAATCCTGGATTCCAAGAAGTCTTGGCTAAAACTTCCTTTTCTTCATAACAAACAATTTCATCTCCCACTTTAAATTCTACCTTTTCGTCATCTAAACTAAGACCACAGTCCATTCCAGTTTTGATGGTCGAAACATCATCTTTATGGTGTTTCAGTGAAGTTAACGAGCCTTAAAAAAAAAACCTCAAGGTTAGTTTATTCATGGTAAGCAACTACTACATGCCATATAGTATTAAGTTTGTATTGAAATCATTAGAGTCCTCATGCTAATTGGGTCTAGATATTGATAAACAGTTTGTTCTGAACAAGATCTGACTAGTTTTAAGGTGGGTGGGGATTATATCTAAGCCTGGGGACTGGAGTGAAAAAAGACAAGGTAAAGAAGCATGTCAAGCATTAAGTTACAAAATGGTGGGAGTAAAATTTCCATGAGCCAAGAAGGCAGGTGGAGGAAGCCCACAGTTTGCATGGGTGCCAAGAAATGGCCTGCGCGGATGCCGTGAGTAAGGGAACCAGCCTTCCGGTGACTGACAGCAAGAAATAGATCGACTCGCTTACCCTTCCAAATGATGTGTCCGTTTCGGATTAGTTTAAATTTTTTCTGTTTTTCTAACTGTCCCTTTTGGACTCTGCAGCCAGCGACTGGCACTTTTTTCTTCCCTTCTGTTATAGAGAAGGTAGCAAGTATTGAAGCTTCACCTTTAGAAAGAACAAATTCACAACAGGATTTTGAGAAAACTTTCGAGTGCAAGCATTAATGGTGTGAGAAAACAAATTGAAATTGAAAACACTGATTTACCCAGATAACTCTCCTGACCAAAAACAAATGAGAATTCTTAGTTATTTCATTTGGCTCTGTCAGCTTTCCTCACTGCTTCTCTCTAACATGACCTGATTTGGTCTAACCACCAATAAAAATTGTATGAATTACTAATTTTGACTTGGTTTTCACTGGAAGACATTCCAGTAATGCAGTAACACACTACAGTGCTGTCACAGCCTGGCAGCTGTTAACAACACCACGTGTTAGTGTTCTGACTGCTGTGCTTGTTCACCAGGCTTTCAACTGTTCTTCTCTTACAAACAGATCTCCGCATGACTGCATGGCATGTCAGAAAAGTCCAACATAAATCTGCATGTGGACCAAAAATGTAAAACCAGATCTCATTATGAGGAAACGGGCACATTCAAACTTAGGGATGTTATATAAGATTGCTGGCCTGGGCCTGGCGGCATGGCCTAGTGGCTAAAGTCCTCACCAGGATCCCATATGGGTGCCAGTTCTAATCCCAGCAGCTCCACTTCCCATCCAGCTCCCTGCTTGTGGCCTGGGAAAGTAGTTGAGGATGGCCCAATGCTTTGGGATCTTGCACCCGTGTGGGAGACCTGGAGAAAGTTCCTGACAATGGATCCACACAGCACCAGCCGTTGTGCTCACTTGGGGAGTGAATCATTGGATGGAAGAGCTTCCTCTCTATCTAGCCTTCTCTCTCTGTATATCTGACTTTGTAATAAAAATAAATCTTTAAAAATTGCTGGCCTGTATACATAAAAAGTGTAAAGGTCAAAAATATGGATTGAATAACTTAAGATTACATAAGGCTATAGGAATAATACCAACTAGGGGCCATCACTGTGGCACTGTGGGTAAAGCCACTGCCTACGATACCTGCATCCCATATTGGTACTGGTTTAGTCCTCACTGGAACAGCTTGGAAGAGTGCTTGGGACCCCACCACCTGTGTGAGATGCCCGGATGACACTTCAGCCTGGCCCAGTACTGGCTGTTGCAGCCACTTGGCGAGTTCTCAAATAAATAGATCTTTGAGAAAACTGCTTAAGGGGTCAGCACTGGGACACAGCATGTTACATTTCCATGACAGTCCTACATGGGCACTAGTTTGAGTCCCAGCTGCTTCACTTCCAACTCTGCTCTCTGCTATAACATGCCTGGGCAACCAGCAAGGAATGGTACAAGCACTTGCGCTCCTGGTTTCAGATAGACAGCTCCAGCTAATGTGGCCCTTGTGAGCCAACAGATGGACTATCAATCTCTGTGCCTCTCCAATGAAAAAAAAGTTTTGTTTTTCTAATTGGAAAGGCACAGTTACAGAAAGAAGTAGACAGTGGTCTTCCATCAACTAGTTCACTCCCCAGATGGGTGCAATGGCTGTAGCTGAGCTGATCCGGCAGTAACCAGGAGTTTCTCCCACATGAGTGCAAAGGCCCAAGGACTTAGATCAGCGATGGAGCAGCCAGGGCACAAACAGAATGCTGCCATTGCGAGGCAGAGGATTATCCTGTTGAGCACAGCAGTGGCCTCAATAAATTTTACTAAAAAATATATTATGGTTGGGCCACTCAAGTTTGACTCTAGCTTTCTGCTAACCCTGGCAGACAGCAGTATTGGCCCATGTCACTGGGTTATAGCCAGCCAGGTAGCACTGCTCTGAATTCCTGGATTCTGGCTGCTGGTTTCAGCCTCAAGCCCAACCACTGACTGAGGAATGAACAAGCAGTTGAAAATCCTCTCTCAAAAAAATATATATATAAATGTCAGTATTTTTGTACCACAGTAAATTCTCTTTTAATTTGATTTTCCTCAGTTTTTGAGGTACCTTCCCATTTAGAAGTAAATGAGCACAAGATCTCAAACTTACCTTTAAATCATCCAGTAAAAAGCCAACTGAGTGTGTACATACCACGGGGGAGGAATAAGACAAACAGGGCAAAATTAAACACTTGATTGAACTCAGTAAGGGTTTAGCGGAGTTCCTAAAACTTTTTTTCTTTTTCTTTTTTTTACAATTTTTTAGTGTCTAAATTTGAGGGCAAGATCTCATTGCATATCTGCCTTGTGTCCTCAGAGTCCAAGCATGTTACAGAAGGCAGCTGTTGACAACACATTCAACAGTAGAACAACGTCTCATTTTACAGTATTTATCGTTTCTAAAACACAAGATACATACTGGAAAGGCTTACATTGTGGCATAGCAAGTAAAGCTGCCGCCTGCAATGCCAGCATCCCATATGGACATTGGTTTGAGTGTGAGTCCTGGTTGCTCTATTTCCAATCTAGCTCCCTGCTACAGCCTGAGAAAAGCAAGGAGTCCTTGGGCCCTACTATCTTAGTGGGAGATGTGCAAAAAGCTCCTGGCTCCTGGATTCAGCCGGGCCCAATCCTGGGCATGTGTCCTCTAGGCAGTAACCAGCAGGTGGAAGATCTCAGTGTCTCTGTAACTCTTTCAAATTTATAAATTAAAAAAAAAAAAAAAAAAGGAAGGGAAAAGAGCAAAGAAAGAAAAAAAAAAAACACCATGTACTGGAACAAGAATACATTTGCAGGTGCAATATACTTCAGCTCCACTTTGCTGTCAGGCTGTGCTTACAGCACTTAGACATGAATGGTCAGAAGTGACAGCGGGCATTTACCTACTGTATGTTCTTCCACTGCGCAGGGTAATCTACTGCTCAGTTCCTCTTGCAAATCTTCAATTAACCGGTAAATGATTTTGTGAACTTTAACTTTTACTCCTTTTTTTGCAGCTGACTTTTCGATAACATTGCTTGCAGTCACATTAAAGCCATAAATAATACCTGGCAAGCAGAAACACAATCAATAAAGCAGCACAATATTAACATAACTGATTTGTCTTTCAAAAAGAAACTCAAATCTCGAGTTTTATTTCCTTTTTTGTAAATTTAGGAAGAGCAGTTGGAGGAGAAAAAAAATTGATTTTTCTTATGAGATTAGTACTTTTAGGGCCAACACAATGGTTCAATTGACTAATCCCCTGCTTGGAAGTGCTGGGCACCAGTTCATGTATTGGCTACTCCACTGCTCATCCAGCTCCCTGCTTGTGGCCCGGGAAAGCAGCAGAGGAGGGCTCAAGTCCTTGGGACCCTGCACCCACGTGGAAGACCCAGAACGGGCTCCTCCTTCCAGCCACTGAAGCTATCTAGGGAGTGAACCAGCAGATGGAAGATCTTTGTCTCTCCCCTCTGCAGGTCTGCCTTTCCAACAAAAAGAAATCTTTAAGAAAATTAGTGCATTTACAAATTAATGAAAGAATTTTTAAATTATGTTGTCTTACTAAACGAGGAAAATTTTTTTATAATTTGAAATTCAATCCTTTTAGGAACATTAACTGCCCATAAGTACCAGGCAGTATCCTGAACAAAGCTTTGATTTTACACCAGAGAAACAAGAAAATACGATTGTATTATTTAATAACAATTATATTATAATCATATTTCCTGCCTTTTCTGTGGTTTACAGGTAAGTATTCAGGCGGCCAAGATGACCTAAGACAGCAGCTCCACTGGCAGTAAAGCATTAACAGTTTCAAAGAAACTGTTTGCAAAGAACAAAAATGCATTTAACTGCAACTATTTTGGGAGAAACAAACAGAAAAAGCAAAACATTCTTGCCTTCAACAAACCTAAAAAAAGTTAACCCAAGCAGTTTAATCAAGAGAAAAACACCATAATGCCAAACCATTATGAAATCATTCTTACTAATGATTACCATCAAGAACTCATTCAAGATGATGTTCACACAACAGAGTGTAGCTTAGCACGCACTGAATTCCTCAGCGTGGCTGGCAATGCCTTTTCAGTAGCAAGGGTGACACCAAATTTAAGCAAAGTTACCAGATCTCCTCAGCGATTCACTGATCTCACAAAAACTTTTTCATCAGATGTTGAACAATGACAGTTTTGAGACCCCTTTCTGTACATTGTGTTATACTAATAAAGATGTCGGCTTCTAAGCATTTAAAAGCTTTCAATTAGCAAAAATTGGTGGCCAGAAGTAAAAGATAAATGCAAGTAGTGGCTATGCTGATTACAGTGTTAGGGACACTCAAAAATTAAAATTAACAAAAGACAGAGAACCAAGACCTGGGAGGAGAGGGCTAGGTAAGTAGGTACTAATGTTTGAAACCAAGAAACATTACTGGGTTTTCAAACAGTTCCCCAAGGTTGCAGTAGAATTATGACCACAACAATGTACATCCTGTTTGACTCAGCTGCTGATCAGGGCCGGACTATACAGGGAACAGCCATGTTGCTGGGTTTGTCAGCTGCGAGGAGCCGAGCATCAATACAAAAGCCAAGGGCTGCCAACGGGATTTGGCAACACAGTCTAACATACAGGAAGAGGAATACGTACCGTTAAATGTTTCAGCCATGTTCACATCATTCTCACTAATATCACCCACTCCAAAATGAAGTAATTCTAGTTCGCACTCATGGGAAGCATCGTAGGTAGCCATAATGTTCAAAATGGCCTCAACAGAACCATCGACATCACCTACATAGAGTGACAGTTCAAAACCGTGAGGCTGAGCTGTCAGCATTAACACACCCACAGTGACAACAACCTACATAAAGCCACCGCAGGAATGACATTTCACAAATCCCACTTTTATTGGGCTTAGCATTATACTTATTTAACTTGATAAAGCACAATGAACCAAATGTTAAATCCTAAAAAAAAACCCAAAAAACAACAAACAAACAAAAAACTCACATCAATTTACAACAAAATCAGCAAGTAAGGTTCACTTAGGACATACTTAGATAATTTTCACTTAAAGGCCCAAAGAAGCTGTGAGAATAAATACCTATATTTAAAAAGTGAAGCTGTAAGGTAAAATCATCAAGAGATACCTTTAATGACCACAGGAAGTATGTTTGAGTCTCCCCCTGTTTTCTCCTTCTGCTTGAAGTATGTCTGCTCTTTCCTTTCTAGGTACTTCATGTAAGATCTCTCCTTCCAGTGCAAAGTGCCGTACTTGTCACGGGCTTTCTGATACGCCTCCTGGTGTTCCTTTCGCTTTTCTTCTATTATCTTCAGGTCATCTTTATTTTTCTCCTGTTCTTGTGCATATTTCCTCCAGTCAACAACTTCACGTGCCCGTGGCTTAACAAGAGGGGGGAAAAAATCAGTGTCATTTAATGAAATCAGACACCAGTAACTGTTAAAGGTTTCGTATGTCCCTTCATTATGAAATGTGTTTAAATCATATATGAAATCACTACTTTCATTTGAGTTTATTAAATAATGCATTGCTGAAGTTACTTGAAAATTTCAGGAAAATAATTCTACAGAGCTGGCATGGTGGCATGAGGGTTAAGCAGCCGGCAGTGATGGTATTCCACATAGACATTGGGGTTCAAGCCTTGGCTGCTCCACTTCCAAACCAGCTCCCTGTTAATGCACACGGCAAAGTCCTTAGACCCCTGCATCAATTTCATTCCAGGTAAAACGCCTGGCTCCTGGCCTCAGCCTCGCCCTATCCTTGCTGTTGCAGCCATTTGGAAGTAAATCAGTGTATAGAAGATCTCTCTCTCTCTGCATCTCGTGCCCTGTAACTCTTTGAAATAAACACAGAAATAAAATCTTGAAGAAATAATAATTTTGTAGCCAACTATTAAAATGCCATGGTCAGGAGGTGGGGTGGCACTGGCAGGGTAAGCCTGTGCCTGTGATGTACCAGTTTGAGTCCTCACTCCGCCACTTCCCATCCAACTCCCTGTTAATGGCCTAAGAAAAGCAGTAAAAGATGGCCCAGGTACTTGGGTCTCTGTTACCAACATGGAAGACCGACATGAAGCTCCTGGCTTTGGCCTGGTCCAGCCCCATTTGGGAATGAACCAGCAAATGGAAGACTTCTCTCTATTTCTCTCTTTCTCTCCCTCGGTAACTTTGATTTTCACATAAACAAAATAAATCTTCAAAAAATAAAGTAAGAGAAAATGGGACGTGGGCATTGTAGCCCAACAGGACAGCTGCTGCCTCGGATGGAAATGTGCTTCACTGTAGTCCCCATCCATTAAAAAGGAAAAAGACGATGGCTCAAGTGCTGGGATCCCTCCCACCACGTGGGAGACTGGGGTGGGTTTTTGGGGCCCTCACTTTGGCCAGGCCCAGTACAGGCTGCTGTGGCCCTTTGGGGAAATGAGTCAATAGAATCAAGGTCTTTCTTTCTCAGTCTCACCCTTTTTGTCACTCAGGTAAAAATACATGAGCAAATACTGAAAAATAAAATAACACAGTGTGACAGATTCCCCCTCTCAGTTCCTCATAATCCAGAATTTACCAACAGTACTCTTGTTTTGTTATAACATTATGGATTGACATCAATGTACCTAACAGATGAAAATGAAGCTGGATGTACCTCCGATTCTACTTCAAGAATTTCATCACCTGCAGAAGGAAGGTCTTTCCAGCCAATAATTCCCACTGGCATGCTGGGATGGGCCTCGCTGATTGTTTTTCCATTTTCATCAAACATCAAGCGTACTTTTGCCCAAGTTTTTCCAGCAACTAGAATCGAGCCTTTCCTCAAAGTTCCTCTTTGAATTATAGCTGTAGTAACAGGGCTAAAGTGGAAACAAGAGCATATACTGTTCATGTGAGAGGATGTCATTCTACTACCTAGAACAGAGGTAACTCGATGAGGCTTAAATATTAACGGACAAATGAGGACACATGGCTAAAGCCCTTCTCAATTTCTCAAGCAGTTTTTCATGACATAGCAAGATTTCTTCATAACAGCAAAGAGATGGAAGTGGCCCAAAAGTCCATTACCAAATGAATGAACACTCTGTTCAAACAAAATGTGACATTACCTTCAAGGAGATACTATGCAGCCCTAAAAAGGAAGGATGTCTGCTTTAGGCCACAATGTGTGCGAATCTCTACAACATTACACTAAATAAAATAAAACAGTCACAAGGGGACAGACACCATATGGTTCTATTCATGAACGCAGGCAAAATAATAAAAATATGAAAGAGAAAGATGATGTCAAAGGCGGGGGGAGGGCAAATCAGTGCATTTTAACAGGTTTAGAGTTTCAGTTTGGGAAATGAAAAAGTCCTAGAAACCTTTCATAAAACAACGTGAATACACTTGGCAGTACTAAACTGCACACTTAAAAACAGTTAATGTAAAAAATTTAATGTTACTTTTCTTTTGCCACAAAAAAAGTAAAAACATTTCTAGAAGGCTATGCTAAGGAAAGGAGCAGGAGGCAGATTGCTCTGAGAGAATCCCAATTCACTTTCTGTCTCACCCCCATGGATGTACCCAAGACACTGGGAGACAGCTCAGAGGCTGCTCACAGTTGTTACAAAACTCTCTTACATCCAGGTAGGAATATTCAAGAAAAGAACTGCATTTCAATTCTATATGTACAGCAAAGGTCATACATAAAGAGTTTATAAACCCTAAAATGTAACAAGTGATAGTTCAACCCAATTCATGTTAATCTATATGAGACTTTAACAATGAGCACAAATCTGGGGAAAAGATTTTTTTTTAAGATTTATTTTATTTTTATTACAAAGTCAGATATACAGAGAGGAGGAGAGATAGAGAGGAAGTGGAGCTGCCAGGATTAGAACCAGTGACCATATGGGATCCTGGTGCATTCAAGGCAAGGCCCTTAGGCACTAGGCCACGCTGCCAGGCCCGGGAAAAGATTTTTTAAAAGTGAAGTGCTTCAGTCATCCAGATATGACTTAAGTAGCTGCCCCAAGGTTCATTGACGTTGAGCCAAGCTCCCTTTCTTCCTCAAAGGCTGCCTAACACTGCCGTGTATGTGTGCATCATGGAGGGTTGCTCGGCTGCTGACAGTAACTGATTCTGAGTGCTCTGTGTGCTACTAAAATAACATACTTCATGAAAACAAATGCTTTGAAAATCCTGTTCATAGACAAATAATAACTTAATAAAATAATATACTGTTATAAATTAATTTACAAAACGGTTGGAATAAAACTATTTTACAGAACAAGGCCTTCAGCAGTCCTACCCTCTTCCTTTGTCTGTGAAGGACTCGATCACCGTTCCTTCCACTGGGCCAGTGCGATCTGCCTTCAGCTCCAATATTTCTGCAAGAGCAATTGTTGCTTCCGCCAGAGCCATCAGGTTATCACCCTTAAACACAACAATCAAAGATACTACCACACATTAGCAAACATTCTCTATAAATAGGAATCCCAATGTCAGAAAGCCATGGTCCTTCACACTAACTGCACTTTTCTCTTTAAGCAAAAAAAAAAGCAGGAAAAAGGGATCAAGAAAGAAACGGAAGGAGTCAGCAAGAAACCCTGACAAGGACAGATCTTGCAAAAGACACATGGATATATTTTTCTAAAGGATGGCCACTGCCAGTGCTGGCTAACATTCCTTCATATGGGACAGAGTCCGAAGCAGCAGTTGATAGTCAATGTGTGAGCCCAGCATGATGGCTCAGTAACTAAATCCTGACCAGGCATGTGCCAGGATCCCACCTAGGCACCAGGTCCTGTCCTGGCTGACCCTTTTCCCATCCAGCTCCCTGCTTGTGGCCTGGGAAAGCAGTCGAGGACGGCCCAAAGCCTTGGGCCCTGTACCCGTGTGGGAGACCCTAAAGAAAGCTCCGGGCTCCTGGCTTTGGACTGGCTCAGCTCTGGCTGCTGCAGCCATCTGGGGAGGAAACCAGCAAGAGGTCACAATTGTTCTCTCTGTTTTCTAACACACATACATATTCTGTAATGTTGTGCAGGTGTTAACACAAGCTAGGCGTTGCGAAGAGCACTCCTGTGCCAGCACAGCTGTCCCCACGGCCCCCGCACTCACCGTCAGTGCAGAGACATGCACAGCCTGCACATCACCTCCATAATCTTCGCACACCACATCGTAAGCCAGCAGCTCTTTTTTCACCTTCTCAGGATCAGCATCAGCTTTGTCACATTTGTTTATGGCAAGGACAATAGGAACTGAAAGAGAAAGAGCCAAGAAAGGGCAAATGATGATTTGTTTAGGTCCAGGTATTCACAGCGAATGACACACACATGTTCGGGTTTTCTCCAACTCAGTGGATTTACTTATGTAAGAAAAGGTCTGGAGCCCAGCGCAATAGCCTAGTGGTTAAATCCTTGCCTTGCATTTGCTGGGATCATATATGTGGACCAGTTTGTGTCCCAACTGCTCCACTTGCCTCTAAACTCCCTACTTGTGGCTCAGGAAAGCAGTAGAGGAAGGTCTAAGACCTTGGGACTCTGCACCCACATGGGAGAGCCAGAGGAAGTTCCTGGCTCCTGACTTCAGATTGGCTCAGCTTAGGGCATTGTGGCCAGTTGGGGAGTGAACCAGTGGATGGAAGATCTTTCTCTGTGTATCTCCTTCTCTCTGTAAATCTGCCTTTCCAATAAAAACAAACAAATCTTATAAAAAAGAGAGGAAAAAGAAAAGGTCTGACAGACCTATTTTAGAGTTGTATCACTCCAGTCTGTTTTCTACATGAAAGGGAAACCATATGCAACAGAAACCTAAGGTGACCACCCACCCCCAAAATAATACTTTTAGCAGAGGAATGCTGCCAGTAGTCCCAAATCAAAATCAACAAAAAGAATCAAGGGAAGATTCTGATTTAATACCATCAGATAACATGACTATTTTTCCTGGCTTTATTAACTCATTGTGAAACCAAATATCTCATCCTGGCTTGAAACTAAGCATGACTACAGCAAAATTTTCTATTAGGTTTGTGGCAACTCTCTTCTCACACCTAGCTCAGTGAACAACACATGGCAGGCTCACAATAAACATTTGCTTAACAAATAAGTCAAATATCCTATAATACTCTTTCCATTATTAACTAAATACACCTTCTTGTTAAATATATCAAACAACATTCAAGGAGATATGCTCTAATTTCACCAGCTCCACAATTTTATTAAGTACTGAAATAACAGAAATTTTAAAAGATAGCCCAAGGTCCTTAACATTCCATGACTTATTATTGTGGAAAGATACAATCTATGCTTATGAATTGGAATTTAATGGAGACTGCGAGAATATGTACAAAAAAGCACAGCACCAATTAAAACATCTCAACTAACTGCTTTGTTACACAATCTGCAGTGAATTTATCCCTATATTCCTTTTGTCACTTACTGCCTAGAATCATTCCCTACGCGCCACTTAATATTAACACCAAAACGCATTTAAAAACATTTTTTTTCCTGAAGAATTAAAAACAACAGAGAGAGAATGGTATTGTGGCATAGCAGTTAAAGCGGCTGCCTGTCCTACAACTCTGCTTTCAAATAAATAAATCTAAACATTTAAAAAAAAAGCGGGGGAAGAGAATAACCTTGGAACCCCAAAGACGCAGTTTCCAGAGGCAGCAAGTAGCAGCTTAGCTCTACAAGCACAGCAGGCGGCGTGCTGACTGAGACTACGTAGCCTTCTTACTGTAAGATGTAAGAACAGGGATTCCAAATCCTATTTTTTTTCCCCTCTAGTTAGCACAGTTCTAGGAAATAAAACCTACTCTACCGGGTACATATTTTCAGTGGTGACACCTGCAGGGACATAACAGAGTAAAAATGAAAGTACAGAGAGTGTGTATTTGTGCTATTTGTCATCCCAAGCATTTGAAAATCATTCTGTTTTTTAAGCTTATTTTTTATTTACTTTTTTTCTTACTTTTTGTTTTGTTTTGTTTTGTTTGTTAGGAAGAAAGAGACAGAGACAGAAAGCCAGAGACTGGTTCACTTTCCAAATGCCCACAACAGCCGGGTCATGTTGAAGCCGAAAGCTCAGAGTTCCACCTGGATCTCCTCCGGCGGCAGCAGGGACCCCACTGCCTGAGGCCTCACCTGCTACTGCCCAGGGTGTGCCCCAGCAGGCAGCTGGAGCTGGAAGCAGAACCAGGCTGCAGCCCAAGCGGCCTGTTCACCACTGTGTCAGACACCTGCCTGCATCACAGTAAAAATAAGTAAGACAGAAGCTGACCCAGAGAATTTCTACAATTTTCAGTTTTATCTGCTTTATCAAACAAAACTTATTCAAAGCAGATGAATGTGAAGTGAGAACAATTCCAGATAATAAATAAAAATAACACTATCACTGTGCAAACTTTAATGATGTAACTGGTAAGAACAGGAATTCATTATTCTTTTCTATTTTTTTTTTAATCTTATTCGAGAGGAAGAGAGAGGCAAGGCAGAGAACAAGAGCTCGCTTCCACTGGTCTACTCCCCACAGCCCTTTCGCAGGGGCTGGGCCAGGCCTAAGCTGGGGTGCAGAGACGTGAGCCAGCTCTGCCATGAGCATGTCTGAGGCCCAGCTACTCGCGTCACCACCTACGCTGACCAGCTTTGGATGAAGCCAGAGTGTGGAAACCAGGAGCCAAAATCTAAACCCGGCACTCAGGGGACACAGGCACCTTCCTGGGCAAAATGCCTGTAACTATTCTTACTTTTGTTATCTTTTAAAAATTCTTTTGATGATAGAAAGTTTAAGACAAAAGTCATAGTAGAGGAAAGATTGTACTTGTGGTTTACAAGTGCCAAGTCTTCCTATTAGTTCTAAGTCAACAGGAAAACAACGTAACTGTGTTTGAGGTTTATCTACAAAGTAGGTATAACAATACTGGGATTGCTCTGAAGAATAAATGAACATATGTAAATAGCCCTGGAACTGCGAATGTTAACAAGTCCTGAAAAAATTAAAACCAACTTGCTGACAGGTATCTGTCAGCTACACTGCACCTTGAGCATCTTTAGCATGCTGAATAGATTCCACAGTCTGTTTCATCACGCCGTCATCTGCAGCTACAACCAATACCACGATGTCAGTGACTTGGGCACCTCTGGCTCTCATTGCTGAAAAAGCAGCATGGCCTGGGGTATCGAGAAAGGTGATCTTCTCCCCAGAAGGCATAGAGACTGTGGAAACAGAAATCCAAGAACATGAAGAACCCTTATTAGGAAGAACAGTAGGTGACAGTATCAATACTTTTATCTCTTCCACTAAGGATTTATTATTAAAGATTTATTTATTTTTATTGCAAACTCAGATATACATAGAGGAGGAAAGAAAGAGGAACATCTTTCATCTGATGATTCACTCCCCAAGTGAGCACAATGGCCAGAACTGAGCCAATCCAAACAGGCCAGGATCCAGGAGCCTCTTCCGGGTCTCCCACGCGGGTGCAGGGTTCCAAGGCTTTGGGCTGTCTTCTACTGCTTTCCCAGGCCACAGGCAAGAAGCAGGACTTGGGAAGTGGGACTGCCGGGACATGAACCAGTGCCCATATGGGAACCCGGTGTGGTAAAGGCGAGGACTTTAGCTGCTAGGTTACCATGCCTGGCCCTCTTCCACTAATCTTAATCAGAACATACAGATCATGACCTCATAATGAAATGTTATACAATATCTTCAAAAACTTCCATATAATAATTTCCAATTAACATTCTTCACATTTCCAGCCTATGACCAATTTCCTAACCATTCTGATACATATTTCTGCAGACAGAACAGATGAATAGTTTTATAGGCTGTCACCCATACAACAGCATATCATGGCCACACAACTACTAGAGCCACAGAAAGCCACTTCGAGGGCCCTGCGTGATAGCCTAGCAGCTAAGGTCCTCGCCTTGCACATACCAGGAGCCCAAATGGGCACCAGTTCTAAACCCTGTGGCACCGCTTCCAATCTAGCTCCCTGCTTGTGGCCTGGGAAAGCAGTCGAGGATGGCCCAAAGCCTTGGCACCCTGTACCTGTGTGGGAGATCTGGAAGAAGCTCCTGGCTCCTGGCTTCAGAGTGGCTCAGCACTAGCCCTTGCAGCCGCTTGGGGAGTAAATCAACGGAAGGAAGATATTCCTCTCTGTCTCTCCTCCTCTCTGTATATCTAACTTTGCAATAAAAATTAAATAAATCTTTAACAACAACAACAAAAAAGCCACTTCGGTACACAGTTAACAGTTTGTGATTTCAATCCAACAACCTTGGGTTTAAATTCGTTTGAGAAAATGACTTAACTGAAGAGTTTCCAAGCTCCTACCTTGTATAAGTAAGAATATGAGTATGTACCTCGGGACACTGTTGTGAGGATTAAAAGGTAAGGCGTACAAGGCGTTCGGCACGGTGCTGAAAGCAGCTCAGTGCTGGGTAAATTGTAGTATTATTTAATTAGTAATAACATCAACAAAACCTAGTATTGGACGTCCTGTGGATACAATTCACTAATGAAAATTTTAGACTTATTATACTAAACTGAGACTAAAGTAAAACAAAAAAGGTAACACAACCGATTTCTTATAGAATATAGATGATAAAAAAGAATATATGATAAACGGCATTATACATTTTGTTAATCCACTGGACTGAAGCTTTAGCCTTCCCTTACTTTGAAATTGAATATTTCATACTGATGTTTGGTTTAAGAACACAGCAATTGGGGTTCCCAAGCATGCTGCAGGTAATTCGCTTTCATACCAAGAAAGGCCCCGATGTGCTGAGTGATGCCGCCAGCTTCCATTGCTGCCACTTGAGTTTTTCGAAGTTTGTCAAGTAACGTCGTTTTCCCATGATCAACATGGCCCATGATAGTAACAACTGGGGACCTTGGGGTTAACACGGCTGCATCTGCTGGGGGCCTACAATTCATAGCAAAGGAATTTCATGTCTTCAATATCAGAAACACTTTATATCCTATGAATAATTTGCAGTTATCTCTGTGTGTTACCATTAACAATGAGATTCAACACTCACAATTTTATTTCTTTTATTATATTATTGTTCTAACATGCAATAATGACAGACTCTCTATTTATAAAATAACATACTTTTTGATGCTTTAAGGCACTTTGAAAAAAGTTTACCTATAAACGCACACCATTTTATTTAAAAAAAGATGTGGGTTTTGTTTTTTCTAATTTACTTTAAGGGTACAACTTCCCACTAAAGCCTACGTGTAAAGTTACGCGGTTTTTCCTTGCCAGCAAACATGGCTTTACCTTCTTACTACATCCTTATTTTCTCTGACTTTGTCTTGCTTTAATTTACTCCACTTGAACTTCATGTCTGCCTTTTTAATCACTTCTTTGATCCAGACTTCTTCTAAACGTGAGTTTGCTTCTAGGGAATCGACATCAATAGCAGTGTTCAGTAGAGCTTCGTATACATAATCTGATGGAAATAAAAGGAAATCTTTATAATCTTTATAATACATGACATAATACTTCTACATATTTATTTCTGCATACCTGAGCATTTATGAACCTCATTAAACCATCCATGACATCAATAGTACATTAAATTGAATGTTATATATAAATACACTTATAAAGTTTGCCTTTTTTCTTTTAGATTTACTTTTTTTTTAAAGATTTACTTATTTATTGGAAAGTCAGATATACAGAGAGGAGGAGAGACAGAGAGGAAGATCTTCCCTCGGATGATTCACTCCCCAAGTGAACGCAACAGCCAATGCTATGCTGATCCAAAGCCAGGAGCCAGGAACTTCTTCCGGGTCTCCCACGCAGGTGCAGGGTCCCAAGCCTTTCGGCCGTCCTGGACTGCTTTCCCAGGCCACAAGCAGGGAGCTGGATGGGAAGTGGAGCTGCTGGGATTGGAACCGGTGCACATATGGGATCCTGGCGTGTTAAAGGCGAGGACTTTAGCCACTAGACCACCTCTTTGTTTTGTTTTTATTGGAAAGGCAGATTGTTTACAGAGAGACATAGCTTCCATCCACTGGTTCACTATCCAAATGGCCACCATGGCCAGAGCTGTGCCAATCTGGAGCCAGGAGCCAGAGCTCCTTCTGGATCCTAAGCCTTTGGCACCTCCTCTACTGCTTTTCTAGGTCACAAGCAGGGAGCTGGATGGGAGGAAGGGCAGCTAGGACACAATCCAGTGTTCATAAGGGACATATGTGCTTGCAGGTACAGGATTAGCTAGTTGAGCTATTGTACTGGCCTCTAACTCATTTCTTTAAATCTTGCAGTGACATATATCATGAATATCTTAATGTGTGCATAGAGAAAAATTCTTATTATCTGAATATATTCTGTGAAGTCATCACAAACATTAAAAAGCAAATACTGAATCACTGCTGTGAGGAGAAATATATGGTTATGTTACTATAGGCCAAATATTTCAACAATGGGTTTATATATAATATTTTTTACAATTGAAACAATTTGTAAAATGTACTTGCATATAATCGATTCATTAACAGTGAATTCACAGCCAGTAGCACTACTATGAAGCCTGAACATGCTATCAAAGACAGGCATTTTCTGTGAGTGTTCTTGCATTTAGGAACATGGCACCTTGGTACTACACTAAAAGATCATTTAAACAGTAAAAGCACCTATGAAAAGCATAAATACTCATAAAATAGGGTAATAAATTGACCATAAAAGTGGCATCTGTTTCCTGGCTCTTTGGTTAGGATCAGCTCAGCTCTGGCAGTTGCAGCCACTGGGGGAGTGAACCAGTGGATGGAAGATCTTTCTGTGTTTCCTTCTTTCTGTAAATCTGCCTTTCCAATAAAAATAAAGAAATCTTTAAAAATAAAATAAAATAAAAAGTCAAAATAAGAAGGCATTGCATCACCTAGATCAATCTCAGCCAGAAAGAGGGCTTCGGGCGGCTCAAAATCTCATCACCTCGTCCAAGTTCAACAATATTGGCTAAAGCACCCTGACCACTGACTTTTGAGTGAAAAATACATTTTGCGAGCACATGAACTTGTAAATATAAAATCAGTGAATAATGGACAGCATATATACAAACATATAGAGAATATTCCTGAACACGAACACAATCTGTTTATTATTCATCTATTTAGGGTATCCAGAAAGTTCTGAAGTACAGGAAAAATACTCATTCTCTCATTTAATATATTTTATTATCTTAGCCAACTTCCCTGTGATAATAATTAAATGTATCTGTGTTGATAATGAACTTCTATCACCAGGAATGCCTTAAGCAACTCACCTATTTACCTGGACGCATTTCTACTACGGGACCCTCAGGTTTCCAAAACACCTAATTTTTTTCCCAAACTGTTTTCCAGTTCTGTTCTGGGTGAGACGCAATGACCGGTCCTTATGAGCCTGAACAGGCGAGATCCTACCACAAGAGCAGGACACAACTAAAGGAGCGCTTCGCTCAGCAGTGTGCTGGCGAGTGCTTCACAGCCAGGCCCCACCAATCCAGACACACAAATCCCTAATCTACAGCATTTCTCTTTCTTGGTGGAAATATCACAGTCTTTTTCTTTTTTAAGCCTTATTTTTCATTTGAAAGTCAGAGTCACAAAGAGAGACAGAAGGTCTATGGCCATACCACCCTGAACATACCCGATCTCGCCTGTTCTTGGTAGCTAAGCAGGGTCATGCCTGGTTAGTATTGGATGGGAGAGACAAAGGAAAGGAGGGAGAGATCTTCCAACTGTACGTCCAGGTCTCTGACATAGGTATAGGTGTCCAAGGCCTTGGACCACTCTCTGTTGCTTTCCCAGACCATTAACTGGGAGCTGGCTCAGAAGTGGAGCAGTCAGGACTCAAACTGGCACCCACATGGGATGCCAGCATTGCAGGTGGAGTATTACTCTACTACACCATGATACCAGTCCCTCCCTTGGTTTATCTTAATCTGAGTGTCCCATGGGAGAAGACTGTTTGCCCTCCAGGGCCTAAAGGCAGAGGTACAGAGAGAAAGGGAGAGAGAGATCTCCTATCTGCTGGTTCTCTTCCCATTTAGCTGCCACACTCGGGGCAAAGGAGGAGAGACAGAGAGGAAGATCCTCTGTCCGTTAATCCACTCGTCAAGCGGCCAAAATAGCCAATGCTGCTCCGATCTGAAGCCAGAAGCCTAAGTTTTTCACCTACAAAGTGACCACAAAACCTAGGGCAGGTGTGTGGCACAGCAGCTAAGATGTTCTTTGGTACATCCCATATCAGAGAGTGTGCTTTCAATCCCAGTTTTACTTCCAATTCCACTTTCCTGCTGATGCAGACCCTGCACCACTGGTCGCTCAGGTACTTAAATCCTTGCCATGCATGTGGAAGATCAGAAAGGAGTTCCAAGCTCTGACTTCAGTCTAGCCCAGCCATCGCAACTGCAGGAACTGGGAAGGGAACCAGCAGATCAAAGATTTTTTTTTTCTGCCACCCTGCCTTTTAAGTAGCTGGAAACAAACATTTAAAAAAAACCTGGAACCGACAGCTCATGAAATGTCTCAGAAAAAAAGTTTAATTTGGATAAGAAGATCTTTTTCTTTTTAATATAAGAAAATCTTACCACTTTTACTAGAAGCAAGATATCCAAGAACTACCTTTGGCAGAATCAAGAAAATATCAGGATTTATGATCTCAAGTAGAACATACGGAAGCCACTTAACATCTTTGTAAAGTGACAGTCCACTTTTTATCCGTGAACGCCTTAATCCCAAGGCAAGCAGTGTTCAGGTCCTCCATGTTCCCACGTTCTCCGTGTACGACTGTATGGCCTACCTGTGTCTTTCTCCATTGCTTTAGCCAGTTCCTCGACAGTCATTCCAATCCATACTTCTATCTCCTTTTTGGGTTTCGTTGAAGGTAACTGAGGTTTCCATGGCTTTTTTTCCTATTCCACAGATGGAGGTAAAAGCAAGATATGAAAGCATTTAAGTGGTAACTGAGGTTTACGCTGCAATATCTACCATAATCATGGTTACTGCTGCTATCGACAAACACTCCTACAGCAGCTAAACCTTAGGCTAAAACAGAGACCCAGTTTCCTGAATTCACTGTTACTCTGATTTCCAAGTAATCCAGTCCATCAGCAAGACCCACCATCTAGCTGAAACATCCCTTCCTCCCAAACCCACTGTCAGAAGTATAACCCTAAGACGCGGGTTCTTTGGACACAAAGCCCTCCTGAGCAGGCTCAGTCACTGCCATCTCAGACCAAGGAATACAAGAAGCAAGAGAAATCTCCAACTACCTTCTTTGTTACCAGCAGCCTATACTGACATAAAGCCGTCCTGAGGAGCAGGTGTCCCCTCTGGGGCCAGGCGGACCGCTGCGCTGTCCCGGCCAGGGGAGCGGAGCCACAGCCCGGGCCCCACCTGGCCGACGCACTCCTTTGACCCAGGACATGCAGCCGTCTGCAAACAATGTGTAATTGTAGCAAGTTCTCCAACTTCAACAGCTTCTGGTTCATATTCCTCCTAGGAAAACATGAAAGATTTTAAAATGACATTTGGTTATGATTTGCTGTTACTATGAGTAAATGGTGGTTCTTGCCCTGCGAGAGCTTAAACTCCAGAGATGGCATTTCCCGCCAAGCCAAGTACTCTCCAGACTGTAGCTGCTACTACTGTTACAGTTACTGCCTGATAGGACTCAAACTCAAAAACAAGTACTGCCTCTCTTCTTTTTAAACAAGGGCAGATACACAGAGAGGAGGAAAGGCACTCGGTCTGTTGATTCACTACCCAAGTGGTCGCAACGGCCAAGCCAAGCCGATCCAAAGCCAAGAGCCAGGAACCTCTTCAGGTCTCCCTCGAGGATACAGGGTCCCAGGGTTTAGGGCCATCCTCGACTGCTTTCCCAGGCCACGAACAGGGAGCTGGATGGGAAGTGGGACTACCAGAACATGAACCAACACCCATATGGGATCCCGGCACATGCAAAGTGTGGACTTCTGCTGCTAGGCTACTGCGCTGGGCCCCTTCTTTCACTTTTGAAATGTCAAGTGCTGTATCAACAACCACAGTGAATTTTCCAAAATATAAATTTGATCTCATCATTTATCAATTAAACACACTGCAATGATTCCCCATAATTCCCTGTTCAACATACAACTTGAAGGGCCTGTGGTGAGGGTTAAGCTGCTGCTTATGGTTTTGGCAGGCGACATGAGGCACTGGGTTGAGCTGCTGCTACTCAGCTTCAGACCCAGCTTTCTCCTAACGTGCCTGGGAAGGCAGCATTAGATGGTTCCATTCCTCTGGCATTGTCACCCCTGGCGTTCCTGACACCTGCTTTCAGCCTAACCCAGCAAACTGCACCCACCTGCGGAATAAACCAGTGGATAAAAGATCTCTTTCTCTCCGTTTTTAAATAAATATACTCATTTGGTCGTTTTTTTTTTTTTTTAATGCACAACTTTGAGACTGACACAGTGTTTCAACAGACTGATCCCCCACGTTGCAGCGCCGGCATCCCATACTGGCATAATCCAGCTGCTCCACTTCTGATCAAGCTCCCAGCTCATGGACTGGAAAAGCAGCAGAGGCTGGCTCAAGGCCTAGGGACCTCGCTCCCACATGGGAGACCCAGAAGAGGCTCCTGGCTTCAGATTGGCTCAGCTCCAGCCATCTGGGGAGTGAAGCAGCAGATGGAAGATCTCTCTCTCTCCTCTCTGTACATTTATCAAATAAATTTTTTAAAAAACACAAACCTTCATAACATGCTACATACTTCCTTCACCTGTAACCCTCTTATGCCCCCTCCCTCCTGAGGTTGTCATTCCGACCTGCTTGGATCCTTGATGGCTTGTCATCTAATTTCTTGATCACTGCATATGCTTCCTCCAGCTAGAACTGAGATTCAATTCATACTAATGTCCCTCTCCCCATCACACCTCCTCCAGAGACACTTTATAATGGGAAGAAAGCAACTGATTAAATAATGTCTTTCACATATTATTCCTGGAATAAGAGTTTACTGAGAGAAAATTCCAACAAAGCTAGTCAGTAAAAGTTTTTATCTCCCAGATCCTCTATTTCTTCTCAAGATGACATTTTAAGTTCTCCTAGTCAATTGAAACAGTGTACACATCCATGGAAGACACAGAGAGAATCCTTGGGTTCCCTCTCCAAATAGTTCCGAGAGCCAGCATTGCCAGTCAGACGCCAGGAGCCAAGAATCTCTTCCGGGTCTCCCACACGGGTGCAGGAGTCCAGCGACTTGAGTTACCCTCTGCTGCCTTCCCCCACATATTAGCAGGAATATGGACTGCAGCAGTAAAGATACGAACCGGCATGCACAGAGTATGTCAGCGCCACAGGCATGGACTTTACCTGTAAGCCACAGCACCAGCTCCTCAAGACTACATTTCTTAAGCTTTTCAGTCCTTAAAAGTCAACAGAGCCCAGCATGATGGCTCATTAGTTAAATCAGTTCAGACCCAAGGGAACCTGCTTTTTGGAAAGATTATTTAGTAGAGTAGTCCACGTTACAAAAATCACCCTTAGTGGATTAGCGTGCTGTCTCAATCGGCTAACCCTCCACCCCCAAGTGCCAGGATTCCTTATGGGCACCAAATCATGTTACAGCTGCCCCGCTTCCCATCCAGCTCCTACCTATGGCCTGGGAAAGTAGCAAAAGACAAGCTAAAGCATTGGGACTCTGAATCCATGGGAGACAGAGAAGCTCCTGGCTCTTGGCTTAAAATCAGCTCAACTCAGCTCTTGCCATTGCAGCCATTTGGAGAGTGAACCAGTGGGTGGAAAGTCTTTGTTTCCCCTTCTCTCTGTAGACCTGCTCTGCCTTTCCAATTAAAAAAAAAGCCAAGAACAACCAACATAATGTTGGTAAATATTTCCCAAGAGTCATATTCCAAGCACTGTGCTTGTGTTGCTGATTCTAAACTTAATAAGCCACGGTCCCTTTCACAGAGTTCACTGCCTTTAAAGGATTCCAGTGCTCAGGCAACCTAGATATAATAACTAGTCACAACCCAGGGTGGCATTCTCACTGCAATAATGCATACTACTCCTCCTCTAAATTATGCAACTTAATGGGTTTTTCGAATGGAGAATAAATTTGTAAGTAGTGGGTCTTGGTCTTCTTAGACTCTTCTATACAGATTTCCTTGTACTCACTTCGCAAAAAAACTTCATCAAGGAAAGAAAGGGACTTGGCCTAGTGGTTAAGAAACCGATTGAGAGCCTCTCGCGCCATCCTGGAGTGCCCAGGACACTGGGCTCAGGCCTGAATCCAGCCCTGGGAAGCAGTGCTCATGGACTGAATAATCAGCTTCCCCCACCGCGGCGTGAGGCCAGGAGTGACGGAGCATCTGAGGACGCAGGAGGAGTGATAAGTGGACGGGAGCACTCTGCCTTTTTCTCTCTCTGAATCTCTCCCCCACCACCAAACAAAAAAGCCTCGATCAACTTTCATTTTTCAAAGACTTGTTTATTTGCAAACAGAATGAGAGAGAGAGAGGAGACAGAGTTAGAGTTCTTCCATCTGCTGGTTCAACCCCCAAATGGTTGCAGTGGTCCTGCTTGGGCCAGCATGAAGTCAGGAGCTGGGAACTCTACAGCAGGGTCTCCTGTGTGGCTGTGGCCGGGACTGGGCCATCTTCCCTTGCTTGGTGCACTGCCAGGGAGCTGGGCTGGGAAACAGGGCAACTGGGATTCCAACCAGCACCCATACATCCCCTAAACGTATGTGATGGCCCTGATCAAGTATTAAAACACAAAACAAAAGAGGTAACTGAAACAGACCACAATAAAGCGAGAAAAGGTACCTGACTAGGGAAGAAAAGCGCCCTGGAGGGACACCTGCTCGGAGCGGGTGTGCACTCGAAGTGTCCCAAGTGAGTTACTTGTCTCTAGCAGGCGGCATTTCCATACTCCCTGTAAGAAGAAAACACATGCGTACAAATGTCCTTCCTATCACCAGGCAATAGGAGGCAATGGAATGATGTGTATTGTCATCAGCAAAATATTTTAAAATTGTTTTTCAAATTATGATTGATATGTTTTGAGAAATCACTACATTTATGTTAGAAATATTTACAAGACACTATCTTGTTGACTTATAGATAACTCTGAGGTTTTCTTTACACATTTAACAGTCATCAGTTTTTAAAAATTAAAAAAAAAGAGGGAGAAAGGAAGAAAGGGGAAGAGAGAAAGGAGAGCAGGACACTCCCATTTAATGCCTCACTATCCAAATGCCTATAAAAGAGGCAAGATCCAGGAATTTGATCCAAGTCTCCTGCTGGGATACCACAGCACCTTTTAAAAAATTTACTTATTTATTTATTCTTATTGGAAAGGCATATATACAGAGAGGAGGAGAGACAGAGAGAAAGATCTTTCACCTGATGATTCACTCTCCAAGTGACCGCAAGAGCCGGAGCTGAGCCAATCCAAAGCCAGGAGCCAGGAGCTCTTCTAGGTCTCCCACACAGGTGCAGGGTATGAAGGGTTTGGGCCGTCCTTGACTGCTTTCCCAGACCACAAGCAGGGAGCTGAATGGGAAGCTGGGCCTCTGGGATTAGAGCCAGTGCCTGCATGGGATCCCAGTGTGTGCTAGGCGAGGACTTTAACCATTATGCCATTGAGCCGGACCCAAAGCATCTTTTCATTTCTTTAAATATTTGTTTACTTATTTATTTGAAAGTCAGAGTTACAAACAGAGGGAGACACTGAGAAGGATCTTGCACTTGCTGGCTCACAACTCAGATGGCTCCAGTGGTCCTGCAGGGCCAGGACAAACCAGCGGGACCACACACTTGGTTCATCTCCCACTACTTTTCCAAGGCCTTTAGCTGGCAGCTGGACTGGAAATGGAGTATCCAGGACATGAACCAGTACCCAAAGGGATACTGGCATTGGTGACAGTGTTTTCAAACACTATACCACAACACAGCCCCAGTACCTCAACATCTTGTTATGCCAGAGCTAACATTCTAAGTAAATATTAAAACACATGTGATTTAATTTCAAAAAAATACATTAAGATTTTAGAAATTCTTTCAATAGTAACCATGTATTTAAACACTTCAAGAACTGTGCACGTAGGGCCCAGCATGTTGGCCCAGCAGCTAAGGTCCTCGCCTTGTACATGCTGGAATCCCATATGGGCGCCAGTTCTTATCTCAGTGGTACCACTTCCCTTCCAGCTCCCTGCCTGTGGCCTGGGAAAGCAGTCAAGGATGGCCCAAAGCTTTGGGACCCTGCACCCGTGTGGGAGACCTGGAAGAAGCTCCTGGTCCTGGCTTTGGATCAGCTCAGCTCTGCCTGTTGTTGCCACTTGGGGAGTGAATCAATGGACAGCAGATCTTCCTCTCCATATATCTGCCTTTCCAATAAAAAGAAATAGATCTTAAAAAAAACAAAAACAACAAAAAAAACCAAAGCAGAGTACTCTAGAAGCACAGGATTCCGTAGGGGATTATTTTTAAATGAGTGTGAAATCATAACACACACACACACACACACACACACAAACACAAAGATTAATGGGATGGAGCCCACTGGAAAGAAACCAAAGCTTGGAGACTTAACTTGGGCACTAAGGCACCTTGCTATTTACCCCAAGCCCTTCCACGTGCACAAAAGGCCCAGAAGAGGAAATGGGGTGCAGAGGGGTCAGGGCACCTTCGCCAGGGACGTCCTGCTAGCTCTCGGCAGTTGGCTCTGCAGCCAGGCGAACGGCTCCTGCAGGGTGCAGCTTCGTCGCTGGGATAGTCTTGGCAAGCAGCCTGAAAAAAGGATACTGGAAACACACGGCTGCATTAACGGAAACGACTGAATGCAGAAACCGGGAGCCCTGAATTCATCTAAAATGAGCACAGGAGCCACTGGAACGACTCTAGGGCAAGTTCCCTTGAAACCCAAGTCCAGACACAAAGCATCACAGCACCCTGCACGGTTTCAGGACGGCCAGGCCCAAGGAGTCCACTGCACACTACCGGGTCCAGGTCCCGGTCTAAGGACCCCACTGCACGCTACCAGGTCGGCCCCGGCCCCCCAAGGACCCCCACTGCACGCTGCCAGGTCGGCCCGGCCCCCCAAGGACCCCCACTGCACGCTACCAGGACGGCCCCGGCCCCCCAAGGACCCCCACTGCACGCTACCAGGACGGCCCCGGCCCCCCAAGGACCCCCACTGCACGCTACCAGGTCGGCCCCGGCCCAAAGACCCCACTCACGCGGAACCAGCAGAAAGCCGCGGGATTCTTACCCACCCCAAAGATCACCTTCCAGACCCGGAAGTAGGGGAGTCGGCGAGTCCGCCCCGTAAACACTCTCCGCCGGGCTTCCGGTCCCGTACGCCCTGTCCCTCCTCACGGGGACCGGGCTGCGGGTGGCGACTCCCGCGAGCCGGTCCGTCCCATAAACACTCCCCGCCGGGCTTCCGGTCCCGTACGCCCTGTCCCTGAACGACACCGGGATGCGGGTGGCGGCTCCCGCCTGCCCCGCTGGGCCATCCGCGCTGCCTCGACGCTCTTGCAGCTCCCCGCCCATCCCTGGCACACTGGAGCCATTTCTGAAGGAAAGCTAGCGGGAAATGTGCCTGAAAGACACTGGTTGCTAACCAGAAAGAGTGCGAGGGACTGGGACAGTAAAGCACTTGACACGGTGAGAAGAGCACTGTGTTTTCTTTTAGAAATCAGCATTTGGGGCTCACGTGGTGTCTTAATCAGTTAATCGTCCTCCTGCAGCGTCAGCAGCCCATGTGGGCCTCCGTTTGTGTCCTGGCCCAAAGTCTGGGGAACCTGCACCTGCGTGGGAGAGCTGGAGGAGACTCCTGGCTCCTGGCTTTGCGGCGCAGCTAAGCTTTTGCAGCCACTTGGGGAGTGAACCAGTAAATGAAATATCTTTGTCTCTGTGTCTCCTCTCTGAAAATCTGGCTTTCCAATAAACAAAACCTTTAAAAAAGAGAGAGAGATCTCCCATCTGCTGGATCATATGCCCCAGGCTGGTGTTGGGCCAATGCCAGAGTGGGAATTCAATCCAAGTTCATAGTAGGTTAAGTCACTGCCTGCAACACTGGCATCTCATATGCGCACTGATTCAAAGCCATATTGCTCCATTTGCAATAAACTTCTCTGTTAATGTGCATGGGAAAGTAGCGGAAGATAGCCTGGAAGGTCTCTGCACCCACAAGGGAAGCCTGGAAGAAGCTCCTGGCTTCAAACTGGCCCCACTCCAGCCACCGCAGCCATTTGGGGAATGAACCTGCCAATGAACAATCTCTCCCTCTTCCCTTCTCTTTTGTGTAACTCTGCCATTCTGATAAAAAAAAAAAAAAATAGCTTTGTAGGCCTGTCGTCGTGGCCTAGCAGCTAAAGTCCTCACCTTGAACGCACCAGGATCCCTTATGGGCACAAGTTCTAATCCTGGCAGCTCCACTTCCTATCTAGCCTTCCTGCTTGTGACCTGGGAAAGCAGTCCAGGACAGCCCAAAACCTTGGGACCTGCATGGGAGATCCGAAACAAGTTCCTGGCTCCTGGCTCCGGATCCGCATAGCACCAGCCACTGCGGTCACTTGGGGAGTCAATCATTGAGTGGAAGATCTTCCTCTCTCCTCTCTGTGTATCTGATTTTCCAATTAAAAAAAAAAATAAGTCTTTAAGAATATATATAGCTTGGGGCCCGGTGCGATGGCGCAAGTGGTTAAGGTCCTCGCCTTGCACGCCCCGGGATCCCATATGGGCGCCGGTCCTAATCCCGGCAGCCCTGCTTCCCATTCAGCTCCCTGCCTGTGACCTGGGAAAAGCAGTTGAAGACGGCCCAAAGCTTTGGGACCCTGCACCTGCGTGGGAGACCCGGAAGAGGCTCCTGGCTTCGGACCGGCATAGTATCGGCCGTTGCGGCTCACTTGGGGAGTGAATCATCAGACAGAATATCTTCCTCTCTGTCTCCCCTCTCTGTATATCTGCCTTTCCAATAAAAATTTAAAAAATAAATCTTTAAAAAAAATATATATATAGCTTATGAAAAGCTTCTGAAGGGTTAAGTTTGAAGATGCATCCTTAGCCACATGCAAAGGTAGGCCCACTACTGTGCACTGTGTTGTAGTACCTTGGATGAGGAATCTTCTTTTAAGATTTATTTATTTTTATTGGACAGTCATGTACAGAGAGGAAGATCTTTCATCTGATGGTTCACTCCCCAAATGGCTTAAGCTGAGCCAATCTGAATCCAGGATCCTCTTCCAGGTCTCCCATGCGGGTACAGGGTCCCAAGGCTTTGGGCCGTCCTCAACTGCTTTCCCAGGCCACAAACAAGGAGCTGGATGGGACACAGAGCTGCCAGGATTAGAACCAGGGCTCATATGGGATGCCTGCATGTTGAAGGTGGGGACTTTAGCCACTGGGCTATCGCACTAGGCCCAGAATTTGTCATGTTGAGTTACTGTGGAGCTGTCTGCGTGCCATCCACGAACACCAGAGCTAGCACTCCACTCTCGGCATCAGTGGTCCAGAGGTCTGTGGGCAAGAGCTGAAGGCCAGCTCCCTGCACGACTTGCTCACCTGAAGCCTTTCTGCAGTCCTGGGCTGTACTGAGTGCTGCTCACTGGCTGTTTATAAACTCTGTGCGGCCAGGGCTCCAAAGTGAAGCTTCCTGGCAAAGAGCCCTCTCTGAGCCCTATCTGCTGCCTCCCAGGCTGGGCGTTATCAGGAAACTCAACGGGAAGCACCGCACTCATGCCCAGGCACACAACCACTGTACCAAATACCTGCTCCAACAGGTCAAATTTCCATTCTCGAATGTCGAGTGTAGAAAGACAAGAATTCTTCAAAAACTTCACAGCATGTGGGTATTATAGGGGGAAAATTGATTTCAAATTTTTTACATAAAATTATCCCTTAACTTCAGTTTTCCAGAAGCTTAAAATCTACTTACTGATTTTTTTAAAAGATTTTTTTTTTTAATTACAAAGTCATATACAGAGAGGAGGAGAGACAGAGAGGAAGATCTTCTGTTCAATGATTCACCCCCCAAGTGAGCGCAACGGCCGGTGCTGTGCCAATCCGAAGCCAGGATCCAGGAACCTCCTCCAGGTCTCCCACGTGGGGGCAGCATCCCAAGGCTTTGGGCCGTCCTCGACTGCTCTCCCAGGCCACAAGCAGGGAGCTGGATGGGAAGTGGAGCTGCTGGGATTAGAACTGGTGCCCATTTGGGATGCCGGCACATTCAAGGTGAGGATTTTAGCTGCTAGGCCACTGCGCCAGGCCCTACTTACTGATTTTTATCCCACAGACCAGTACGTGCTCTGGGACAGCCCTGTCCTAGCGCTGCCTGCTCTTTGCAGGCCCGTCCCTGTCACCATTTTTTCAGGGATTCCCCCTCCACCCGCTTCCACTCCCCTGAGCTCCCCGCCCCTCTCCTGCCACACACACACTGCCTGCCAGTTTGCATATAGTGCTGGGCTGTTAGCATGTCCCTGTAACACTATTCTTTCACCTCCTCGTTGACATCTTAACACCTACATACTTTAAAAAAAAATTATTTTTGATGATGTTACATAGTTGGCCAGGGTGGGAAGGATTGAGGATCAAGGGAAAGTGGATGAAATACTTGTTTACACATTTTTCTTCTTCCTTCCTGTGTCTGGGGAGGGTCATAGGAAGGGAGAAACCCCGCCCAACCTCCCAATTGCCTCATACCCAATGATGGGGAACAGCCACCTGATGTCATCCTAGGGTCCCCAATGTGGAGCATTTTCTGAGGGTTCCGTTCAAGTGGTTTTGATAGTTAGTTCTGAGATGCTGTTGATATTACCGCTCCAAGGATGAGGAAATCCTTCCAAGGTCCATTGGCTGACATAGTCCAACTCAGAGTCTCCAATCACCCAGAAATTTGCTGTCAAGCTTTGCTGGGGTAGTTGATCAGTTTGTTCTGCGCTCCTTCTTCTGCAAACCAATGGTTGCTGCAGCTCAGCCCAGCCCTGTGCACCACATGCTCAGCCCTCACGCACACCAAGGTGAGCTACAGTCTAGCTCAACAGGACTTGTCCCCAGTCCCAGCACTTGCCAGCTGCTGCTGTGGCAAAGCCCAACCTGCCTGCCCTTATTGTGGCTTATACCTGCACCACTGGATACAATTGGTTAGCACCCCCCACACCCCTTTTCTCCCTGTAACCCAGTTCACATGTAAGCCAAAAGATGTTGTAGCCCTGCCTAACCTGGTCTGCTCCAGTCCCAGCTCTCACCTTCAGCAGCAGGAGCAGTGGTCTAGACCCCAGGATTCCTCTACCAGACTTGTACCTCCTCCCCACCCCCAGGTCTTATGTGTGCTGGTGGTTGCTGTGGCCCAGTCTGGCAACCCCATCTCACTTTGACATTTGCTGGCGGGTGCTGTAGCCTGGCCCAGCCAAGTTTGCTCCCATTCCAGTTGGCGCTGATTGGAGCTGCCATCCTAATGTGAACTGGCTGGTGCTGCAGCCCGACCTGGCCTGTCCTGCACCCCATCCTGGTTCTCAGATCTGCCAGTGGGTGTTATGAATTGGCCTAGCCTGGCCCACCCCCAGACCCGACCCAACGTGTGTTGGCAGGTACTGCAACTTGGCTTGATCTGGGCTACTCCTTGCCTTGGTTGTGCTTACCTGCAGGGACTGCACTTTGACAAAGGAGTTCCCAACTGGGGACAGAATAGGCTGGGCAGGGCTACGACATCTGGAAAAGCAATGGAAGATAGCTTAAGTATTTGTGTCCTGCACCCATGTGGGAGACCAAGATGGAGTTCCTGGTTCCAGGCTTGTGATTTGCTGGTCCACTCCTTGAATGGACACAAAACCCACTCCAATGCAATTTCCCAGGTACCTAGATATTCAAGTATTTGGGTCATCCTCTCTGCTTTCCGAGGTGTTAGCAGAGTATTGGATCAGAAGCGGAGTAGCCAGGGTTTCACTGGTGCTCACGGTGGCATAGCTGGTGGTAGTTTAACCCGATGCATTACAATGACAGCCCCAAATTGCCTATTACGTGTCAAATTGCAAAGCCCACTCTGAATTCAAGCCCTTTCCTCAAGCTCCGAGTTAAGATTCAGACTTTCTGTTCAGTGTTTTCCTGCTTTCAGTTTGCAGCCCAGAAATTAAGCAAAATTATGCTACAGCTAGTTGTCCCTAGGTGTACCTCCATTTCCTTTGGGATTTGAGCTTTCCTTGAATTTATTAAATGTGACTCTTAGGTGTAATTTAAGGTCCTGCTCCACTGGTGAGTTAGGGTTTCCAGGAAAAGGTAAATATACACAAAAGGTAATGAAAATGCCCGTGGAAAATCGAGTCATGTTTGCACAGCTAAGATTAATAACAAAAACGGTAGGGAGAGGTAATTTATGTAATTGATGAATCTCGAAAAGCCTTAGGGGACTACAGGCTCTTTGCTCCTTCCCAGCACGCTCCCATCCCTGTACGCTGCTGAGTGGTTCAGGTGCCTTACTCCCAGCACGCTCCCATCCCTGTACGCTGCTGAGTGGTTCAGGTGCCTTACTCCCAGCACGCTCCCATCCCTGTACGCTGCTGAGTGGTTCAGGTGCCTTACTCCCAGCACGCTCCCATCCCTGTACGCTGCTGAGTGGTTCAGGTGCCTTACTCCCAGCACGCTCCCATCCCTGTACGCTGCTGAGTGGTTCAGGTGCCTTACTCCCAGCACGCTCCCATCCCTGTACGCTGCTGAGTGGTTCAGGTGCCTTACTCCCAGCACGCTCCCATCCCTGTACGCTGCTGAGTGGTTCAGGTGCCTTACTCCCAGCACGCTCCCATCCCTGTACGCTGCTGAGTGGTTCAGGTGCCTTACTCCCAGCACGCTCCCATCCCTGTACGCTGCTGAGTGGTTCAGGTGCCTTACTCCCAGCACGCTCCCATCCCTGTACGCTGCTGAGTGGTTCAGGTGCCTTACTCCCAGCACGCTCCCATCCCTGTACGCTGCTGAGTGGTTCAGGTGCCTTACTCCCAGCACGCTCCCATCCCTGTACGCTGCTGAGTGGTTCAGGTGCCTTACTCCCAGCACGCTCCCATCCCTGTACGCTGCTGAGTGGTTCAGGTGCCTTACTCCCAGCACGCTCCCATCCCTGTACGCTGCTGAGTGGTTCAGGTGCCTTACTCCCAGCATGCTCCCATCCCTGTACGCTGCGAAGTGGTTCAGGTGCCTTACTCCCGCGGGGAGTCTGGAAAGGACGGGGACGCGCCAGCCTCGGGTTCTGCCTCAGAGTCCCCTCTGCGCAGCCGCGGCAAGCCGCGCCCACCACCCTCGCCGCGCGCCACGACGGCAGCAACATGGCGGGCGCCGACTTGCGAGCGGCTCTGGAGCAGCGACTCCGCGCCCTGGACATCTGCACCGAGGTCGTAGAGCACCCCGAGGTGAGGTCCCCGCCTGACGGGGGGTCACCGCTCGGACGGTGTTCGTACAGGGGAAGAAGGGTCCCCTGCTCCTTACCTCAGGGGTCTGGCGGAAAGGGTGCTGGCAGAGCATTTCCTGGGATCCTAGGGACAGCAGAGATCTCCCCACTGGGCACTGGGACATTATGACTAATTTGTCTCAGGAAGTGATTCTATCTTGAGAGCCAGTGCAACAAGTAGAGGATTTGTGCGTCTTAGAGTGTTGGATGTTACTTTGTCTGCTTGCATGTGCATCCAGTCACCAAAGAGCAGACAGTAACCCGCAGCGGCCACCAGTATTTTGCTGCCTTGGTCAGTTTGATCTCTTGACGTAAAAACCACCACCTTTCCGTACAGGTCGACCCTCTATTCCAACTTTGTTATGGGTAACCTAGGAGGCCGCAGGCCGCGGTGCAAGTCCTTCTCACTCAGGTGTGACTCCCTAATTGAGCCCCTGGGTTCTGCCTGGCCCAGCCCTGGCTGCTGTGGGCATTTAGCCCACGGACCAGCATTTGGGAAAGAGTCTGCCTTTCAAATAAACTACAGCAAAAGTCTTAAAAAAATCGAGTCCTGGTGGTTCCATTTTAGTTCCAGCTAATAATGTGTGTGCGTGGCAAGGGATGGGAAGTATGGGAAGTGACAGATAACCCCAGACCTTGGGCTCCTGAAGCCCTTGTGGGATACCTGGATGTAGTTCCAGGCGTTGCAGCCATTTGGGGAATGAAGCAGATCAGTCTCTCCCTCCACAACTCTGCCTCTCAAATGTTTTATAGCTTTTTTTTTTCCACTTGAAAAGGCAGTTTTATATAGAGAAGAGAAGGATCTTCATCCACTGGTTCACTCCCCAAATGGCTGCAAAGGTTGAGGCTGAGCCGCTCATTCAGAGCCAGGAGCTTCTTGCTAGCCCCTCATGCAGGTGCAGGTTCCCAGGGCTTCGGCCCATCTTCCACTGCTTTTCCAGGGCCACAAGCAAGCAGGGAGTCGGATCACAAGTGGAGCAGCTGGGACACCAGTCAACACCCATATGGGATACCAATGCTCGGAGGTGGAGGATTAGCCAGTTCGACCAATGTGCTGGCTCCTCTAATAAATTTTTTATTAAAATAATCCTTGCCTTTACAGAACCAGATTTTGTGATCTCTATTCCACATGGACATTACCCCGCCCCTCCTTAAACTGTGCACAGTCCAGGGTATTTGGAGAGGAAATTGTTACCAGTTTGGATGCAATGGAATACTGGATGTAAAGGAACAGGAGTGGAAGGCTGCTAATTTTCATTACTGTAAATCTAAAGTTAAAAACAAAAGATTCTTAGGCATATGAGGGCATGGCGACCACAGTAAAAATTGGCCCAAGAAAACTGCTTGAAGTAGCCATACATGAGTGACTGAAATAGTAATGGCTTATACTGTATAGTAGGACAGACTTCTGCTTGTGAAATTCAGGGCAGTAAGTACTGTTTTTCACCCAGCAAGAAAAACACATGTATATACTTTGTGTTAGTTTATTTTTTAAACTTTTACTTATGTAATTTTTTTATAGGTGTTTACAGTTGAAGAAATGATGCCGCATGTCCAACATTTGAAAGGAGCACATAGTAAGAACTTATTTCTTAAAGATAAAAAGAAAAAAAGCCATTGGTTGGTGACAGTTCTTCATGACAGACAAATTAATTTAAATGACCTTGCCAAGCAGTTGGGTGTCGGAAGTGGAAATCTACGGTTTGCTGATGAAGTGGCAATGCTAGAAAAACTGAAAGTTGGCCAAGGTTGTGCCACACCTCTGGCACTCTTCTGTGATGATGGAGATGTGAAGTTTGTTCTGGATTCTGCTTTTCTGGAAGGTGGACATGAAAAAGTCTATTTCCACCCAATGACCAATGCTGCTACCATGGGATTAAGCCCTGAAGATTTTCTCACGTTTGTGAAGAATACAGGACATGATCCCATAATATTAAACTTTGAAAAAAAATTAGGGTAACTTTGGAATAAATTTATTTCTGAAAACTTTTTTACTTGTAATTTATAGAAAAAAAAAAAGTAAGGTGCAAGGAGTAGTACTCTTAGGTTTGGTGAGTGATGAAATAACTTAAAAGGTCATTTCCTACTGAAAGCTTTTACTTTTGGTGTGTCACAGCATGTTATGCAGCTGCCTCTGATACACCCCCATCTGAGTGCTGGCCGTTGTGCTTTCAGCTCAGCTCCCTGCTAGTACCCTGGGAAAGCCACAGCTGATGGGTCCAGCACTTGGGCCTTTGCCACCTGGGGCAGACTTGGGGCAGTCTGGACTCCTGCCTTCAGACTGGCTCAGCCTCATGTGTTGGGGTCATCTGGTGAGAACCAGCAGATGGAAGATCTCTGTTGCTCTGTCACTTTCCCTTTGAAATGGCTTTCTTTAAAGATGTACTGAGGTACTTATGGTTAGTCACTGGTTCTGTTCCCTGTTTCCTATAACAAATACTCAAAAATGCCTTCAACAATTAAGGATACTTCTAAGAATAACTGGCTTAAGTATTTAGGAGTTTATTATACTTGGGGAGAAAAACAACGTACAAAACAGTATGTATAGAATTATACATGATAGTGTACATTATACAGTTGAAAAATTGAAAACAAATATAGCAATGTATGTTTATTTTTGGGAAATGAAGATTAAGGAGTAAAAACTCCCCAGCAAGATAATACAAGCAATCATGGGGCCATAGGTCAACACTTGCCACTGTTGGGCATTTGTTGTTAAACCGTTGTTGGTTTTTATTTTATTCCCTGTGAAAAATATATCTTTACAAAGTTTAAATCTAGAAAAACTGGAGATGAAAAATGTTGTGTCACAATCATACTATTAAAATTACATTTTGAAACTCACTAGCAGATATACATTATTATGCCATTAAAATGAACAGTCTTTGTTCAGAAGTTAGAAACGTGAACTCACGCGTACAACTTTCTTCTCTCTAGGCTAGTTTATTATCCTGTTTCTGGTATGACTGACTGCACTCAGTCCCTTTCAATTATGGTATCTGAAACAGTAATGTGGAGTCTTCAAAAAGGTGATAATTAAGAAACTAGTGAAATAGGACATTTTTCCACCTTACTCCAATTCAAACAAAATCTTCATTAATTGAAAATCTGACAGAAGCTGAAGAGTCCTTTAGAGGTGTTGAAAATTCTCATTTTACTTTAGTACAGTCATATGAAGTATTAATGGAGAAGAATCCTCTTTTCCTAGTTGGTAAAAAAAATAATTGCCATACTGGAGTAATACAGCTAATACTTTATCCTAAGATTCCATGTTCAGTTTTAGCTACTCTGTTGTATAAGGCAATTCTAGATGGCTTTGCTAATAAAATACAGGATTACAGTTACAGAAATCAGGACTTTGCATCTCTGGTCTAACTATTGGTATAAAGATATCTGGAATGATTTTTCTCAAAGATGTATTACCAGTTACCTCCTCAGTCTTCATGTGAACAGTCTATTTTACCAGTTCTCTCTAATCTGTGGTTTTTACCTTCTGTCATTTAAGTTACCCAGAATAAGCTCATTCTGAAAATAAGTGAGAAATGCCAGAAATAAACAACTGAAAAAGTTTGTACTGAATAGTGATGAAATCTCATACCAGCCTACTCTTTCCCTCTTAGAAGGTAAATCATCCATGTTCAGATCTGTTGCATACACCACCTGTTAACCACTCAACCATCCTGCTTATTAAATGAGCTATCCTTTGGTAATGCCTCTGTTCCAATCACTACAGTGGCATAATGCTGTGTCAGCAATTTACCTCTTCCTCCCATCATGTGTGCACTGTCTCTCCTTGTCACCAGAAGGGTGAGTACTGTACAGCAGGATATTTTGAGATCACATTATAGAACTTATACTTGTTAATTTTTATTAGCTGCTATTAATCTTCTGTGCCTAATTGATATTTTATACTTCAACATAGATATGTATGTACAGGAAAAGACAGTGGGCCCTGGGTTCAGTACTGTCTGTGATTTCAGGCCTCCACTAGGGGTCGCTGTAGAACACTCAGAACAGCCGAGTGAATAATGCCTTTGGGAGTATCAGATTCTCTACCTCGAAAATTTAACATTCACTTCAAAGTGATCCGAATAAATTAATCTGAGCAACATTATAGGTTGTATTTGAAAATAATTCTCCAGAGCAATGGGAAAGGAATGAAGGAATAACACTTGGCTAAGAGCACATTGTGATTTTTAAATGATTACTAACCACTTGATATAAAAATCACTTATTTGTTTTATTTCTTTTTATATCAGTATGATAAATGGATGTTAATCCAACATAATTTTTTGAGAAACAAAGTAAAAACTAAAATGGAAAGACAATGTTTTAGGAAGAAATCAACCAACCAACGTTGTCTCTTGTCAGATGTTAAAGACTCCTATGGCTGGTATTAGGTATTGCTAAGTAAGAAAGACTTTGCCATTCAACTCCAAAACCCTCATTTGCATTAATCTTAAAGGAAATGTTACAGTTTAGATAATTGATCTAATATTTACTAACAGCTGTAAGTACAACAGTAAAACAATGAGAAAAGAGAACCCTTAGCAGAACACAAAAATAATATTTAAAATTAGGTTTTGTTAAAGGGTATTAGAAGTGCAACATTATCCATAAGCATTCCTGTTAAGGCATTTTCATTGTCCAGATATCTCAATATGTATAGCAACGGTTATACTATAAAAGGGGCTCCTTTTGTATTATTCATTCAAGACTTAAAAAAAAATACATCTCAGAACTAAATATAGCTGAAAGAAAAAGCAACAATTCACCACTTTTTCATAAAAGGCAATTTAAAATACAAAGGTGAGCAAACATTACTCCCCACTGCAGTTGTAGATTTGATGCAGTGCAGGCTGTAGTGCTTCACTGTGGGGTGGTTGTAATTCCAAGATGTACACAGTGGTTTTTAAATAGGCCGTTACTGTGCCTTTCATGAAAGGTGCTACATATGAACCTGTTTTGAGAACTCTTTGGTAACCATCAATTCAAACAGTTATACCAATCCATTTCCAAATGGCCAGATAGTTAGGCGCACTAACAGAGACATGGACTGAACAATTACCTTGCGTATCTAATTCTTGAGTTTCCTTGATGTTTAGAATTCAGATATTAAAAGTATGTAAGGAAAGTGGCATGTTTCCAGCTGGTTTCACTATAATTGTTTGGTACAAACACATAAAGGAAAAGTGGCTCTGACAAAGCTTGCTTATGAAATTATCTTAAAGTAAAATATTCACATGGTTGTTATCTAATTCTATCTTGAAAAAGAGGATCGAGAGAATCAGTACTCTTGCAGTCCTGACTTGTCTCTTCTTGGATTCAAATAATTCTATGTGGAGTTAATACTTCACAGGCTATCATTAATCATTTTCTAATTGAAGCTGTAACATGCTACTTAACAGGTTCTCTTATCGTGTCCTGGACAGACAGCTCAAGCTGTGACAGAAAGCATTCACCCTCAATGGACCACCTCATTACATTTCAACTTTCAGGAATTAGCCTGGGACACGTCCTAGTTGTGCAAATTAGATGCTAGTTAATATAAATCTAACTTACCACATAACTGTACTTAGTTAAAACATAATTTCTACATTTATTTTCAATTTATCTACCTTAAAATGAATTTACAGTTTTTACATGCAAGTTTCTCTAGATTGCCATTGATACTCACTGCCGATTTGATACTTGAGAATCAGGGAGCCATGATGTAAAAGATATTTCAAAGTTTAGAGAACAGATTTTTAATATTTCTGTTATCCAATATTTGTAGTATAGCAAGAATCCTTTGTATTTACAATTATATAGCACCTTTCATCTAACAGTTTTAAGGTGATTTAACTTTACAGCATTACTTGGTGGCAAAACTTGTTACTCATGGCACTGAGTTAAATTCAAGTTCTCTAACTTCCATTTCAACTTGTGGTCAACTGATCATGCTGCTTTCTATTTTTTTTATTGATGGCCTTTCCAAAGATCAACATGAAAACAGTAACACTGCTCCTGGCCTAGAGAGAGGGAGAGAGACAGACACACACACAGACGCACACACACACAGCAAGCCTGACTTTTTCTGATGGCTACCAGGTTAGTGATGAAACTCACCACTTATAAATAACATATAACGAAAAATGGAATTAATCCAAAAACTTCTCTGGAGCTGGTAATGAGAGCCTAAGAAGTGCAATGTTAAAATTTAGAAAAGTTAGTATTTCCTCATTTTAGGCCTTAAAGATTATTCATGTTAAATAATGAAGTTGCATTAATAAGTATCAGTGCATTTTTTGCCTTTCATAAGAAAATAAAACTGTGATATAAAATTGAAAATACTAAAAAATTGATGTTTCTACTTTCTTGTGCTTCTTCCAAATGTTTAAGGTAATAAATGCATACAAATATTTCAAAAGTACCAATAGCAGTTATCAACTTTAATATTATTATAAGACAAAAACAAAATTTTTATGATAACCTTAATAGTAAATGAGTTCCTGGCAAAATTCAGATTATAGTAAATTATTTACATTATTTTTGCCATAAGAAAACTTCTTAAGCAACAGTCAGCTCTCAAGTAAAAAAAAATCAAATACATAAATGGGTTAAAACATAACAGCTTTATCTTGGGAATGTTATTTGCTGAAAAATAATCTTACTAAAAAAAGTTTCAGAAAACACTTTACCTTAGGCTCATGTATGAATGCTTAGTGTTGTTTGATGGGGAATATGGAAAGATTAATATCTGTAAGTTTGTATAACTCCTATCTCATTGATTTCCCAGATTTACCTTATAATCTGTGCATCAAAATAACTGGCTTAAAAAGAAACTAGCAACACATGCAGTCTGTTAACCAAATAAGGCTCTGACATGCCAAACAATTTTCTCTGTATCTTGATATATAGTACATTCCACAAAATACTACAGCATTTAATTTAGATTTACACAACTAAATATAAATGGCTAAATTTTGGCTAATCTTTAGCGGAAGCATTAAGCAAACATGGATAATTGATAAACAAATGATGAAAGAAGCAGATTGTTCTTGGAGTACTTCTTGAAACATTTAAAACACATGGTCCTTAGCGAGAGAATGTCCTTTATTCAGTAGATCTTAATAGAACAATGTATAATAAAGTCCTAAAACCTTCTAAGAATTCTGGCAGTTGAATCCAGTAGTGCTCCTTGATTCAAGGAAGGAATGAAGGTTTGTATTTCTTGCCTGATCTATTCACGAAGAATTAAGTCTCAAAGATTTTTTTAATAAAATGATTCTATAGTTGCTAGGTGTCTTGTTACTTCAGAATTAAAGGCTTCACACTGAGAAACTGAAGGACACTTTTCTCTCTGTATTTAGTTGGAAGGCAGAAAGAAGAAAGAAAATGTAAGACTGAAGATAGATATAAAATACAGAGCAGCCACTATAAGAACAGCATGCATCAAGTATTTCTATAGGAATGAGAGAGTGACAGAAAATCAGAATTTTTCTTTGAGTGACTCTTAGTTTATTTTCAACAGTTCTCAAGATAATTGTGGGGAGCAATACACCACACAAAAAAAGTAATTCCTAAAATATTAATCATTAGTAAAAAATTTTTTTAAACTGGGGGGGAGGAGAGAAAGATATTTAAAATGTTTTTTCCCCCTGTACTAACAGGAAAAAACCTGTGGCAACCATGTAACCATGTTTTCACTAGTAAGAAATTCAACCAGTGAAGCAAGCGATATTCACATCTGTTAATGCAAGATGCACTTGTTCTCATACTTTATTTGGTTAGTTTATATAAATGAGACTGATCTCATTTGCATTTTAAGCAGTAAACTCACCACTTGGCCCACATGTCATGTAGTGGGTAATAGAATTAGGAGCTTTGTTGCTCCCTAGACCTGCTTTTTGAATTTCTGCTTTCTTGTACTTTGTCCACATCTGCAGGAGAAAAGCATTTCATGTTATTTAATCAAAGGTCAACAACACAAGTCATGAAGATAAGAAACTACAGAGTTCTGAGCAGGGCGAGGAGAAGGAATCCAATTGGGAAGCTCATGAATGTGCCAGGCACCTCATTACTTACAAGACTGATTTTCATAGTCATTTTCAAAGATATAAATAAAAAATTTTCAGAAAGCTTAAACAGTTTAAGAAAACCTTTACTGATTAGTTTTACCTTTCAGTATCAGTTATGTTTACATACTTTACTAAGTGTGTGCCATATAGTTTTAAAGTAAAAAGTGACCTTGCATATTGCATACAGCAGCAGAAACATTTAGGATGAAATATCTGTAGTATTAGCTCAGAAACCTAGGGCTGAGGTATATAGTCAAGATATATGACAAATTAGCATTGATTACAGCTAAAAATCACTCTGGTTAGAGGAACCCAGTGCCTAACATATATATTTACAATATCACAAAAATTCTATGGGCATAGTTTCCAGAATCTTAGGCCTGGAATATGTAGAGCTATTTCTGTTTCACTGCTTAGAGAATTAGGGTACTGAATCTTCAATTTTCGAAGTAATCCTCTGGGTAACTGTAGGACCATTCATTGTGATGTTTTAGAGGAAGGAAGTATGGCTGCTCACTTGTGTCAAAGCTGCCTCATTTTCAGCTTTAAAAACAATTTTTTAAAAAGATTTATTTTTATTGGAAAGGCAGATATACTGAGGGGAGACAGAGAGGAAGATCTTCCGTCCCATGATTCACTCCCCAAGCAGCTGCAATGGCTGGAGCTCAACCAATCAGAAGCCTGAAGCCTCTTCTGGGTCTCCCACGCAGGTGCAGGGTCCCAAGGCTTTGGGCCATCCTCAATTGCTTTCCCGGGCCATAAGCAGGGAGCTGGATAGGAAGCAGAGCCGCTGGGATTAGAACTGGCACCCATATGGGATCCAGGTGTATTCAAGGCAAGGACTTTAGCTGCTGCACTGTTGTGGTGGGCCCTTTAAAAACAATTTTTGAGACAATTGTTTCAATTAGAGACTAGTATGTTGGTTTTTAAGAATTTTTGGGAGGGCCTGGCGCAGTGGCCTAGTGTCTAAGGTCCTTGCCTTGAATATGCCAGTACCCCATATCTTGTATAAATGCAAGAGGACAGCTTAATTTTTTTTTTTTAACATGAAATGCTTCACAAATTTGCGTGTCATCCTTGGGCAAGGGTCATGTTAATCTCTATTGTTCCAATTTTAGTGTATGTGCTGCCAAAGTGAGCACAGGCCAGCTTAGTTTAAAAGCATAAAAATGTCATCAAGAATTGTTTGGTCCAATAATAAGAACAAAAATTTAATATAACAAGTATAAGATAATTTCCTTCTCATTTAGAAAGTTTCATTTCAAAATACTCCTTCCAGATACCAGACTAGGTTTCATCATTAATAATGAGAGTGCATCAAAGTCTAAAACATTCTAGAGAGAGAGCTAAGATACACTCCTTCAGAAGTGAATTGTTGAGATTCCCCCCCTAATCTTGAAGATAGGGTTTCCGTGCATTCACTTTAGAAATGCTCTACATACCAGATATCTAAGTTTAAAGTTTATGTCACTGGAGTCAAGAGTTATAAATTATTTCCTCTAATTTTTATAAGTTAAACAGTTTTTATTTTCAGTGCTAAAATTTGTTATACCCAAATATTTATTTGCTTAGGTGGTCATTAAATGTGAATTTTAAATTTTAGCACCAAGTAAAACTTCTAAGGACATACATATGTAACTTAATAATAATTTAATTTTAAATTATATAAACAATTTCTACCACTTTGCAAATTTCCAAACTTGCTACCCTTTTTGAACAGACGTAAAAATACAACTTTCCAACATATTGAATATAATTTTATTGCTCTTTGACACTATAGAAAAAAGACTAGAAAACTGTTATGCTAGCTGCAAGTAAATAAGTCATCTTGAAGATGGCATTTGAGATTTTGTATTATATGAAGGAAAGCACAAGGAAGAAACAATTAGTAATAATTTCCTAGTCTATTTAAATCACATTTATGTTTGACGGTGTCTTGTAGGAATAAAGTTAAATTTGTAAGTATTAACAATGGCTTCAATCTGAGCACATTTTATAAATATGGGCTTTATTAATATATGCTACATGAGGTGTTATTTTGAATTAATGATTTCTTTGAAAGTAAAACATGATAGCATAATTAAACAGCAAAGAGATGGCAGCTTCTCACATACTTTCCTTAGTAATGCACAGAGATGCAATATGAAGTGCACATTTCTGGAAATAAAATAGTGGGATGAACAAGAGTGAGGGAGGATGAGAGAGGAAAGGATTAAAAAACATTCTTTTTTGGGAGCAGTAAAGATAATATGGCTTGGTAATGCAGCATGCAACTATTTTAACATGCTTCTGCATAGCAAAACAACAGACTTATTCAGGCAAAAAAAACGGAAAAAAGAACATGTATGGTTACGATTGCTAATGACATGCTGAAAATATACAATGCAATTAATATTTCATGCAGGCTTTCATTTAGTTACACTTTCATATTTGTAAATACATGCCACTGTGTCCAGCTGAACACTATGCAACCATTTCAAAATAAGAGTGTAAATCTAGCCAAGAAATATTTTCCAACAGCTCCTCAAATCAGATTATAAAAGCACAATGCATATCAATGACATCAATAAATTGTGCAGTTTTGATCATATACAACCATATTCATACCACACAGTTTGATTATCCTCAGAAACCAACAATGCAGCTTCTGCGTCATCAGGATAGAGGCATGCAGGACTGGGAAGGTTATTATCATCTACACAAGACTCTGGGTTACTGCTACGAGGGATCTTATCACAAGATTGTGCATCCTCTTTCCATGCAGTTTTATCCTGATCAGTTACTCTGCTGACTGGTTTGGGAGGCAACCCGCTTATGTTACTTACTAATTCTGTGTTTAGTGATAAAAATGGTTGAGATGAGTGAAACACAGTAAATGATGCTAAACTATCTTTAGCTGATATTCCAAATACATCACTAGGCATATTAATGGTGGTAAAAGTTTGGCTTGTTCTTGAGTTTCCAGCCTGAGCATGTGGAGACTCAGGCTTATCTACAGCTGAATCACTTTGTATATGAGAACCTATATTTGTCGGACCACAAAGCGCGTGAGAGGACCACTGGTGCAAACGGTACTCACTATGTGCTGCAGTGCTGTTGATATCAGCAGTGGATGATGGTGCATCAACTGACACAGGCAATCTACTGTCCTTGGTCAAAAAATCATGGATGCTCGTCCTTCGTGTAGTTCCTTCAGCAGTAGAGATCACACTGCTTGCACGAGGTAAAGTGGCATAAGGATTATTATCTTTTGATTGTCGTGACATAGAAGTTTCTTTTACTAATTTTTTTTTCCCTTGAGTGCCTGGTGTAGGCTTTCCTGCAGAACTAATGAAGCAGCTATCTTCAGTCTTTCGAGCAACAGGTCTCAAAAACTCGGGTTTAGTTGTCCGTCTGTCAAAGAAGTCTCCCGGGGCCTTTCCACTTACTGACCTGGCCAAGCCACAGCTAACTGGCTTGTCTTTTCCCAAAAAGTCAGAAGAGACAGATAAACTTTTCATTACTTCATCTAAAAGATTCTCTTGACTTGAGGACTTTATCTGTTTAAAAAAAAATCATAGCATATGAGCGAATAAAGCCTTGTATTTACTTTTCCAATATATTACATTATATAACAAAGTTGCTATTATCCCCTGACAGTCTTTAACTGGAAAACATAAGTTCAGTCATAGAAATTCAGCTGGGGCCACCACTATGGTGCGGTAGATTAAGCTGCTTCTTCAAGGCAAGCATCCTGTAATGGAATGCTGGTTCCAGTCCTAGCTGCCCTACCTCCAATTCAGTTCCCTGCTGATGCATTTGGGAAAGCAGAAGTTGGCCCAACTACATGGGCCCCTGCCACTTACATGGAAGATTAGGCTGGAATTCAAGGCTCTAGGCTTTAGCCCGGCACAGACTCAGAATATGCAGCCTTTTGGAGAATGAACCCAGCAGATAAAAAAGAACTCTTTCTTTTTCCCTTTGCTGTTTAATTAATCGAATTCTTAAAAAAAAAAAAACAAAAAAGGAAATGTAATTATGTTCAGTTAAATCAAAGTCACTACAGATAAAACTAACCTGTATTGAGGTAAGCTTGTTGCTTTCTTCCAAAAACTGCTGTAGAGTAACCACTTCACTTCCAGGGGAACCAGCTTTGATCTTGTGATACGCTCGTCCTTCTGCTGTTTCAGGCATTTTGTGTTGGAGCACTGGACTTGATCTGGTTTGTCTTTTCAAGTACTGGATTGGACTGCTACCACTGCTGGACCAAGTCTCATGATCATGAAGCAGGCTAAACTCTCCACTGCTGTGGCTTTGTGGCCTGCTTTGGTTATTAACGGCACCTGCTTTTGGAGTAAACGGTGTATTCAGACTTCAATAACAGATATGAAATTGCTACCACAGAAGCAGTAACATTTGTTGACTGGGTTATCCGTCTATGCATAGCATACTCCATCTCCATTTTCAAGCTTTATTTACAAATGCTTGGTAGAGTGTATTACAATTATCTGCCATAGCTAGCTTCCTTAATTTGTCAAAATGACAAATATTCTAAGTTCCACAAGGGCAAAACTGCCTTACCACATTCAGAAACTCATATAAACCAAGTACTCAATACATGTGATGAGTAAATAAATGAGACTCATACAGTTTTAGCACTCAGATTCTAATAACTAAATTATCTCACAAATTAGTGTAATTATATTATCATTAAATTATTTCAGAACTTTAAAGATTGAAGACTGTCCTAAAAATTCCAATTATTTGTCTCTTTATTAAGTCCAAATAACTTATTTGAAGATATCTATGTTCATCCTTAAGGAATCATTTAAAATTTTTTAAAACTGTAAATAATCAAATATGTGGTACTTTACCTTAATGCCTGAATCATTTGCTTATTTCTGCTTTTAATGTTGGGAACAGAGGTTGGGCAATTATATAAAATGGAAAGTAGCTGGTTTTGGAATAAAATTCCCCATGATCCAGGCCATTCTAAGAGCTTGGGCTCATTTTGTTTGTTAGCTTTTAATTAAAAGTTTGTTACTGGGACCACTATTGTGGCACAGTGAGGAAAGTTGTGTTCTGTGATGCTAGCATCCCAATGTGGGTGCTAGTTCATGTCCTGCTTGCTCTACTTCCAATCTAGCTCTCTGCTCATGGTCTAGGAGAGCACTGGGGGATGGCCCAGATGCTTGAGCCCATGTGGCCTACATGGGAGACCTGGATGAAGCTACTGGCTGCAGGCTTTTGCCTAGTCTAGCCCTAGCCATTAAGGCTACCTGGGACATGAACCAGCAGATGGAAGATTCTCTCATTCACTTGCTCTATGACTTTCAAATAAATAAATAAATAAACTGTAAAAAATCCTTTGATTAATATGTAATACTTTGTACATGGAATAAATGAAATAATCTGACACAGTTACCAAACCAAGATAATCAGCCTTTCTTTTCAATTTGGAGCCGACCAGTTCTTCTCCTCCAGTTCTCTATACAGTTCATAAAACAGTCTGCAGCACAAAATAGCAGCACTTGTTCTTTGAATGTGTTTTGATAACTGTTACCTGATGTCCTTCTACTCCTTTTCCCGCTATTCAGTTTGACAAATAGCAAATTATACAGTATAACAATACAGAACAAGTAATTTTCCATGATTTCCTAATCACAAGTGGGTCATGAAAGAATATGCCCCCTGTTACATTACCTCCATATTATAACTTATGGTGAAAATCCTGAAAATCCTTTCTTCTAACTTCCCTTCCCCCTTTTAAAAGCATAGTATATTCTCTACAGCCACCCTGCTGGGCAACAGAACATCCGAACTACTTTTTTCTATCTAACTATAACAGTTTCCACTATTCTTTCTCTAAAATTTTTTCTGTTGGATATAAAAATTGTGATTATAAGAATGAAAAGATGAACCTTTCTCAAAATCAGATATTTCAGATCACTGCAACAGAGTATTAATGATAGTTACAAATGAGACAAAATAATTTTATAATAAAAAAAATCAGAGTAGAAGATATATTAATTATAATTTTATAACTGTGGATTACCAAGAATAACTAACAGTTGGTTTAAACAATTCTAGAATCTGTGTAGGCATTAAAGTTTCCAGATAGTTATATAAAAACCTCACCTTGGAATGCTTACTTAAAAATTCAGGAAAATAAACTTTGAAATCATTTGTGTGGAGCTATATGCATCCATGAAGCTCTTGTTCAACACACATACACATATGCAATTGCTTTTTTTCTTTATTGATTACATTGTATTATGAGACTGCAATTGCTTCTTAAATAAATATGCTTCCTCTTACTTTTTGGATAAATTAAGTATTTCTAAATTGTAAGCAATGTCTAATCAATGAACATGCAAGAGAAAATCAATGACAAGTATTTTCATGTTAAAGACAAAAAGTAAAATAAGGACATAATTTTAAAATATTAAGACTGCTGTATCTGTGATTATGAAAAATGACACCAAAATAACTGCTCCTGTTTTTACATTTATATACATTGAAATACATTTGTATTACAATGTAAGAGCTATAAGTGTTCAAAATCCTGTTTCAAGCACAGACTGATGTGGATTTCATACCTTACCCCCAAAACTTCATCCATCTCTCAATTATACACAATGAAAATGGATGAACATTAATAAATTGACCTACAGCATACCTTTGACTTCATGTAGTGAAGCGTTATTATTGCTATTGCTAGTGGATGTTCTGCCACTATCAAGGCTGGCTGGTCTTGAAGCTAAATGAAAAAATCAGGAGACAGTGTGATAAAATCCCAGCTGATGACATTGAATTTTACATTCTGATGATAGAATGCTTTGAGGAAGCAATCATGCACACTTTCACAGGCTGAGCATGCCCACAGGGAGTTAAATCTAACACATTAAGAAAGCAAAAGCATTCTAGTTAGTTCAGTAAGAGACAGGACAAGTCAGAAACAACAGTTGAGAGTCAAATAACAAGAGAATAGATGGAGTGCACAATGAATTTGAAAACGATTTCTAGCTAGATACCAGGACCAGAACTGTTCAGTTGAATAGAATGATTAATTCTCCAAGTCTACAGAAAGTGCTGATATGAGGCACTAGAGGTGATAGAGGTACTACAAGGAGGGGAACATGAACAGCTATCCGCTCAAGGGAAACAACAGTACAATTTACACTATCTTATGTTATTTCTTAAAGCTCTTCTTATAAATAAAAAGCATTTTAACATATTATCTACAGGTTATTAATAATTGAGTTTGATGCTACATGATTTTCCAGATAGAAATTTAAAAATTGTTAAGATATTGCAGGGGTCCGGCGCAATGGCGCAAGTGCTTAAGGTCCTTGCCTTGCACGCCCCGGGATCCCATACAGGCGCTGGTTCTAATCCCAGAAGCCCCGCTTCCTATCCAGCTCCCTGCCTGTGGCCCCGGAAAGCAGTCGAGGACGGCCCAAAGCTTTGGGACCCTGCACCCACGTGGGAGACCCGGAAGAGGCTCCTGGCTTTGGATCGGCATAGCATCGACCCTTGCGCTCACTTGGGGAGTGAATCATTGGACGGAAGATCTTCCTCTCTGTCTCCCCTCTCTGTATATCTGCCTTTCCAATAAAAATTTAAAAAATAAATAAATCAATCTTAAAAAAAAGAAGATATTGCAGAAAATTTTATTTCTTAAAGTTCATTCTTCAGGATTAAAAAATATATATATTTATCACTTGGAAGGCAGAGTTAGAGAGGGAGAGACAGACAAAGGATCTCCCCACCGCTAATTTATTCCCTAGATGGCTACAATGACTGGGGCTAGGCCAAGACAAAGCCAGGAACCTGAAGCTTATTCCAGGTCTCCCATGTAGGTGGCAGTGGGAAAAGTATGTGGGCCATTTTCTTCTGCCTTCCCAGGCCCATTAGCAGGGAGTTGGATGGTACGTGGAGCAGCCAGGATATAAACTGGCATCCATGTGGGATACCAGCACTACAAGTGGACACTTAACCTACAATGCTGGACCCATAAAGTAAATATTTTTAAACTAATGATAAAATGTAACTCATAATTTCAATCTCATAAAATTGGTAACAAAATTAACCTTTTATGATTATACAGGTATACTTTATAATGATTTTAGTTAAAACAGAGAAAATAGGGGTAACAGTGAGTATTAGGGTTTGAAGAAATGGTAGAACTATGAGATGAAGGATAGAAAAAAACATGCTAGTTGGCAATGCACATTCACCTATTTAGTGTAAGAGTGTTAGCATTTCCACTCTGCACTTAATGTGCACTCTCTTAAGTTTATCTCTTACCATGAACTCTTGATCCCGTACTAGAATCATCACTAATACCTTGTGGACTTATGTCTTCAAAGGATGTGGTATCTACATAAAATAGCAAAATGGATATAAAATACTTTTAACAAAAATCCTATTATAAAATCTTATTTATACATGGAAATTCTTGCTCAATCATGTATACTCTTTCTTGGTTTAATATGCTTCCTAAACTCAACCAGCAACAGGACATGGGAACAAGAAAGAATAGCCCTGATGAAAGTTGACTTGCACAGGAAAAATATCAGATGCAATGAAACAAAGTCCCCCATGACCCTACAAAAAAGTCATAGCTTGGGAAGGTCCATTTTTGTTTGAAGGTGTAATGCTTTTAGCTTTTGCTGTGTGTGCATGTGTATTTCACTTAGATCATTCCCTCACTTCCTCTTATTTTTTTTCCCACTTTTTACCTGGTTTCTTCTCCTCATTTCTTGTTTGGTTATTTTACTAGGAAAGATTTTAACTATCTGTATAGTATTTTAAAATTTAAAAAATTCTTCCAAATCAAATCCTGATGAGAATGAGATTTTGTGTTTATAATTATTTCAGATTATTGCTTAAAGATAAAGTACACAGGCAAAGTGAAAATAGAACTCCTGTTGCCAACAATGACAGCACAGTGCAAACAGCAGACGGCCTATACCTTTGTTATTAACCAACTGCTTGGATCTGAAGCCTGCAGCAGAGTTGACAGCTGAAAAGTTGATGGCTGTAGTAGAGAAGGCCATAGCTCCCAATTCTTTCCTCCTTTTACCCGTTGAAATATCATCAGGAACCTCCAAATTCTCAGAACTACCTGTCCACTGTCCTGCAAGGACCATGGACTGCACCAGGTCATTCATGGCTGGGATGCAAATGAAAGCAAATGAATCAGCATGGTTAATGTATTTGCTCTTATTTCTATTTCGTATTACAAATGATCTGGGTTTTGTTTATGAATTAATGCAAATGGGCATAAAAATTGAAACCACAAGGCCTTGTGAATTATAACATGCATTCATTCAGTTGAATGAAATAAGTAGGCCAAAGGTTCATAACATATTTCAGTAATCACTTTTATCCCACCTCCACCCCCTTTAAAAGACAGAGAAATAAATTTTACTATGTATAATTGCCATGCTTTTGCGCAATGATGTGCAATAGAATTAGAAGACTGCGTAATGTAGTTTGGTGACGAACAAAAATGGAATGAATAAAAGTAAGATGGAGAGCAGTTCTGATACAGCATCATTATTGAAAATGAAAAAGTCCTTGGTCAAAGCAGGTTACTGAAGAAATTATTCATTTTATGAATCAAGTAAGTATACCATTCATTAAAAACCTGAAAGAGATATCCAAAGTGATAGATATTTAATGCAAGTATGTAATAACCCATTCTACTTCATAAAAGAAAACCCAGGATATTGCTATATAAAGAATGACAAACATTTTCAAGTGTTATAGGCCATTTTATTTATTGCTTTAATTTGATTAATTAAGGAAATAAATTCCTAATACTAAAGGTAAAGGTTTTGTTATATTTTCTTTAAGTAAATTTCCTTAAATAAATTTCTTTGGGAAAAAAAACTCTATGGCAAATAAAATCATAATATTTATCAGCTTTTAGAAACACTGGAAATTTACCAGTAAACTGCATTATGTGATTACACATATGCATATATGTATATATATAAATGGACATACATATAGTGCCAGTTTTGAAATAATTCTTCCAGCTCCTTGTATTAAAGGAAGACTGCACTTTGCAAACTACGACAATTGGTACAGTCCAGAGAAAGGTTAGTGAAAAATTAGTAATGGAAGTCAGTGTAGTCATTTGAAAGAAGCTGAACTGTCATAAAGTCTTACACATGGAACGACGGTAGCAGGCCTTCATTTTGTCTTTATCCTTCGGTCTGTTCCTCAAAAAGGGCAGTCTTTTCAGTGCAACCACTTTAATGTCAGAGCATGAGGAAAAACAGAAACAGGGAAATGAAAGAAAAAAGGAAGAAGAACAGATGGGAGTTAAATGTTGAAATTAAGGACAGAAATGAATGTTTTGAGTTTCAGCTACGTATGCTATCCTAAAGTTATTCTCATGCTGCTGAGTGATAATGAAATATGAAGTACGTGCTTTGATACTTTGAAATACTTGGGAAAGCACTGAAGACAATGATGAGGAACACATATTTGGAAAACTTGGATTTGCTATAGTCCTATGAAAACAGGAGTGAGTTATTTAGAGGGATCGAATTTTAAACTTATAAAACTAAGGTTTTTGGTGGGCCAGACAGTACATGATGAAATGTACAGTTTTTCTTGGCTCTGTTTTTAACTTTTTTTTAATAGGAAGGCTTTATTTTGGAAAAAAATAATTTAGGAAGTGCACATTCTATTTGAGCATTTATATAAACAAAAATTAATAATTTACATAAACAAAAATTAGGGTGCCCAGATAATGCTTAAAAAAATCTCACTCTTCAAACTTTCATTATTTTGTGAAAATTTAACTAAGAAAATATTGCTTTAAACTGGAGTATCATGCATCATATATACATATGCTTTCAACCAGTCTTTCATAAGAAATAATAAGCTTTGTTTTTCACAAAAGTAATAAATCGTAGGCACCCTAAACAACCAAAAATGAGTGAAATACAGATGTGATGGTTTTAAATATTTTGAAGAGCTTCTGGGAAACCTTAGAAAATCAAAGGAAGCACTGAGAAAACTTTTCTATTTTTGTAATGAGGAATATCACTCCCATTAGATGAAAATTTTAATGTTCACTAGCTGCTAACCATTCTTAAGCTATACTTTAGTAAGACTTAACTAAAAATTACTGCATCTCTTCAGAAATAAATTTAGGATAGGAAAACAATTTGCATAAAGACTTTGAGAACATATCATATACAGCCTTAACAATGATGTTATTTAGCAAAGTTTGACATACTAATCAAAGCATTTTTGATAAACTGACAAATGTCACTCATTAAAGGGAATACAACTGGCATACAATTTTTCAAATTTGATTGGTACTAGCAACAATCATGAGTCATTGAAGGTTTTAATCTGACCTTTTCTTGCCAAACTTGGTAAACACAACTGTTTTCAATGATTAAAAAGAAACGAACTGAAAGCAATGTAAAAATGGACACTTAGCTAAAACAAAGTTGAGTGGTTGCAGCATGCACATGTTGTCTAGTTCACTTTTTTTTTTTTTCTGTTTCCAACTGTTTTCCAAAGACTGCTTTACTGACAGACAGACACTCTTCCAAAATGAACAGGAGAAAAGATGTTTCACATTTTGCAGGGGTGGAATGTGATTTTTCTCATAGTATTTGGTTTGCAGATCATAATGTTCTTTTCCCAAAGAACATATTTCAATTAAGGGAAATTAGTATTGTAGGTTTGTGTTTATTTCTGTAATTTAAAAATGGAAAAACTTGTGTATGAAAGAATATTAATTTATGTACAATATTTTTTTGAATGTTTCAACAGAGGTTTGGAAGAATAACTAATTTGTGCTTAAAAAAAAAAAACACCACTGTGCCTTTCTTATCTTTTTTGACATCTGAACTGAATTATTTTCAATTTAAAAATTTATATACCCAGTACTGTTTCCCAATAAGATGCCAGAAAATTTTATATGTAAAGGTAGTAGATGAATTAACTTATCTGCCACCTTTGAAAGAGACCTTGATGATCTTTTCACGGTAACTGCTCACAGACTTTATGCAGGAAGTCTCTGGGTGACAATAATCTGTAAACTGCAATCTGAAGACGGTATATACTTGTGTATGTTTACTTGTTGTTGTCAACGGATTTTAGTTTTTAGGCAGCTACAGGTGTATTCCGAAACATTGCCTCTAGGTCTACTAGTTAACACTCTAAAATAATGTCCTTTCAGAGACAGCGCATCTAAGACCAAAACATTATGCATCACTTTTTGAGTGCTTTTAGTCATCCATATGAAGACTACTCCTGAAGCAAGAAGCAACTGCTTTTACCTGACATTTCAAAAGAATGGCATGTGTGTTTAAAAAATGTAACAGTACTAGTGATAATGTGAGAGTATCCAAAGCGACCTGTTAACATATTTTATAAGAACAATGATAGCTGTTAACGTCTCAGATATTGTCAAAGAGGATTACTAAGGTACTGAATTATTTCCTCTTGAAATACATTTCTTCAGGCTTTTTCTTAGTTCTTCCTTTTTAAATTGAACACATTAGCACCAAAATAAAAGCAACTTAAGTTGTAAAGAGCACATTGTGATGCTTCTAAATTTGTAATAAAAATTAAGTCACAAGCTTATATACAGATTTACATATCCAAATCTTTGTATTTAATTTTAAAAGATCCTGTAATAAGCAATTCCTCCATAATTTTCCTAACTTTCAAGTATTTTCAAATTACTGAATAACACCTCTTTATATTTATTTTTTTCTTTGCTTCCTCCAATGTAAATTTGCTCTAATTTGACACAATCTGATTACATGAACAAAAACCTCACGATAAAATGCCTTACTCTGATTAGGTAATAGGTAATTGGGAAAATGAACTGTTTCTATATTTTCCACTTACTCCTCAATCATCCTGTGAATATGTGGCAAATATAAAAGGCTTACCACATTAACACAACTAGCAAGCGACAGAATTATGCTGGTTCTTTCAATGTTCAGTAAAATTTACCTGCTTGGCCAAATAACACTACCTGGGTATCATTTGGCAGTACAGTACAACAGTACGCATTTAATTATAAAATCATGTGAAAGTAAAACACAATGCCATTCATCAACTATTCTCTCAAGAAACTGAGGTTTTTTTTTCATATACGAAATATTATAAAAAGATTCTACAATAATACTATGTTTAAAGAGCTGAAGCACTCACTGCTGCTTTTCTTGGTCCCCAGGGTCTGGCCATCTTCTAGAGAGTTTGATCCTACTGAAGAGCTATCCTGACTATCTTGATGAGGGAGTTGAAGAAATCCTTCACTGGAGTCTGAGCGAGTAGGTGTTAAAGTCAGAGATTTCTGACGGTCCCGGTTAATATCTTTCTTAGACTTTATCAATTTTCTCATTTTTAGAGTAATCCAGTTGCCTCTCCTAATAATAACAAAAATTTATTAGTCTCAAATGTAAAACATAATCCTTTACAAACTTACAAGTCTTCACAAGTAGAAACACTTCAAAAGAAACAATCATATAATTTCATTACTATTACCTCCTCGGAGGAGATGGGTCATAAAACTTGTACTGATCCATAATTTTCTCTTCTAATTTTTCCTTTTGCCGCCTTAATTCATTTAACTTATCTCTGCAAGAACAACAAATTGCATTGTAGAACATGTGCCATGTTTTATACAGCTATGAATGACATTCCTTTGTGACTATTTAATTCAATCATTCAAAATATACACAAGGCCCAGCCCGATTACTCTAGTAGCTAACCCTCCACTTGCAAGCATTAGGATTCCAAATGGGCGCCTATTGGCTGCTCCACTTCCCATCCAGCTCCCTGCCCGAGGCCTGGGAAAGCAGTGGAGGATGGACAGCTCAAAGCCTTGAGACCCTGCACCCACATGGGAGGCCCAGAAGAGGCTCCTGGTTCTAAATCAGCTCAGCTCCAGCCGTTGTGGTCACTTGGGAAGTAAATCATAGGATGGAAGATCTCCCTCTCTGTCTCTCTTTTTCTCTGTAAATCTGACTTCGCAATAAACATAAATCTTTCAAAAATATGCAGTTTATTTAAAGGGATATAGAGTATATTTGAATAAAAAATTCCAAGGGGCCAGTTCACATTCCCACTGCTCAGCCCAGTTCCAGCCACTGCAAGCATTTGGAATGAACCAGCACATACAAACTATATTTTAAAAGAAAAAAAAAGATTAATGACACGTTCTGCTAGGTCTTTGTATTACTTTCTTAAGGTTTAAAGAATGATAAATTCTCTCAATTCTAAAATTTCCCTCCATACTCTCTTGTTCTAAAAATCTCAAAATCACTTTTATTTTCCAACTTAATTTATATCACATCCATGCATATTGTTACTATTCCTTCACACAACTTTCTTATTCCATGACTTCTTTTGTATCCTTAGTCCACTCAAATGTAATTCTTCTCCTTGCCAATGACCATTTGAAATAGCATCTATATTAACTCTTTTATGGTTATATAGTATACAGGTAAACCTAATATATATTCATACAAAAGTCAGGAATATTTGAAATCATCAAAAATTTCTCCTTTAATTGCATGCCAACATCATTTTGGAAGGAAGACTCCATTCAAGGTAAAGTCTTTACTATGTTGCTTTAGACAGCATTCAGTTTTGTGTATCAGTGAGAAAGAATTTACTTTTGATGTCATTTCTTATGTTTCATTAAGCCAAATAAGCCCACTGGATAGCTCTATTTCACTTCACTAGTAAAGTTAAATATTAGTTCTAACACATGAATATCAATATCCATTCAATTATTTAAAAAAATTGTTGAAGTTTACTTAGGAGGGTGCTAGCCTTGTAGCACTACAAGTAAGGCTGCTATCTGCAATGCCAGCATCCCATGTGGGAGCTGATTTGAAATCTTGTTGCTTCGCCTCCAATCTTCCTGGATCTGCTTCTATTCCAACTCCCTGCCAATGTGCCTGGCTAATTAGAATAAGTGGCCTGAGTTTTTGTGCTCCTGAACCCACATGGGTGACCTGGAAGAGGCCCCTGGCTCTTGGTTTTGGTTCAGCTCAGCTCCAGACACTGCAGCCATTTGGAGAGTGCACCAGCAGATAGAAGATCTCATTCTTTCTGTCTCGCCATCTCTTTTTGTAACTCTGCTTTTTGAATAACTAAATCTTTAAAAAAAAATCCAACCTTGTCAATGAAGTAGTCACAGGATGTGGTTAAGAACTTGCATTTTTAAAAACACATTTGTTACTTAATACCATGTCAATTAATTTCATAATGTTGTAAATTGTTGTTGATGTTATGTTGTGGCTCTAAATTGATGGGGATGACATTCTGCCAGCTCTGCCTTCAGACCAGAGATGGTCTCCCCAAGAAACTGTTGAATTTTCCTGGACAATAAGATGCTGGACTCTATGCTTGGTATACTCTTGCAATGAAAGAATCTTGACTGATTTTGAAATGTAATACAGCAACAAGGTGGAGGAGTCCACCATAGAGGGAGGATACGGGGAGGGGTTGGGAGATCCCCAGAGTCTATGAAACTGTGTCACATAATGCAATGTAATTAATAAAAAATATATATATTTAAAAAAAATCTAACCTATAGTATCATCATACAATGAAATTCTATTTCTTTACAGCTATTAAACAAAGGCCAAAGTTAATTATTTCCTCACTATTGGACCTTTAGTAACTTAAACAGCTTTTAGAATGATGAAGTGTGATTTATTATATATGAGGAAAAATATTGGGTATTTGCTTACAATTATAGATACAATAAACAATCTTGCAACCACATCTTGTCCTTTTTTGGTACAATTACTTAGGCCTACTTTAGTTACAGAGAATTATTTGCTTACTCTAGCAATGCATTAGAGCACTAATTTTATCACATTCCAGTTTCATTTTTATGTTCTTGATAAAATATATAATAGAGAACTATCAAAGATCACCAACCAAAGTAGAGTGATTTTTCTAAAAAACTGCAATGCCAAAGAAACTATTTAACAAACACCCAGTGGTCATTTACAAGGAGAAAAGCATGAAGTATATATAAAGTTAATTAGTAAGTAGTTCTGCATATACTATACTGATGAAGACACACCAGGATACTTCAAAAATTTTTGAAATTCATGCATTATATACATTTCCACAAACCTTTTTAAGATCCCTCATATGCATGGTCTTCAAAAATTTCTGTACCCAAATAAACCTATGTTTTACTTACATTTTCCATCAACTTTCTGAAGCATCTTCTACATATCCTGTTACAATCCAACATAGCAGAAGGATCAAAATTAAAAAATCCTTACAAAGAAAAAAAGCCATGGCATTTTTGGAGAGCTGAAAAGGAGAGACAGGGCCCACCGCTGCCATGTTGGTGGGTGGAGTACAGGTAAATCTGCTCAGAGGCGCGGGTGGCTGGGAGAATCCCTGCCAGGCCAGGCTTCCTGCTGGGGATCCTAGTTCCCCATCTACCACTGCCAAGTGGTGGGTCAATCCTGGGCTTGTGGGTGACCAGAGTGCCAACAGAACTGGGCTTTGACTGATGGCCACCTAACAGTGAGCTTTGGGGTCTTGGGGGTTTGTAATTAATGCCTAGAGACATCCATGAATAAAGCCACTGTGCGTGCTGGTGAGGAATGAATGCTGAGGAACACCCAAAGACAGGGCCTCTGTACTTGCAGGTAAGTGAGGGGATTGAGTCCTGGTGGTTTGGAGGGAAGAGCTTGGACGATCTGTATGGGTCAGACTCATGCACCAGCCCACATGGGAATCCTGAATTGGGCTTGTTAACATAGAACACTGTTGACCACCATATGCCAGTCCACATGAAAGGTAGGGCTGGGGATTTGTCTAGCAGGGATAGATCTCAGTACCTGACTGAATGTCGGAACAGGGGACGGGTCATTATCAGGCAGGGGCATGACACTAACCAGCATGTAAGAGAGCCAGGCCCGGGGGTAGATTCTGTGGATGATACATGGGCCCAACCCTGAGGAAATACAAGTCCTGCTGGCTAGCTCAGGAACTGGGGTGGTGATGGGCTGAGCTAGGTGTGAACATGGAACCTGCCAACACTCATGGGTACAGGGACCAAGAATAGTCTGGGCAGGTCCAGGCTACAGCACACGCTTGTGCATCCTAAATCAGGGAGTGGGGTGGGCCGGGGCACAACATTCACCACCTCATACTAGGCCAAGATAGAGGGCCTAGCACCCACTGGCATACGTGAGATCTGGGACTGGGAGTAGGCCCAGTGAGGGAACATGGGAAACTCCCCTAATGGGTCATAGCTCCCACTGATTAGCATGTGGTCCAGGCCTGGGGGTCAGCCAGCTGGGCAAGGCAGCTCCAACTGTTGGCAAATGCTTGGGTTAGTTTTGAAATAGTTTAGACTGGGCAAGGTCGAGCAAACCCTAGCTCACTGGCAAGTGCAGAAACCAACATGGAATATGGGTAATACTGAGTTAGGCTGTCACACCTACTGGTTTGCATGAGCCATGGATGGGAGCAGACTGAGCAGGGCCAGGTCATCCACCAGCACCCATCAGCAAGAGTTGGGTCTGGGGCAGGCCAGGTCAGACTAGGCTGCAGCATCCACAGGCAAAGGACAAGCAAGGGGAGGGACTACACAAAGCTGGGTCACAGAAACTACTAGCATGCACAAGATCTATGGCTGGGAACAGGCCTGGTTGGGAAGCCAAGGAGACACCTTAGCTGGGTTAGGGTTCCCACTGGTGAATGCAAGCATCTGAGTGGCAGCTGCTCTCTGGTCCAGACATGGCTGCAGTATCCCTCGGCACAAGTGTTGTACTGGATCTGGGGTGTGTCAGACTAGGCTAGGCTCAAGTACCCACTGGTGCTTGTGAGAACCGGGGAAGGTGTAGGAAAGGCTGGGCTAAGTCTCTTTTCCTGCTGAGCCATGCGTGAGCTGTGTCTGGGTGTGGACGAGGCTTGGCTGGATTGTAACATACAACAGTAAAAACTGGAATGAGTGAGGGCTGGTCAGGAAAAGCCACTGTTCCTGCCAGGATAGGGGGTAGACTAAGTAGGGCTTGCCCATAGACCCACCAATGGGCGCGAGATCTGGCACTGGGAGAAGTTCTGATGGAGAAACTTTGGGAACTCCTTTGTTGGGACACAGTCCCTGCAGGTGAATGCAAGAAGCATGATAGGGAGCAGCCAGACCAGGCCAGGGAAAGGTATCCACCAGCATACATTTGGCTCAGGTCTGGGGCAAGCCAGACTGGGCTGCAAAACATGCCAGTTCACATGAGGGCTGGGACTGAAGGCTGGCTTGGCTGGGCTAGACTGTAGCCTCCACCAGTGTGAGCTTGAACTGGTGGTGGGCTGGGCTCGGCCAGGCTTCAGCACCCACTGGCAAATGCCGAGATGAGGCAGGCCAGGCCAGACCGGACTGCAGCCCCCAACCAGCACATGTGAGACCTGGAGGGTTGGGGAGACCCTGGCAGGGGGCGCTGCGTGGGGCTCCCTGCTGGACCACCATTCCCACTGGTAAGCATGAGAGTTGGAATGTGGGGCAGATCAGACCAGACAGGGCTATAACACCTGTGGGCCTCATGTGAGCCAGATTAGGGAAGAGCCAGACGGGACTGAATGTTCCTATTGGTACTTGCAAAAGCGAGAGTGGGTGAGGGTTGGTTGGGTTTTGCTGTAGCATCAGCTGGTAAATGCTGGCATGGGGAGCAAATTCTGTCAAGGTACACTGCAGAAGCACCTGAAGAGTATAAGATCCAGGAGTGGGAGTGGGTCTATTAGGGAAAGAGAGAGAACCTCCCTCTTGGGTTGCCATTCCCACTGGACAGCATGAGAACCAGGACTGAGGCAGGCATGGCTAGACAGAGAGTAGCACCTGATAGCATGTGTGTAGGCTGGATAGTGGGGCTGGTTGTGTTGAACGAGGCTTTAATGCCTATCGACATGCATGACAGCTGAATGGGATATGGGACAGACTGGACCAGTCTGCTGTACATACTGGCACGCACAGGAACCAGGGCAGGGGCAAGCCTGGTGGGAGTTATTGCAGGTCGCTCTGACTAGGCTGCAATTCCCACTGGTTTGCGTGAGGGCTAAGTATGAAGCGGGCATGATCGAGCTGGACTGCAACACCCATTAGTTTATGTAGAAGACAGGGCAGGAGACAGAACTGACCTAGCAAGTATAATCAGCAGCATGTGCATAAGCTGATTGGAGTGAACGGAATGTGCCTGACCCTATGAATGTGCCTGGCATGTACACACAAGATTCACGTCTGGGATCACTCCAAATGAAGTTTCTTTGGGGATCCCCCAACTGCTGGATTCAGAACCCCAACCATGGAGAGAATTGCAGGTTCCATGGTCTGACCATGGAGTGTATGTGTAAGAGTTGGGCCTCCTTATTGGCTTAGATGGAGCAGAGGACAGCATATCCAGGTGAACATGGAGGATATGGTAGTACACTGGAGTCTACAGAGGACACCTGTACCATAACAGCGGATGGAGGATAGAGCAAATTGATCAACCAGCCCAGCCAAGTGTTGGAAATGAAAATCTGGGTAAATGTAGACTCTAAGGTGTACTGTATGAACCAGTGGATTCTGGAGAGATATTGTACTTGGAGTGGCGAGACTGGCAGTAACTCAGAACTGCTAAACTATCAGACTCTCTTGAGCATGTGCCACATTGGGAACCCTGGCGTGGTGTCAGGTGACTTCCTCCATCCCAGCGTACAGAGGCATTTGGGAGGCTGGGTGTGATTTCTTCACTTATCTCTCCCCTGCCCTGAGATACAGAAAGGAAAAAAAAAAAGAGAATATAATGGTGGAAATAATGTTCTCTCTCACTTTCCTGTAGGCCTTGATCCTTATCACCCTAATTATATAAAAATCATCAAAAAAATCTTTAAAAAATGAGAGACAAGAGGGTAAATCAAGTAGTTTAGTTTGTATATAGGTTAAGTGGAATGAGTGAGGGAGTCAGGTCTAGATTGTGCTTCATGGGGAATCAGAGGTATCAGAAATTTCACTGCAAACTGATGCTATGAAATGTTTACATAGGGTACATGGAACAGGATGTATCAGAAAGGCTTGATGCAATAATGTGGTAGTCTAGTAGATAGAAGTGGTTAAATTAAGATTATGCAAGCCAAGAGGAATTGATTTTACATAAGATACTTTGTGAAGACATGTCAACAGTTACATTGTTGTGAAAACAGCACATGTCCCGTTTTTTTATCATTAACTATCTGGGTGAATATGAAGTCTGCAGAGCAGCTTACAGGTGAGGCCTATTGTAGATAAGGCCACAGCTTCCATTTCCTTTTTAAACTTTTATTCATGGAAATAAAAAGAATTTCCAAATTCTTCATACTACTACCCACTGCCACTCCTATTAGGATTGCATTCAACTAGAAATGCCTGAAATAAAGATAAGTAATTTAAATTCAAAGCCAGAATAATAATTTACAAATAAACTATATAATAATAAAAATATCCCAAAAAGCCCAAAAGCAACAACAAAAAAGCAACTATATAAGCACGATTACTGAAACCCTGCAAATGAATTCATCATCAAAGGTCAAAATATTCAGACGTCTTTCTTGTGAATAATCCTTCTTCTTAAGGCAGAGGAACCTCAAATGCCAAGAGGTTTTACATATACTAAGGGTTACTTCGTTTTGTTTTTTTCGGTGGGGGGGGAGGCGCTGGTCCTAAGGCAGCAGCAAGGAGCCGCTCCAGCTCTCCCACAGAGGAGCAGGGGCCCTAAGACTTGGGCCAATCTCTGCTGCCCTCCTAGGCCATTAGCACAAGTTAGATCAGAAGCAAAGCAGCTGGGACTTGAAGCAATGCTCATATAAGATGCTGGTGCCATAGATGTAGGTTTAGCCTGTTATGCCAAGGTGCCAGCCTTGCTTAACTGACAGTACTCATGGCACAGGGTAAAGAATATATACTCCTGCAAAGACTAAAAGTGTAGTCCAAAGTGACTAGCCAAGGATGTGAAATGTCTTTGAGATATTATATTTATCTTAAAAGTTCATGCAAAATGCCTTTTGCTCCATGTTATACCTGTGTATTAATACAGAAATAATGCTCCCAGTCTCAAAATCTTTAATAAAAACTGATGCTTCTGAAAAATGTATAATGTATTCTGGTTTCACTTATATGTGCCCTATCTCATGTATATCAGCTGTGCAAGGCACAGACATATTGTCAAATTTATTCCTTAGATAACCCTGGAAGATATCATCTTGATTTTAGAGAAGTAGTTAGTTAAAGATCAAAGAAATGAAGTGACTTGCATATGGTCACACAGAGTGGAAAAAGTAGGATTTGAAACAGCTATTTAAGGTCTGTGCTATTTTTTGTTACAGCATGGTGCTTTCCATTTAAGCAGAGCAAAAGGAAGATAATTTTTGTGAAGGAGAATGACAGTTTAACATAGACCACTCAAACCCTGAGTCTTACCACACACTGCTCCATTCTCAGTAGAGACATAACCCCTCAATAATTAAGCACTACCAAGTCTCTCACACATCTCTTACAGTATTACCTGAAATGCCTGACATAGAAACACCTTTGTGAACTGATTCCCGAGTGTTTAAGTACAGTTCTCCACTGCTCTTCCCTCTTCCAATTTTGCTTCAACAGGAACAATTAATTTGCAGATTCAATGTCACACCATAACATACTTTCTTCAAACCTCCATGTTTACGCATTACCTCTCACTTGGTTTGGTGTGCTGTCTCAAGCAAATTGCTATTGAAAAATTAAGTCTCAGAACAAGTCTCATCCACTTTGTTTTTCCTAAAGTAAGGTGGTATTCTACTTGCTGTATTTTAAAAGTCCCTAACACATTTCTCTGTTATAGAATTACTGGACCCATTTGCTTTCTGGTTATTAACATAACGTCTATAAAGAAGCATTTGAAAAACCTGTTAACAAAAAAATCTGTAAATAATGGATTTGCCACTGAATTTGCCAATGATAAAATCATAGTATTCCAGTTTATAAAATTATTTGTTACCTACATGTACTGTCTTTGTTCTACATGAAAAAGATCCTTGCTTTCCATATTTTGCTCCAGCAGTGTTCTGTTCTGTAGCATTAATGTCTGAATTTGATCCAGCAGATGTCGGTTTTCTTCTTCTAAATTTCCTTTAAGCTGACTTAGCAACTGTTAAAACACAAAGTTTTTTTAAATTTACCTTTAACAAATCATCTGAAACATCTGAAAATACAAAGTACTTAATACTTTCACTATTTGCATTATTAGTTGATTGCATTTTCATGACAATGTCATTGACTTTTAATGACAGTGACAGCACTCAGTTATATGTATTACACATGTATTTTCTCAAGTCTCACAAAACATCAGATCTAAAATTTGCAAATAAAATGTATCTCAAAAATCAAGTTTAGTAAATTATCAAGTCACAATAAACTGCTTAACATATAGCCCAAGAACTAGATTATCTAGTTCTCAATTTAAGAAGCTAAAAAAATGTTACACAAGTCAATTAATTCTCTACAAAATGAGATCCTACTTGTTCCCCAAGGCTGTTGCAAGCATTAAATAATATTTGAAAAGTAGTTTGTAGTACGCTTATGGCATACAGTAGATACTAAATCTCATTCTTCAACCAAACCATTATTTTCAGGAGATATTAAAAGATTTGTGTATAATTTTTAAGGCTAGATCAGCGAGAATCAGGTAATTTATTCAGTGGTTGATATATTACCAATTAGTTCTGCTGAGAGTTCAGCTGCTAACAGCATGGAATGTTTTATAAGTAGATAGAAGAAAGTGGAAATCAGTCTCAAGTCAGAGGTTTAAGCAGAAATTGGACATGCTAAAGCAGTGACTTCAACACCACTTTTATGGTAATTTCTGGGCCCCACCATTCAAGTTCAGCAGATCAAGAGTGGAACCCAGAAATCCATACTAAAAAACAAAAATAAAAAAAGGCAAAGAAGTAACACGAATCTCTCAATGCTCCCTCCAAAAGAATAAATCAGACTGAATATTACAATCACTTAATATCTAATAACTGTCAGTACTGTAACATGTTTGATTTATTTCTCTTTATATAGTTATACCAAAATATAACAAGGTAGATTGAAAACCTGGATGTATTTATTCTTTTCTGTACCTATGCTAAGGTATTGTGACTAGAAGTAGAATCTGGGGTGGTACTGCAATGCTAGCACCCTGTGACCCTGTGTAAGTACTGGTTTGAGTCTGGGTTGCTTCACTTCTGATCCAACTCCTGTAATGATTCCACTTCCCAAAAGACCACAAACATTCAGAGCTGCGCCAAGCCTAAGCCAGGAGCTTGGAACTCCATCTAGGTCTCCCACAGTGGTGATAGTGACCTTCTTTTACTACTTTTCCTGGCGCATGAGCAGAGAGTTGGATCAGAGGTAGTGAAGACCTGAACTGGCACTTCACTATCTGACATGGACACTGCAAACTGGTGAATCTCTTGTGCCAAATGTAAGCCTCCTTCCTCTCAGATTTTAAATCCCCTGAACAAGAGAAGGTTGCACAGAACATGTCAATGTGGAATATTCAAGTCTAGGATTTAAGAGGCTTTGTGTGCTTCTCCTCGGTCTATGAGAACCCCACAGGAGAATATGAAACCATATGGAACAGAGAAGATGCATTCCAGCTAAGAAGACCAAAGCATAGCTAGGCTGTATCAGCTAACCACATACTCAGAAAAAAAACGAGTGAGTGGATCAACATACCCTTTTAGCCAAACCTGAAAGACATATTCATTTGCCATTATCTCTGAAGTTCTAATTAATACACAGAATTATTGGGGATGATCAACAATAAAAAACATACAAAGAAGCTAAGCAAACAACTCAAAGGATGATCAGAGAATGCAAATGTCAAACTCTACTGAGAGCAACAAAACAGTAATCATATTCCAGAAATACTCCTTGTATTACCTTCTAGTCACCATCTCTTCCCACCAAGTGTAAGTACTATCCTGACCTCTATACCACAGATCAATTTTCCCACCTCACTAAAATTATGACTTATGTTAACCCAGGGGTTAATATTTGACTCCAATTGTGAAAATCAGTCAGGGATGAAAAACAGGGCATTTTTTTTTTCCCCCTGAGCAACCTTTCAGATCACCAGTGACATGCTTACTGTGGTTGTCTCACACTTTAAATCTAGTTAAATTCTGACTAGCTCACTGGTCTGCTTTGTCACAACCAATATTTCAACCTCAGCTTAACTGAGAGTTGAGCTTTGACAACTCCACATGGGGATTGTTCTTTGCTTTTTCCCAAATGAAATCAGGTTTTCACAGGAGCAAAGCTATTGGTTCCCCCTCTCCCCTGCCTCCCAGTTTGCCTTGTGCCTTGTCAGAAAGCTCAAGTACTAGAATCAAGAAGGAGAATTCACAACATAAAAATGTCTCAGACAACCACAGCTGTCTGCCTTTATTTGATTTCAGAATTCTAAAATTTTTTTTGACAATTTTATCTAATTGTATTGTTTCATGGGAGTCAATTGATTGTGTTCTTCATGCTACCATTCTGGAAGCACACTACTGTTACCCTTTTATAAATCACAGGCAAAATAATTGCCCAATACTTCCTCAGCATTTTTGGGAAACTCAATGTATTGTACTTTCAAAAGATTTTTTTCTTTCATTGATTTATTTCATGCCAGTTATAAACATTTTTTATAATTCATAATTCTTGATACATCTGGACTTATAAGTTTAAAGCTAATAGCAACAAATGTTGAAATTAATAGTTCTGAATTACTTGCAAATTTCAACTGCCTATGATAAAACTTTCAGAAACATGCTATAAAATGTATATTGCTATTGTCCCTTTAGTACAGTTACTTACTTTTTGGACATCCCTAGTTGCCTAAGGACAGAAATTTAAGATAAAACTTATTAAAGCTCACCTCACATTGGTTATTCAGCTTTGTGGATGTGATATCCAGCTGTTGGTATTGTTCCTTTAGTTTTGAAAATTCAGCTTCCAATCTTGTTTGCTCCAGTTTAGAATTATTAAGAAGACTTTTCAAGTTTTTATGATCAGTTTGTAACACCTCAGTCTCCTTTAAAAGCTGGTTATATGTATGATTCAACCTGTAAGTAAAAGTCATAATAGAAATATTGATTCTCTTAACAGCATCTAATGCAATTTCTAACATCCTTACTTATTTATTTTTATTTGAAAGGTGGAGTTACAGAGAGATGGAAAGACAGAAAGAGAGGTCTTTCATCCTCTGGTTTATTTCCCAAATGGCTAAAACATTTTGAGCTGGGTCCATCTGAACAAGAGCACAGTTTCTTCCAGGTCTTCCACATGCATGCAGGGACCCAGGGACTTAAGCCATAAGCAGGGAGATGAATTGGAAGTGGAGCAGCTGGGATACAAACCACACACATGAATGCTGGCACTGCAGGTGGAGTCTTAGATCACGATGCCAGCCCCTGCAATCTGCACAACATGACAAGCTATAAATAACACCTGAATATATTTAATAAATGTTAAAGATTGTTTGGCCAGTTACTAAAGTGATCAAGTTTCTTTCTGTAAAAACCAAAGTTTTTAAGATGTTGGTGAATGAAGATAATAATTATGTCACATAAATTGTAAAATTTTTATTAAAATAAAGTGACTAATACAGTCTTGATTTCATAAAAAATTCAAAGATTCTAAAATTCAACATGAAACAAATATCAGATGGCAAGAAAAAACTAATCATGAAACACTATGCTATTATATTGATTGACAACTGACAAACAGATTTAACACAAATCACAGCTGTGGTTTCTACAACTGTGGCAAATTACTTCTATTTATGCAATTTCCAGTTATTTTAATTGCACTAGTCTTTTTCTTTAAATTCCACTAATTCAGTTTCATAGTAAGGTTCACGGAATCACTAAAGACAGAGACGGACAAACTTTTTCTGTAAAGGACTGGCTATAATCCTTTCCCCAACCCCTTCAAATCCCATACCACCCCCCTCCTTTTTTTAAGATTTATTTTTATTGGAAAGATAGTACTGCAGAGAAAAGGAGAGACAGAGTAAAATCTTCCATCTGCTGGTTTACACCCCAAATAGCTGCAATGGCCACAGCTGAGCCAATCTGAAGCCAGGAGCCAGGAACTAGGAACTTCTTCTGGCCCTAGGCCTTTGGACCATCCTCTATTGCTTTTCCAGGCTATAAGCAGGGGCAGGATATGAAGTGGAGCAGCTGGAACATGAACTGGCACTCATATTGGATCCTGGCATTTGCAAGGTAGGGATTTAGCCATTGAGCCATCGTGTCAACCACCTCTCCCACCAAATTAAACTTTTAAAATGTAAGATATTTTCTTCATTTAAGAGCTACACAGTAATAGACTGTAGGTTGCATTTGCCTGCTGAACTATTTGTGGTTTGCTGATTCCAATATTTTTTTAAAAGATTTATTTATTATTATTATTTTTACTGGAAACACGGATATACAAAGAGAAGAGACAGAGAGGAAGATCTTCTGTCCGATGATTCACTCCCCAAGCAGCCACTACGGCCGGAGCTGAGCCAATCTGAAGCCAGGCGCCTCCTCCGGGTCTTCCATGCGAGTGCAGGGTCGCAAGGCTTTGGGGCCATCCTCAACTGCTTTCCCAGGCCACAAGCAGGAAGCTGGATGGGAAGCGGGGTCGCTGGGATAAGAACTGGCGCCCATATGGGATCCCGGGAATGCAAGACGAGGACCTTAGTTGCTACGCTATTGCACAAGGCCTTGCTGATTCCAATCTTATGGCATAAAGATTAGGGACACACACACGACAGCAAGTCAAACAAAACAAATTTTCTCAGTATGGTCCTGATGCAGAATCTCAGAAATTCTCAAAGAATCTGTGTTGGCTTACAAAAATTATAATACATTTCTTAAAAATCAAGATTCTGGGGCCAGCACTGTGGCAAATCAGGTAAAATGGTAACCTGTGATGCTGGCATCTGTATAAGTGCTGGTTTGTGTCCTGGATGCTCCACTTCTAATCCAGGTCCCAGCAAATTGGCCGGGTAAAGCAGCAGAAAATGGTCCAATCATCTGGGCCCCTGCTGCCCAAGGAGATACAGATGACATTCCTGGTTCGTAGCTTCCTCCTGGCCCAGTCCTGCCATTCTGGCCACTAGGGAGTGCAGCAGGGATGGAAGATCTCTCCTTCTCCCTCTTTCTTTCTTTGGGCCTGGTACGATTAACAGCCAAATCTTCCTGAAAGTGCCAAAATTCCAAATTGGCACCAGCTCGGATCCTAGCTGTTTTACTTCCCATCCAGCTCCCTGCCTGTGGCCTGGGAAAGCAGTGGAATATGGCCTTGGAACCTTGCAACCCAGAAGAAATTCTTGGCTTCAGGCTTTGGATTGGTTCAACCCCAGCCTTGGCAGCCACTTTGGGAGTGAACCAGTGGATGAAAGATCTTTCTCTTTGTCTCCCCTTCTCTGTAAATCTGACCTGCCCTTCCAAAAAAAAAAAACTTTTTTTAAAACAAAATTTGAAGACATGAAACATTCCATAAACAGTTGAATTCATCAATTAATATACACCATATGCATGTGAGATGGTCCAGCTTCACTGAGACATAGACCAATACATGATATGTCAGAACTTACAGGGTCAAATATTTTCATGTCAGGGGTGAGTAATACAAAGAGTTCATGTTAAGTTCTCAATTTCTCTATGGCAAATGTTAAATTGAACTATCTGAATTTTTTACATTACCTTTAATAGCTGCGGAGATTAATACCAAAATGTAATTCACTGAACATAATACTAAAGAGGCCAAAATGAGAGTCTAAAATACAAAACTTTTTTGGTCTAGCATTATTTAAGATCAAATCTATTTACAGGATTAGATTAAGTGCTGCTTCATAAATTTGGGGGAGTGGGAGAAAAGGTCTTGCATATTTGAGTTTTAAGGCTCTTTATTAGAATAAAGACATGAGAGCCCAGGACAGTGACCTAGTGGTTAAAGTCCTCGCCTTGCATGTGCCGGGGTCCTATATGGGTGCCAGTTCTTATTCTGGCAGCCCCCTTTCCAATCCAGCTTCTTGCTTGTGGCCTGGGAAAGCAGTCAAAGATGGCCCAAAGCCTTGGGACCCTGCACCTGCGTGGGAGACCCGAAACAAGCTCATGGCTTCTGGCTTTGGATCGGCACAACTCTGGCTGTTGCGGTCAAGTAGGGAGTTAATCATCAATGTAAGATCTTCCCCTTTGTCTCTCCTCCTCTCTCTATATATATCCGACTATGCAATAAAAAAAAATCTTTTTTAAAAAAAGAATAAAGATATAAACTCACAAAAGCTAACTAAGGACAGATATGAGAGAAACTATTTTAAATCAGGACCACTCTCTAGCTCAAGGTAATTACATGCTTCATTTTTTCTTCATTTTTGGCGCAATTGTTTCTCTGGAATTTCCTCAGCAATGTACACAGACTTCTCAGAGGCCTTCCTAAGGTTCTAAACTTTCCCAAATAGGCTTGAATCCTAGCAATGGAAAAGATAAAGAGGGAACTTCCACAGTAAAAATATTCTATACATAATAAAAATGACTTGATTTTATGTAACGTGGTTGAATTCGGTCTTCTGCACACATATGCACATATACTTATGTATCTATAAACAGGAAACTTAATTCTAGTTTAGTGTTTCAGATTAAGTATAGTACACTAGTACAGAATTTCTACTTGTAACTAAGAAACTGAATTTAAAACTATTGTTCATGATAATGGCTCCAGAAATTTAGGAACTTTTAAAAGAAAAACGGTTCAATTCTAAAAAAAGATTTATATTTATAGAATTGACAAATGTTCTATAAATGACTTCTATTTGAATTCTGTATGGTGCCTTTCAACCCTTCAATACAACACAAAACATGGTTGTAGGTTCTTGCACTACATGCTAAGAGAACTCCAAATCCAGACAGAACTTCACCACCCAAAGATTTTCTTCTACCACTGAAAACAACTGATCTGGCACCGCATATTGCTGAATGTGTTGTGACACCAAGGGAACTCAGTGTGTTGGTGAACAGCACAGTCCGGAAGGAGCAGCACAGATGTTTCAGTGGTTTTTAACTTCAGCTATGGCTGTGTAATTAAAATGCAAATACACAGTTTGTTTTAACTCTTAAAGTTTCTGGAGAAGTTAAAAAAAAAATCTACCTTTGTGAAGCAGACTGGTTTTTACTAGGTTGATTTCTCAAGGCTTTCAATTAAAAAATAATTGCCTCACAGCAATATAGGGTAATAAACTCAAAAGTTAGTATGTGTCAAGTTGAGGCTGCATAGATAGACATAACAATCACATTTAAACAATATTTAAATTATACTTTATTCCTAAGAAGGTAAATGTCATTAAGATACAAAACATTTTTATGGGCCCAGAGCAATAGCCAAGTGGTTAAATCCTTGTCTTGTATGCCTCAGATCATATATGAGTGCTGGTTTGTGTCCCAGCTGGTCCACTTCCCACCTAGCTCTCCCTGGTTGTTGCCCTTGGGACCCGGCACCCGCATGGGAGACCTGGAAGAAGCTCCTGGCCTTGGATCAGCTCAGCTCTGGTTGTTGCAACGATTTGGGGAGTTAACCAGGGAACGGAAGATCTTTCTTTCTGTCTCTCCTTCTCTCTGTAAATCTGTCTTTACAAAAAAGATAAATAAAATAAAATAAAAAAACTTTTCCTACATAATCTGACTTTTAAACTTAATTGAATAAAACAAGAAACAATGAAATGAAACAGGAAATCTGTTTTAATCTCAATTGCTACTTAACTTTATTGGGTAATTTGCTTATTGTAATGAGGTCTTCAAAACCTATATATATAGAAAAGGAGCCATCCTTTTCTAGACTATACTGTTTGTTTTTCAATTCTGAAGACACTGCGTACCTGTCCCCTATACCATATGGCTGTCATCAAGCCCCTAGCTCTGACTCATGATTCTAATTTCCTGATCCTAGGACTTTAAGAAGCAGAAGAGATGAGCTCAAATAACTCGATTTTTGCACCCATAGTAGGAGACTTGGATTGAGTTATTGGCACACAGCTTTGTTGCCAGCTGGGTATGGTTTTAGAAAATAGGGAGTTACGGGCCCGGCGTGATGGCGCAGTGGTTAAGGTCCTCGCCTTGCATGCCCAGGATCCCATATGGGTGCCGGTTCTAATCCCAGCAGCTCCACTTGCCATCCAGCTCCCTGCCTGTGGCCCTGGAAAGCAGTCGAGGACGGCCCAAAGCTTTGGGACCCTGCACCCGCGTGGGAGACCCGGAAGAGGCTCCTGGCTTTGGATTGGCATAGCATCGGCCGTTGCGCTCACTTGGGGAGTGAATCATCGGACAGAAGATCTTCCTCTCTGTCTCTCCTCCTCTCTGTATATCTGCCTTTCCAATAAAAATAAAATAAATTTTAAAAAGAAAAGAAAATTAGGGAGTTAATCAAAAAATAAGAGTGTGCACAGTTCAGGCTGTATTAGGTCCTCTCTCTCTGGAAACAGGAAGACTCACTGCACCCCACTGGGAAGCATATTAAAAGGATGTGATGACAGTAGCATTTTTAGCTATCTTTATCACAGCTCCAAATGGAGCTCTATGTATTAGCATACTGGGGCCCAAAATACTTGCATGCCATTATGATCCAAACAAAATAAAACTGCATTTGTCAGCAGCAGAACATCATTAAAAGGTTTATTTACTACAAAACAAACAAACAAATAAAATAAAGAGGCTTATCCTGTGGTATAGTAAGTTAAGCCTTTGCCTTAAGTGCTGGTTAGTCCCAGCTGCTTCACTTCCGATCCAGCTCCAGGCTAATGGCCTAGGAAAGCAATGGAAGATGGCTCAAGTTTTTACTACATTTTAGGCTCCTGGCTTTGCACTAACACAGTCTTGACTGTTAAGCCCATATGAGAAGTAACACAGCAGATGTATTTCTCCTCTATAAGTAACTTTGCTTTTGAAGTAACTATAAATAAAACTTTAATAAAAAAATAATATTTGAAGTCTGAATTATGGTTACAATTACTACATACTTCCAATACAAGGAATAATACAGCATTAAAATTTATACATATTAATTTATTACCTATCATTTTCACCACAAAGTTTCCTGTATTCAGCAGCTACCGTCTCATGATTTTTACTTTCAAGCAGCATTTTTTCTTGTTCTACTTTGAGCATTTTTTCCAAATCTTCCAACTGTCCTTTCTGTTTTAGTAACTGGTTGTAACTGGAAAAAAAGGTCAGGTATTTGATTTATAGTATTTCTACAAAATACTTCAAAAATGAAGGAAATAAGGAATTTATTATAAAGTATCACATAAAATACATGCAAATTCACATAAATTTTAAATATAATTTCTTGAACATGGTTAATATATAAAATGTACTACAATGCCTGTAGAAAACTGGTTTTAGGGCCCGGCGCGGTGGCGCAAGTGGTTAAGTCCTCGCCTTGCACGCCCGGGATCCCATATGGGCGCCGGTTCTAATCCCGGCAGCCCCGCTTCCCTTCCAGCTCCCTGCCTGTGGCCTGGGAAGGCAGTTGAGGACGGCCCAAAGCTTTGGGACCCTGCACCCGCGTGGGAGACCCGGAAGAGGCTCCTGGCTTCGGATCGGCATAGTATCGACCCGTTGCGGCTCACTTGGGGAGTGAATCATCGGATGGAAGATCTTCCTCTCTGTATCTCCTCTCTGTATATCCGCCTTTCCAATAAAAAAATAATAAAAATAAATCTTTAAAAAAAAAAAAAGAAAACTGGTTTTAAATTCATGACATAATAAAACATAACAAATTACCGGTCTTCAAGATCTTTATGCTCCACCTCAAGATTTTTATGGGCAGACTTTAGGGTTCCATGTCTCGAGATGAGAGACTCATACTCTGAGGCCTGCCGTTCATGAAGAAGTTCCAGCTTTTCATGATCTTTGACCAGAGAATCATAGAGAGATTTGAGGTCTTCTCGTTCTTTGATTACAGATTCATTCTCATTTTCTAAAGAAGACTGTTGGATTAGGAGTTGTGCATTCTGATTCATAAGTGAAGTACTTTGGGAATTGAGTGTAGAATTTTCAACCTATAAGAACGCATATTGTTATTAGACATGAGAAAACGCCTCACATCGTTCTTGTCTAAAAATAGACAATTTCAACGTGGAAACTCTTGTACACAAACACATGTGTATCTTCTGGGTTGAATGTACTTACAATGAAATGTGACTGGCTATCATCTGTACTTACTTACAAAATTTGAAATGCCACCTCCTGCAGTGCCTGCATCTCAGATGGGCACTGGTTGGAGTCCTAGCTGTTCCACTTCCAATTAAGATTACTGCTAATGCTCCCAGAAAAGCAGTGAAGAGGGCCCAAGTGTGTGGGCCTCTCCACCCATGGGGGAGACCCAGAAGAAATTCCAGGCTCTGAATCAGCCCAGCTCTGGCCACTGAGGCCATTTGGGGAGTGAACCAGCAATGGTTCTATCTCCTTCTATGTCTGTGATTCTTTCAATTAATAAATACTTAAAATAAACCCTGAAAACTTACAGAAATTTTCTTGAGAGCATAAATTAAAGTTGGAAAATGCTAACTGAAAAAACTTTTAGATTCTAAAAGGAATCTTTTGACTGAGCTTTCAAAGTTGTACTTTCATCACCCTAACTGTTCTATTTCAAAAGACAACAGCAGTATTATATGAAAGATAAATACTTCGACATCTACAAATTCTATGTTGTATTATTGTCTAATAGCTATGCTGTTAAGAAAGATAAAAGAATGGAATAAGGAATAGTATACAGGAACTGTACCTTAAACAAGGGTTTGTTTCTGATTAGTTATCAGTTTGTTCAAACGGCACAAATAAATTAATATTTATTAAAGTGGATTCATTAACCAGTATTGAGAGGCTCTGATATTTAACAAAATGCTGATGTTTGAAAACTTGTAATAGCCATAAAATATTTTAGATTTTTTCTAGTTTCCAAGTCTACAATAGCACAATTCAAGACTTTGATCGCCTGATCCCAAAATATCACATTACAACCTGAAGCTTGGCATTCTGTGTTTGAAGAGTGGTATTCTGCTCTTGTAATGATATTGTCTGCCTCTGCAGAGCAAGAATCTGAGCCTGCAAATTATTGTTCTGTGTTTCAAGTTGCTTCAGTTGAGTTTTCAATGCTTGCTTCTCTGCTTGGAGTGTAGCATTCTTAATTAAAAAACAACAACAACAACATATACACGTATTAAAGATAAAGGCAATATCAAATGTTTTTGTAACATTATATAACCAACATTTATTATCACTATAATTTTCTCTAAAATATCCCCAATAATATTAAGAGAAAAAATCCCCATTGTGCTCTATCTTTATCCTAAGTTTTAAATACAAACAATCTAAGAGAGACAATATTATATTATATTATTATATCATATCATATTATATTAAGCCCTAACATGCTGTGGCACCTGTATGCGTTGTAATGTCCTAAGCATTCCAACTAGAATGGGGTCATCAGCAGCATGGTTTTAATATCAAAAGTAGTAAATGTTCAACAAAGAAGGTGTGCCTTTCTTAATTTACCCAAAGCAAATGCATACAGAAGTGAGTGATGCTCCCAAGGGCAGCAGCAAAATAAAGTATTTTCCAAACACAAAAACATAGAAGTACTTTCACAGAAACAATCTTAAACATCTGTTTAAAAATTTAGTCCATAATACACCTAACAGATGGTAACTACTTTCTTTAGTTGTTTTTTTTCCCAGCATAAAACAGTCACTAAAAGTTTAATTCAACTATAGCGCTCTGGAGCACTTCCAAATGAAACATAGCATTTTAATTCTTCCAGCACATATGGAAATATTTCAATTTTATAGTTAAACAGGTGAATTACTACACAGATCACAGATCTGTTATATTTAGATCACTAATATTTATACAGATCATTATATTTAGTGTGACAGATGTTAAAATGCTTGCCATAGATTTTATATGTCTGGATTAGATATAAATAAAAATTCATGGGGCCAGAACTGTGGCACAGCTGGTAAAGCCACTGCCTCAGGCACCAGCATTCCATGAAGCTAGTTCATATTCCAGTTGCTCTGCTTCCAATAAAGCTACCTGGGAAAGAGGAGGATGATGGCCCAATCGCCAATCATGTGGAAGACCCAGAAGGAGCTCGTGGCTCCTGCCTGGTGCAGCCTGGCAGTTGCAACCATCTGAGCAGTGGTAGAAAACCTCTCTCTGTAATTCTTTCAAAATAAATAAATACATTTTTTTTAAAAGTTCATAAAAATAGATCAGCATCTAAAGTCCTCGCCTTCAACATGCAGGCATCCCATATGGGCACCAGTTCTAATCCCGGCAGCTCCACTTCCCATCCAGCTCTCTGCTTGTGGCCTGGGAAAGCAGTAGAGGACCGCCCAAAGTCTTGGGACCCTGCACCCACGTGGGATACCGGAAGAAGTTCCTGGATCCTGGCTTTGGATCGGCAAAGCATCAGCCGTTGCACTCACTTGAGGAGTGAATCATCAAACGGAAGATTTTCCTCTCTGTCTCTCCTCCTCCTCTCTATATATCTGACTTTGTAATAAATAAATAAATCTTTTAAAAAATTTATTTACAAAGGTGGGCATTTGGCACAGTAGTTAAGAGTCAGCTTTGGATACCCACATCCCCTATAAGAATATGAAGTACAAGTTCAGGCTCTTTTGATACCAGCTAGGTATACACACCCTAGGATGCAGCAGGTGGTGGCTCAAGTGCTTGGGTCTTTCCCACCCATTTGGGAGACTTCACTCAAATTCTGTGTTTTTGGCTCCATTCCAGGCCTGGCTATTGTGGGAATTTGGGGGAATGAACCAGTGGATGGAAGCTCTCTCTCCTTCTGTTTATCTCTCTCTGCCATTACCTGTCTCTGCCATTATCTGTCTCTCTGCCAAATAAAATAAGTGAAAATCTCAAAAAGGCTTAAGCAACAACAAAAACCCCAGTACATAACAGAAATATTGCTTTAATATATGAAATGCCTATTATAGTACAATGCACAAAAAGTTAATACTGAATTACAACATGGTTTTTATATTAGAACACTCACTTTCATGCTATACATGGAACATGCTATAACATGGAACACTAATGCTCTATATATGTCACCTTGACACAAAGAGGTGGACCAGTTTTCACTTGTAAATGTGAAATATTACTGCAGTTTAGCACTTTACCTTGGATTTCCTATAGTTTATACTGAATAGATGAAATAGGTGACAGCAGAAAGATTGTCTCAGGGTAGGAAACAACATAGCAATGAGAAAGTGCTAAACTACTAAAAATAATATTGGCAAATATACAAGAATTAGAAGCCATACTTTCAATGTAGAGTTAACGGTGCTTGCTGATGGAGTTATATGAGAGTGAAGAAGAAAAATACATGATTTATTCATTTAATATTACATAGTTTAGTCAAAAAAGTATAAAGTGGGCAAAACTACAAAACCAGTATAGACAACTTTTCTAACGTTTGTCAGATTAATATAACAATTCTGTATTTCTAAAGAAGTTTATTCCTACTAAAAATTTAAGACTACTTACATTTCTTTCTACTTCAATTAACCTGTCTTTTACTTTGAGAAGTTCCCTGGTGGTCTCCTGACTTTCTCGTTCCCATTTATTATCTTCGCCAGCCAATGGAGGAGAGCTCTGTACCATCCGCTCCTCATCTTGCCTCTGTCTGAGAGCTTCATAATTTTTCTTCACCTAAAATTTAAAATATTTTAACGAGGGAAAAATCACTAATGTAATATTTCTCAGAATCAGTCACACTGTGCATCAGTCTGGTTAATGTGAGCCATTTTGAAAAGAGATGTGACAACATGTAAAGTCCCTTTATAATAGTTTATGATTCAAAATGTAAATCTCTTCCTCAGAGAAATAGTAAACAGACCTTCCCTTTGCTTCTATACTATGCTCTGTAATTTTTATTTCTACTTTTTGTGGTAAGAAATGGTACTGAAGGGCCCGGCAGCATGGCCTAGCAGCTGAAGTCCTCACCTTCAACATGCAGGCATACCATATATGCACCGGTTCTAATCCCGGCGGCCCCGCTTCCCATCCAGCTTCCTGCTTGTGGCCTGGGAAAGCAGTCAAGGACCGCCCAAAGCTTTGGGACCCTGCACCCACGTGTGAGACCTGGAAGAAGTTCCTGGATCCTGGCTTTGGATTGGCAAAGCATCGGCCGTTGCGCTCACTTGGGGAGTGAATCATTGGACGGAAGATCTTCCTCTCTGTCTCTCCTCCTCTCTGTATATCTAACTTTGTAATAAAAATAAATAAATCTTAAAAAAAAAAAGAAATGGTACAGATGAACTAGACAGGTGGCTAAATACTAACAACTTTTTATTGAGTTACTTATAATGAACTTAGGAGTTTCAGATATTCCTATGTGAATAAAAAGACTAGAACATGTCAGTAATTAGTGCTACGATACCTATACTTAAAGAGATGTCTATGTATGTCTTGCCTTTTAAGAAAAAATATGCTACCTTGAATTAACTACGTTAATAAAAATGACTTCTTTACAAAATCTTGATCCAGATATTAGTACTGTGTTTTATATAAGAAGTGAGCCATCTAATGACACATATTTATTAAAATTTTTTAGTTTTGAAAAGGCTCTCTTAAAGTAGGTTGCAAACATGCCAAAAAAATTTTGCTGGATATGATAAATTACTGGCTTATAACTATCATATTAACAACATACTCATCTTACATGCCCATATTGCCAAATCCAACTTAATTATTTTTAATTTAAATTTATTGCTACCATATATATCCAGGATCACTAATCTACCCTAACATGTTTATCACACCCAAACTACAATTGTTAGAGCTGAGCTGATCTGAAGCCAGGAGCTTTGTCCCGGTCTCCCATGTGGGTGCAGGGTCCCAAGGCCATCCTCTACCGCTTTCCAAGCCACAAGCAGGGAACTGGATGGGATGTGGAGCCACCGGGACATGAACCAGAGCCCATATGGGATCCTGGTGCTTGCAGGGGAGGAATAGCCGATTCAGACATCTCAGTAGGCCCATCCTGTCAGAAATGTTCAAAAGAGTTAATACCTAGTAAAACAAACAGACAAACAAACAAACAGAAACACTTATGAAAGCCTGTTACTCAGCAATGAACTAGTGTCAATACTACAGTTGAGGTAGAAAATAATAAGACTAAAGAAAAAGATGCCAAGATGGAACAAAACGTAAAGATCGGCAAGTGATCTATCAGGTGCCCTGGGGTCCTCATTTTCCATGTTTGTTACCATATAATTTAAAAAACAATGAATGCTGTAATAACAACAGATAGGTGATCTCATTTTCAGCTTCTGTTTTACACTAATTTCAGCAGGATTTTTAGAATAGGTCCAGAAAGTTCTAACACATACCTAGAAAGGGAGTTCAGAAGTAGGCATTTGGTGTAACAGTTAAAGCACAGTTTGGTATACGCACACCCTGTACCAGAGTGCCTGGGTTCAAGTCTCAGCTCCACTTCCTATTATAACTTTCTGCTAATCTGCAATATGCGAGGCAGTGCGGGGTGATGGTCTTGGCTTCCTGCTACCTAGCAAGAGATCTGGATGAAGTTCTTGGCTCCTAGCTCTGATCTAGTCCAGCTACAGTTATTACAAGTATTTGGGGAGTGACTCAATAGACAAAAGATCTCTATGCCTGCCTGTCTGGTTTCAAATAGATAAAAATAAATGAAAACATTTTTGAAAGAATTTCCCATGAACTTTAAAAAACTGCCTGAACACTCCCAATCCTCCCATCCATTGCCAAAAAGGACTATGACAAGCAACAATAATGGTATCAGCAGACAATGAACAAAATATTTTCCCTTTCTGCATGAGAAATTCGTCCTTTAATTTTATGATACAGCTCCACAGGCCTTGGGATTTCCTTTCCCCCTCCCCCAATCCCCTCCCCGCTTTCATTCTTATACCATGCAATAAGCAATGCTTATAGAAAATATGACCATGCTATATTAGAATTACAAGTACTCAACAGAAAGTCATATCTCAACTTCTCTTGAATCTCACTAGCTCTAAAATCCTATGTGCTTTACATGGGGTTCTGTCTTTGGAATTGGTACACAGGACAACTGTTGTGGAATATGAGAGCTCAAAGCCAGGACAGCTCTGACACATATCCAATGTTAATCTTCCTTGCACTTGGCCACGTAGTGCGAAGCCAACTCTCAGGCTACTGTGTGAAGAGACACTGACACTGCCCTGATATTTACTTAATTTCTTGCGGTGTTAGGAATACAACGGTTCCAATATGGCCTGTAGTAATGTTATTAATACCAAAATCCAGCTGACATTAAGACCATTCCTACTGGCACTGCAGAGATGACAAAGAGGGGAATGACTACTAATCTTATGGAATGGGTTATGTTCTTCAAACTTAAATTTCCTCACTTAAGGAAAACAGAGTTCTCTCTCTCATTTCACTGATTAATTCCAAATATACCAAGATACAGCTGTAGAGAAGACCTAAAATCTTTGCTTTCTTCAATTTCACTTTACTTGGTATCCTCACAAATTTTATTTTTACCAAAATCTTACTGGAAATCTCAACAGGAAGTAACTATATTACACTTTAGAATTTTCTCAGAGAAATAAGCCTGCCTTTCACTCTCCTCTCCCTTATAATTCTGATATGTTCTAACTAGATAAGGGACATCAAACACATAAAGACTGAATAAGTTATAGCTTATCCAAATGACAAACATCTGTTTCGTACTGATTGATAAAAAATGATACAGACTATCAAAATGTTTGCATCTCAGTTTACTATTTACACTTCTCTGTTCATATTTATAAAACAGATAATTAAAATTATTTCCTAGAAAATCACTTACTGTTTTAAGTTCTTGGCGCAACTGCTGGTTATAATTTGTGGATTCTTCTAATCGAGCTTCTAAAGCAGCAATTTTTTCTTCTTTTATTTCAAGGGACTTCTTAAGAGTAGATTCTAATTTTGATTCCAAAAGTTTGTACCTACTATCCAAGTATAAAGTACAGCTCATCAGTGGAATTGTTTTTAAAGTTGATTATGATATCAGATTCTGTCACAAATCTTAAAAAAAAAGTCTTTCCTGTTTTCAACCGCTTATTCAAGAGGCAGACAGACAGACAGACAGAAACAGAGAGCAAACAACTACTGGTGCACTCCCTGCATTCCTGCAAAGGAAATGACCAGGCTTAGTCCAAACCAGGAGCCAGGAACACAATCAAGGTTATTCATGAGGGTTTCTGAGACCCAAATACTTAACTAAACTGTAATAACAAACAGGAGTCAGGTATTGAATCGAAGCACAAAACCTATACAGGACACAAGAACCTCAACTGCTAGACTAACTGCAAAACTAAATAAATTTGATTGAAGATCATTTTTTTCAAAATTAAAATTAATTTCCATCTCTTACTACCCAACTGCTCCTTTAAAATTCTTTCTGGTTATGAATCAACAAAAATAACTGAGCAAACAGAGCTCTAAAGCACAGCTTCCATTTTATAAATCATCAATTAATGTTCAAAAAATTACAGCAAATATCTAAAATCCAAAATATTCCTGTTAGTCTTAAAGTCTAGAATTTATAGTCTTACAGAAGTAGATGAACTGTTTGAATTATCAAGCACTTCCTGTGAATGTAACAAATAAAGCATAGTACTTACTTAAGGACTCACAGTTAACACTTAAAGCTTATTTAATCCGTCTTCAGGACAAATAATAACTTAGTTGCATAAGATAATATAACAGCACACTCATTACACAGGATACTTGTGATTGAGTGGCATCAGATGGATATATATGACCTGACATTATCCCTGTTACCTATATGAATGGTGGGTATATGAGTGACTTATTGATTTTTTTGTTACAGTACTTCAACATAGTTGAAGAGTGTATCATAAATCATGGATTGTGATGAGCCCATTTCTTACACCTAATTCTTTATCCCACTTCTCACATTATACCTTAAAATCACTAATTCATATGTAAATACTTTCTGCTCACTCATATTTTAAGTTTACTAAATAGATAACAAAGCCCACTAATTTTGTAACCTGCTAATGTCAGCATATATTTTTAAAGCATTTAATAAGTCTGATTTGGATATGCTAAATTTGTGATGCTTTGAATGTTCCTGGACTATCCTGATGAAGATGCATAGTAAGCAGAGAAAAATAAAGATTTCTGAGAAGAGATGGGAATGCATGCAGAATAAATGGGTAAGAGTTCTGAAAACATCACCCTAGGAAACAACTGCAATGAAGAAGACAGAAAAGCACTGTTAAAAAGGGTGATCCCATCTGCTCAGAATTCCAACAGTGAATTTATTTTGCTGCATTTAACTACTTGTACATTCTATTTTCTTTCACAACCATACTGTATATTCCCTGATGACAAGGGTAATTATTTTAGTAAGTTGTATCTCCAAAGGAAGTTACAGTAAATAATTAGAAAAACATAAAGGCTTGAGTTAAAGACTTAGGTACTTCACCTGAGACTGCTACACATAAATTTCAAGATGGAAGGGATGAAACACTAAGCACATTTATATCTGTGGAATTTTATTGTCTCTGGGTTAGAAAGGCTAACATGATCTGAGACAGAAGCTGGTTTAGTGCCTTAACACTAAACATCTCCTAAACACCTCTTTTCTGATTCAATCACAGTTATTAACTTAATTCTGTAGTTGCATTTTAACATCTACCTACATCATCTCCTTGTCGAAATATTCCATTATACAAAAATATGTAGAGAATAATAAATGTATATATCTTGTAGAGACTGCAACAGTTTGCTAACAGGTTGCTCTGCCTCAAAATCTGCCACTTCTCTACTCTACCTATTGCTCTAGAAATTGTTCAACACACTCTTGCTGTCATACATATGCTTTTGTTTTCATACAAAGCCGCTTCCAATCATTTCCACTTGTAAATTCCATCATTCTTCAAGATACAGCTGAAGCATTATCATTTCTTTAATTAGAACTCAATTAAAATTGGCCAATTGCATGAAGTAAGGATTAAGAAGGAGTATCAAGGGGCCAGTGCCACTAGTGTGTTAAAACCTCTGCCTGTGATGCTGGCATCTCATATGGGCACTGGTCTGAGTCACAAACGCTCAAATCCACTACAGCTCCCTGCTAAAATTCCTAAGAAAGCAGTGGAAAATGATTCAAGTCTTTGGGCCTCTGCACCCATTTGGGAGACTCAGGTGAAGCTCCTGACTCCCACTTTTGGACCAGACCAGCTCTGGCACTGTGGCCAACTTGGGAAGATCTCTCTGTCTTTCAAATAAAATACACATTTTAAAGAATGAAAAAGCATATTAAATGATATCAAGAGCTCAACAAGAGCTGGGTTTATTAATTTTTATCAGAGTTATTTAAGGTGGCTATATGCTTTGTTTTGCCAGGAATGTGCAGGGACCAGTCCAGTAATTTAGCGGCTAAAGTCCTCGCCTTGCATGTGCTGGGATCCCATATAAGCACTGATTCTAATCCTGGCAGCTCCACTTGCCATCCAGCTCCCTGCTTATGGCCTTGGAAAGCAGTCGAGGATGGCCCAAAACCTTGGGATCATGCACCCAGATGGGAGACCTGGAAGAGGCTCCTGGCTTCTGGCTTTGGACTGGCTCAGCTCCTGCCACTGTGGCCTCTTGGGGAGTAAATCATCAGATGGAAGATCTTCCTTTCTGTCTCTTCTCCTCTGAGTATTCTGACATTCCAATAAAAACAAATACATCTTAAAAACAAACAAAAAACCAACATGCAGTACAGAATGTCTTATGTGTATCAGGCAATGAAGTTTAGATTAAAAAAAAAAGGGATATATATATCCAGTGTATTAGAAGTCAACTAAGTTGGATATTTACTTCTGATTCTTTAAGCTAGTTTGTCAAGATATACTTCTATAATTAATCAATAATGATTCCTACACTTAATCTGAATGCTTTAATACGTTAATTAACTTACTCTCACTATAGAAATTGTTTTAAAATACAAAACTATTTTACTGTCTTTGAATATTCTCAAAATTATATCCCAAATAATCAGCATTATTTCTTCCTAAATAACATATAATAGATAATAAAAACAAGTAATGGGTAGATAATAAAATAAACATCATTCATAATTAAAAACATCCCAATGATTTCACATCGAGGTTACACACAATAATGTTCAACTTCAATTTTACCTGGAACCAAATAGCTGAATGTTAGATTTTAGTCTATCCAAAACTCAGTTCAACTCTCTTTGGTAGACTGTAATTATCACTGAGGAATAGAAATTCCCTTAAACGTATACTGATAGTTATAAAATTTAAAGGGCATACAAGTTCTGTTTTGGTTTTAATCTGTATGGTAGGACCTAGGCTTCCACACAGTTTTTCAAACCTTAATTGCTTCTTTTTTTTTTTTTTTTTTAAAGATTTATTTTTATTATTTTTTCATTGGAAAGGCGGATATACAGAGAGGAGAGACAGAGAGGAAGATCTTCCGTCCGATGATTCACTCCCCAAGTGAGCGCAACGGGCCGATACTATGCCGATCCGAAGCCAGGAGCCTCTTCCGGGTCTCCCACGCGGGTGCAGGTTCCCAAAGCTTTGGGCCGTCCTCGACTGCTTTCCTAGGCCACAGGCAGGGAGCTGGAAGGGAAGCGGGGCTGCCGGGATTAGAACCGGCGCCCATATGGGATCCCGGGCGTGCAAGGCGAGGACCTTTAACCACTTGCGCCACCGCGCCGGGCCCAAACCTTAATTGCTTCTTGATACACTTTCCTTTGTTACATATTTTTCCTCCATTACTCTTTTTTTTTTTTAAAGATTTATTTTATTATTTTTTTTTAATTGGAAAGGCGGATATACAGAGAGGAGAGACAGAGAGGAAGATCTTCCATCTGATGATTCACTCCCCAAGTGAGCCGCAACGGCCGATACTATGCCGGTCCGAAGCCAGGAGCCTCTTCAGGGTCTCCCACGCGGGTGCAGGGTCCCAAAGCTTTGGGCCGTCCTTGACTGCTTTCCCAGGCCACAGGCAGGGAGCTGGAAGGGAAGCGGGGCTGCCTGGGATAGAACTGGCGCCCATATGGGATCCCGGGCGTGCAAGGCGAGGACCTTAACCACTGCGCCACCGCGCCGGGCCCCGATTACTCTTTAAGTCTACATTTTGGTAAATGAAATAATCAAAGAACTGAGGTGTTTAAATACATGATTCAAACAAGTAATCTGATCAACCACACTATGTCAGGTTAGGGAGTTTCTTTGGATGTTAATATGTTACACTATCTTCACAAGCAAGATGGCCTCTGATTTCTTGTTATCTAAGAAGTATGCTTTCTTGCTCTGCAATTTTATTTATATAATATTTTAATTTTTCTTATACCAATAGATTTTTTTCCTTTGTTACAGATCTTTTCTTAAAGAAAACTGTCAGCAACAGGGTGAAATGTATAAATGACTAACCTAGAACATTCATGTCCAAACAAAACAATAGATTCAAGTGGCTGCCAAATTAGACCCCGTACTCACCTGTCATCAGAACTTTGCTCATCATGTAAGAGTCGTTCTTTATTTAATCCTATCTTTTCAAGTTCATGAGTTAACTTTTCAAGATCATTGTTCATTTGTTGAGTCTTCAATTTTTCACTCACCAAATCCTTATTTTAAGAGGAATGCACAACTCACATTAAAAATCAAGAACATAAACATCTAAGAAAGCAAGCCGAGGCTGCAATTACTTTCATCCACAAATACACGCATTTTGAAATGGGAAAGCAGAAATGTTGCACTTTTCCTTCCTCATGAAAAATAGTTACCCAGCAATGTTATATGCTAGCTGAAACCTATTCCCCTTTCCTTTTTTCTAAAACTTCTTCTTAACTCTAATGTTAAAAAGTATAAAAAGGAGGGACTCTTGTGAACACACACTTTAGCTTTGAAACTGTGAAGAAAAAATCCACAGAGTAATTCATTATAAAATATAATGCGCTAGAACTTTAGTGCATATTTAGAAACAACACTCCTCCCTGACAATAACTCCCCCTTCTTCCAGTGGAAAAAACCTAAGGTACTGATCTACAGGACTAGGGGCTGTTCAGACACGTAAATGGAACCAAGCGTTCATGTTTCTAAGACTGCAGAACAACAGAAAAAAAAATATATCAAAAGGGTTCCTTTCAACGCCTATTTACCAGAAATCAAGATTTCCCAACATGATTATTCTTAGCATGCTGTTTTAAATTGAACCAAACAGGTTGTAACATACTGTATTCAAAAGGTGTGGGGAAAAAAACCCTTTAAAAACAGCCAAAACTTGTTTCTGAGGACATTTTGCCTAACTAGTCCCATACATTTTAATTCTTCTAAATACATTAATCCAAGAAATTAGTAGTTGTTCAGTGTTGACCTTTAAATTTACTCTGATTTGTATTCTCCAGTTTAGAGGTTAAAACTCACAAAGCTTTGGAATTGGAATAGTAAGGCTTAAATATAGACATTAAAATCTGTTACTGATGTATTTTCTTTGTTCCTGAGAAGTACCCAGTGTTTCTACACTTTAGTTTTCTAAAATTACAAATAGAGATAATGCCTATAAGAGGTTAGTTGTAAACATACTAACTTGCATGATGTTCTTAACCTATTACTTGGCAGTATCCAGTAACTGAGTCACTGTGTTGCTTCCAATAATATTAAGTGTAAGAGTTTTGATCAAGTAATATTATGTTGAAATCCAAGATTAAAATTGTAATGTAGTAAGCAAAATACCTCAAGTAAACCTTACCACTATTGTTTAAAACAATTTTTACACATTCTTTCAAGTTCAACAGAAGTAGGAAACATGAAAACTACTTTTAGTTTTAATCCTAAAATTATACTGAACCAAAAAGGATGCAAACTACTGATGAGTTACCAAAAAACTCAAAAGAAGCTTTGAGTTAAAGGTATACAAGATTTCTGCCTTAAATGTAGGTAAGGTATTTACCTCTCGTAAGGTAACCAATGTTTTTACATCAATAGTTGCTCTCTTCACAAGTTCCTTATTTTCTTTCTCTAACTCTTTCAGACGAACACAAGATTCTTTATAGACACTAATCTCTTTGAATAGAGATTTATTTTCTTTTTCTAAATTTCCAATCTTCACATTGTTTTCTTCTAATGTAGTGTCTTTTATTTCTGCTTGCTGTCGGAGTCTCTTATTTTCCTTCTCCAAATGCTTCTTATCCTTTTCCAGCTGAGAAGTCTCTTGCTCCAGTGATTTATTTTCTTTTTCTAGCTGTTCTAGTCTTTTGCTAGATATTTTTAATTCTTCTAGGTTTTTTTGCAATGTTTGATTTTCCATCTCTAGGTCTTGTAGTTCACTTTCTAACTGTTGGATTTTTTTATTGCTGTTCTCTAGAGCTTTCTGAAGTCTTTGATTTTCTGTATCTAAACCCTGGTAGCTAACTTCTAAGCGTTCTGTTTTTTTGCAAGAAGCTTTCATGAGTTCCAAACCTTTCTTCAGTTGCTCTTTTTCACTTTCCAGTTCTTTGTTTTCCAGTTGCAGCTGAGCCATTTTCATGCTGGCACACTTCAAAGACTCCACATTCCTTCGCAGCTCTAAGTTTTCCTCATCAAGTTGGGAATTCTCCTTTTCAAGGGATTCTAACTGAAAAGTTAGGTTTTTAAAGCTATCCAAAGTTTTCTTCAGTTTTCTGTTTTCTTTTTCTAGCTCTGAATTTTCATGTTCTAAGGCCTCAGTTTTTTCACAAGTAATTTTCAAGTTAGTTATCTTTTTCTGTAACAATTCATTTTCTTTTTCAAGACGATGCAACTCATTTTCAAGTTCCTCTGCTCGTTCTCCTTTTTCTTTATAATGTTCCAATTCTTTTCTGATTTGCCTTTTTTCAAATTCAATCTTACTCAACTTGCTACTTGTTTCCTTGATAGATTCATGGAGAATTTTATTTTCTTTTTCAATGTCTTTCACTCTTGCTTCAGCACTAATCTGTGAACGCTGCCTTAAGGAAGACACTGTTTGATTCAGATGTTCATTTTCCTGTTCCAATATTTTAATCTAAATCAAAAAAAGAAGGAAATAATTAAAATAATAGGAGCAAAACTAAGTATTTTTAACTATATGGCTTTACCTTCCAAAAATTAACAGGACAAAAAGAAAATAAAATGTGCTACAAACTTTTATCTTTTAGTTCCAGAGATCACTGTGTACATGTATCGCCTAGGTGGTAAAATTTATGCATATTGGGAGTTTACAATCTAAAGCATTCAAAGAATGTCTAATTACATGCTTCAAAATCAAGTATGAATACAGGTGACAGAAATGCATATATCTCCCTCAGCACATAAAGTTAGACTTTTATTAAATGATTTTGTAAAGACTTACTTTCATTTGAATGGCAGATTTACAGAGAGAAGAAGAGACCAAAAGCTCCTGTAACCATTGGCTCATTCCCAAAGGGCTGAAATAGCTGGAGCAGACCTGAGCTGATCTGAAGCCAGGAGACAGGTACTTGTTCTGGGTTTCTCATATATAGAGTGCCCAATGACTAGGACCATCTCTGGCTGCTTTCCCAGGCTATAAGCTGGGAGATGGATGGCAAAGTGGAGCAATCAGGACATGAACCAGCATCCATATGGGTTGTCAGGACTCACAGGTGCTGGGTTAGCCTGATGAGCCATTAAGTCAACTCACCTCATTAAATAATTTTTACAGTGAGTTCTCAGGTATATACAGGATATGCTATTTATAGGATATACTCTTCCCTCCCCAAAGAATTCAAACTACAGAATATTAAAATAACAAAATTAACTATTGACACAATTGAAAAACTAATTCATTCAACTTATAGCATTAACCTAATGTAACAGGTACCAAAATTTAGCGTGTTAAATAATTCTGAGGCGTTTGTTAAAATAGAAATTCATGTTAGTTCTACAACTTCGTTCTGAAGCTCCAGAAAAACTGCATTTTATAGGTGTCTGGAGACTCAACTTGGACAACATGAAACAAGTGAAAAACAAAAATTCCAAAATGGTATATCTCTTAATTTATCCTGTTCTCAACTTCCTGAAACATAAAATTAGAATGACCTAACACTGGAAAGCAAATATGAAACATTACAAATGAATGCTGTTACCACATTTCTTAGTATGGTCAGAGTACAGCAATATTTCTGCCTAAGCACACTCAGGGATGTTACATTTTGCAAAACCACTCCAAAAACAGTTGAAAGAAAAGGCACTGAAAAATTTTGTACTGGATGACTAGTAAACATTTTGGCAATTGAAGAAATAAGCATTATTCTAACTTTTCTAAAATATATGGGCTAGAAAACAAACATGCACCAAGACTCTAGTGGATGCCTAAACAGAACTCAAACTTACATGTACTATTTTCTCCTATTCATAACTGTTTATGATAAAACCTTTACAAATATGCATAGTAACAGATTAATAACAACAACTTATCATGGACCTTGGCAATCTCAGCATACCTGGTTTTTCTTTCCTTATTAAGAACTTTACTTTCATACTTTAAAAAAAGTTGCTTTTGGAAGCACCTCTAATATTGTACTCTGGGATTATGATTGAATAAATTAAGGGTTACTTGAAAATAGGTACTGTCATATCACAATGGCCAATCTGATAAGAAATTAACTAAGTGACAAATAGCCAGGAGGCATACAGTGTACTCTGTAGCACAAAGGGACAATTTATGTCTTGGTTAAGATGAAACAGGATGTTAGGAGGTTTTACCACACTACCAAGAATGGTGCCTAATTAAAAAATTTATGATGCACTTATTTCCGGAAGTTTTCATTTAATACATTCAAAATGCAGCTGAGGTTGAATAAAACTAAAACCTCAGAAGCAAACCTGGAAAAAAGGACAGACTGCTATAGTTGCTTTAAAATCTAAAAATATCTACTAAAATAATGTCCTTTAATGCCATATCAACATTTACACACATTTTAAAACAACCTTTGTTAACGTATTTGAAACATATTGCTCTCTTAGAAAGAAATTTATGAACCTGTCTTTCTGAATTTTCTCTAAGTGTTTCAATTGTTTTTTCAAGCTGTGCTTTCTCCTTCATTAGATCTTTGCTTAAATTTTGGCAATTTTGAAGACTTTGCTTTTCTTGAATGATCTCATTTTCAAGCATTTCGACCTAGAAGAAGATAAAATTAAAAAACACTATATTAAGTATTTTTCATGATTAGAAACATGTCAAAACAAAAGAGTCAGATACAGTTTTAATGTACAAAACGGTGAAATTTAAGAATTCAGAATAGGAATCAAGTAGCATTCCATGATAATATTAGTAAATTATACAAAATATGCAGCTATGACTATCTTTTCATCTGTATATATAATAAGTTTCATCTTGTAAATACAAAGGTAAATCCAGTTGAATAAATAACAACAACGTGCTATATGCAACCGTACATGTTATTGAAGGCAAATTGGCTTGAATGGATTTATATCGTAAAATTTTAATGATAGCTAAGGAATTTCAGTGGATAAGAAGGGAAAAAAGAAAACAATGCTAGAAAAAAATGAGAAAAGCCACCACAAAGTTTTTTATCTTGGGCTTGAATTTGTTTCCAACAATATGTTTTTAGTATTAGTTGTGGTAGATATTCAATCTGTTACAGCAAATTCAAGCTACAAATATTCTAAATTACCAATGTTCCCATTATTACAGAACATTTCAGACCATGTGATTTAAAACTTATTCATACTTTTAAAAATACTACAGGTATAAAAGTTAAGTCAAACGTGAAGAATTCTAAGTAAGGTGAACTTTTCCATTTTTAACATCAATGGAAGATAATTTCACAAGCAAAACAATCTTCCAGTAATATCTCAAAGCATCAAGTCACTAACTAATCTTACTCAGTAACATTAATGTGTCTCAGAAGCTTTTAGGTGCCAATAACTACTTAAGCTAGCTCTCCCATTACAGATAGAAACAAATTGGTTATTACATCAGGGTTCAACCTAAACATCCCTCATTTAATAAATTGAACAAAAAATGTTATACTCGTTAAAAACTCATTAGACTTCTAATTTCACAACCAAATACACCTTATCTGCTCAATTATGACGACAGCCCAAAAGTCCTACTTAAAAACTATGATGATGTTTCTGTTCAACTACAGCCTAATTAAAACTCAGGTTTAATAACACTAAACCTTAGTCTGTAAATACCATTTCCCGCCATAAGGAACATGGGCTTCCAGTTCCAGGACAGGAAATGTTAAAGATGAGGTCACGATATTTTGTCATGACAGAAAACAATTGCTCTCCAAGAACTATGAAGTACAGGTCATAAGCATTCAAGAAACAGCTCTGAATATTGTAAACTTTTATTTATTTGAAAGGTAGAAAGAGGAACAGACATCAACTGCTTCACTCCCCACATGCCTACAACAGTGTTGAGCCCGGGCTGGGCCAGGCCAAACCCAGGAACTTTGAACTCAATCTGCACCTCTGACATTTTTTACACTTGATTTTAGTGAAAAGACCAAGAAGCAACCTCTCTGACAGTTTTTAAAGAGGCTCTCATTAATTCAAATTGGAATGTTGAAAGAACAAATTTAGTGGACTAAAGTATTTCCAATCTTTTTAAACCCAAGAATCCATTAAACTATAGCAATCCTACTAATTATTTATAATAACCAATTCATTATTTGGAAAGAGATAAATAAATGGAAAGAAACACTGTTTTCTTATTTTTAGAATTTTCTCGGGGAATGGCACCATGGATTAGCAGGCATGCCACACAGGCTCCACTTTGAGTCCTCGTTGTTGCACTTGCAATCTGGCTCCCTGCTTAAGACCTAAGAAAGTAGCAGAGGGTGGCTTAAATCCTCTGGTCCTGCACCCTCAAGGGAGACCCAAAAACACTCCTGATGTCTGACCAGCTCAGCCAGTTTAACAGATGGCAGCTTTACCTGCCCACACTACAATGCTGGTAACCCTAAATTGATTACTTTAAAGAAATACTACAAAATAACTACAAAAATTTGTTGGTGGGCTCAGCGTGATAGCATAGTGGTTAAAGACCTCACCTTGAATGCTCCAGGATCCCATAGGGGCGCCGGTTCTAATCCCAGCAGACCCGCTTCCCTTCCAGCTCCCTGCCTGTGGCCTAGGAAAGCAGTCGAGGACGGCCCAAAGCTTTGGGACCCTGCACCCGTGTGGGAAACCTGGAAGAGCTCCTGTCTCCTGGCTTCGGATTAGCTCAGCTCCGGCCATTGAGGTAATTTGTGGAATGAACCATTGGACAGAAGATCTTCCTCTCTGTCTCTCTGCCTTTCCAATACAAATAAATAAATCTTTGTTTAAAAAAATTTAATTGGTGGTCAACTTTGTTGTCTAGGATGTACAGGAAAATCTAAGACTTGCTCCAAACTGACTTTGAATTTGGGAAGCGAGAAGGCAAACAAGGGTCAGAAATTAAATATTATAGTCTACAAGTTAATACTGTTGAGGCTAAAAAAAAGAGTATAAAGTTATTAATTTATATTTATTAATAGTTAAAAAATTTTGTAAATTAAAATCATAGCAATGGTACATTAGAAAAAGGACAATACATGTGTTATTTCAATTATACATTTATACCTGTTTTTAAATATTACAATAAATATTACATTTTTATTTACCTTTTTACTCAGCCTCTGATTTTCTTTTTCCATTTTCAGTATTTTGGAAGTGTTGCCTTCTACTGAATCCATGCTACTACGAAGCTCTTCAACAGTTTTTGTCAAGCTCTGATTTTCCATCTCCAACTTCAATAACCTACTTGATGTCAACTCATTCACTTCATGGCCCAAGGATTTCTGTGGTGCTATAATATTGGAAAGCACACCATTAGCAAAAATCTGACTACTTTTTATGATTTAAAGTATTGAAGGTAAATGTACTGCACTGCCTGTAGCTTAAATTTAATATATATTACATACACACACATATATATGATTATATATAATACACAATAGAAAAGATAAAAAGTTAAACCCTGAACTTCATAGAATGCTGGTAGAACAAAAAAAACACACACACAAAATTTACACTAGGGTTTCAATTCTAAGTTCCATGCGAAAGTAGCTCATTGACAATGACTATGTCATTTTGATATCGATGAATCTTAGGTTATTTTAATAAACACAATTACTGTTCAGAGTACTTCACAGGGTCACTCTGCCACTCATTTCAAAGTGGGTATAGGGCTGTGGCACAGTTAGCCGAAGTGTGCCCTGAAACACCAGCATCCCATACTGGCATGCCCTGGCTATTCGAATTCAGATCTAGTTCCTGCTAGTGCACCTGTGAAGGAAGTGGAGCAAGCTCCAAGTCCTTGAGTCCGTATTCTACAAAATCAGGATGGTGTTCCTGGCTCTCAGCTCAGCCCTGCTACAAGCCTGTCACTGAAGCCACGGGAAAAGCGAACTGGCACAAGGACGATTTCTGCCTCCTGCCTCCGTCTCTCCATTTGCCTTTGAAGTAAGTAACTTATTGGAAAGATTTACTTCAATTACTTGAAAGGCAGAAGCATACAGAGAGAGAAAGAAAGAACCAGGAGCTTCCTCTGCAGCTCCCACTTGGGTGCAGCGGCCCAAGAACTTGGGCCATCCTCTGCTGCCTTCCCAGATGCATTTGAAGAAGCTAAAACAGAAATGGAGCAGTGAGGACTCAAACCAGCACCCCTATGACAAGCCAGCATGGCACTGTTTTGCCACAAAGACAATAAATACTTTCTTCACTCACAAAAAAGTACATCCTATGCCACATTTTCAAAAATTAAGCAGAAAGTTTGAGAAACAGCTTTAGTGTGACCGAGAAACTCAAGGCAGAATATAAGTTATGCTAAAAAAATTGTCCTTTAGGTGAAAAATTTGTGGTAAATATATGTGCACAGAGCAACATTTGCTCTATTTTGCCAAGATAATTGTGTTCATAATTAAATTTTTGCATTAAATTATTTTAATAAGGAAACCTGTTTTCTTCTGTAAATGCTTTACATAAAGTGAAACCTAATTATTTTTAATCTTACAATATCAGACTCATTAAATACTCATAAAATACTAGGGTTTATAAGATGAAATATTTTACTTAAGGTTAATTTTAAAATCCTAAATTTTCAGAAGGGAACAGGATAAAGACATTGTACAGCATTACTAAACCTGTAAACTTCTATACATGTTTGAAAATCTCCTTTGTAAAAAGCAAAGCAACACACACTATAAACAGACACACTGATACACAATCTCTTCAGAATTACACACTTAAGCAAACTCTACATTTTAAGTCAAAAAAGCATAATTGTTTTACTTCAAGATCTTGTTTTAGGGCCCGGTGCCATACCCTAGTGGACACTGGCTCATGTCCCAGTGCCACCACTTCCCATCCAGCCCCCTGCTTATGGCCATGGAAAGCAGTCGTGGATGGTCCAAAGCCTTGGGACCTTGCACCTGCGTGGGAGACCTGGAAGTGGCTCCTGGCTTCAGATCACCTCAGCTCTGGCCATTCTGGCCATTCTGGCCATGTGGGGAGTGAATTAGTGGATGGAAGATTTTCCCGTCTCTCTTCTTTGCATATCTGACTTTCCAGTAAAAACAAATAAATCTTTACAAAACAAAAAAAGATATTGTTTTATTCATAGTGTAGCTACTTTTTTTTTTTACTGAAAATTGAGATTCTAAATTCCATTAGTTGCCTTAAGTCTTTTTGTGTTTGAAATTTGAAACTTCGTTATTTTATCAAATGATTTCAATTGAGCTCCAAGTTTATAGGCTTGTACAACTCATTTACCTATTTATTGAAAGGCAGAGTTAGATAAGAGGAAGAGAGGCAGAGAAGAGTTCCTTCTGCTGAATTCACGCCACAAATGGCCACAGCAGCTGAAGCTGAACCAGCGTGAACCCGGCAGCTAGGAGCTTCCTCCAGCTCTCCTCTCTATGTGGGCGCAGGGGCCCAAGGACATGAGCCATCTTCATATTGCTGAATGGTCAAATCAACTTTTGTTTTTTTTTTTTTTTAAACTGGAAAGTCAGGTATACAGAGGAGAGACAGCAGGAAGATCCTCTGCCCTCAAGTGGCTACAATGACTGGAGTTGAGCCAATCCAAACCCAGGAGCCAGGAGCTTCCTCCAGGTCTCCCAGGCAGGTGCAGCGTCCCAAGGTTTTGGCTGTCCTCGACTGCTTACCCAGGCCACAAGCAGGGAGCTGGATGTGAAGTGGGGCTACCCGGATTAGAATTGGGATTCTGGCATATGCAAGGCGAGGACTCCAGCCACTACTATGCCTGACCCTAAGCTTAAGCTTTTTTTTTTTTAAAAGATTTATTGACTTTTATTTGAAAAATTTAGAGAAAGAGATAGACAGATCTCCCATCCACTGGTTCATAGCAGTCACACCTGGACCAGGAGCCTGGTGCTTCGTCCAGATCACCCAAGTGAGAGCAAGGGTCCAAGTACTTGGGCAGGCCTGCTACTTTCCCAGGCCATAATCTGGGAGCTAAATGAGAAGTGGAACAGCAAGGACTTGAAATGGAGCTCATATGGGATGCCTGTGCAATTTTAAGAACACTTAAAATCTGCTTTCTTAGTGATTTTCAAGCACACAACAAATTACAGGTCTCCCATATTAGTGGCAGAAGCCCAAACTCTTGGGAGAACTGCTGCTTATTCCCAGTCACTAAATTATCAGGGAACTGGCACCAATATGAGATGCTGGCATTGCAGGCAGCAATTTTACCTGCTTTTTTTTAAAAAAAACAGTTATTTATATTAATTTATCTGCAAGGCAGTTACAGAGATATATAAAGAAACCTTCACCTGCTGGTTCATTCCCCAAACATTAAGGGCTAGGCTAAAGCCAGGAACCTGGAGTTTCGTCCAGGTTTCCCACATAGGTGCGGGGGTGCAAGGACTTGGGTCATCTTCTGTGGTGTTTCGAGGTGAATAAACAGCAAGCAGGACTGGAAGTAGAGCAGCAGCCAGGAGTTAAACCTACTGTACCACAATGCTGGTACTTGGAAGTTCCAGTATTACAGGGATGTAACTGAATGGGACTGCTTTGCAGGAATATTTTTATAACGGAGATTATATTTTAGTAAAACAGTCATACAGATTCTCGACTTCCTTGGAGTATATATTTATCTAAGACTCTCCTGCTATCTTTTGTTTTGCTATTTAAATTCTCCTACAGTGAAAGAATATGCTGAACATCTAATACAATTTCGTGTTCTATTTACTAGATAGGCATATTTCTTAAACTAATTAACAGGTATTACAGCCTTTTAATGATATTAATATAAAATAATGCTTAAACAGCAATGAAATTATTTAAAAATAAACTGTAGACATGCAAAGGTAAGGACCATACTTAAAGATGCATAAATAATGTAGTACAGTGTGAAACAATATTTAGGGGAGATAGTTGGCTTTCTAAAATAACTAGCTAGGCAAAATAAAGAATTCAGTAAAATATATAGAAATCTCAACACAAACACAAATTATTCTGTTATCTATTTAAGTGAAACAAAAATGAGAATACCTTCAGAGAGTTCACTGGTTCTGGATATCTGTTCCAGCTCCCAGCCAAGATGTAATGATTCGTCCATACTTTGTTTCTGTGCCATTTCCAAAGTCATATTTTCTTCCATTAATTCTTCAATCTTTTTTCTATCCATATCACGTTCCTTTTTTTATTAGCAGAGTAGAGAGATTTTTTTTTAAAAAGCTAAGGAATAGTACAATTTTAAGCTAATAACTTTTATTTTTTAAGGTTTATTTTCATTTGAAACGAGATTTACACAGAGAAAGAGACACAAAGATCCTCCACCCGCTGATTCACTTCTCAAATGGCTGCAAAAGCTGGAGCTGAGCCAATCCAAAGCCAGGAGCCTGGAATCTCTAGGTCTCCCACAGGGATGCAGGATCCCAAGGCTTTGGGCAGATCTCCACTGCTTTTCCAGGCCACAAGCAGGGAGCCAAATTAGAAGTAGAGCATCTGAGTCATGACTTGGCACCCATAAAGGATGTTGGTGCATACAGAGAACCAGTGAGGTGAGCCATTGTGCCAATAACTTCTAAATGTTTTATTTATTTATGTTTAAAAAGACAGAGACCTCCCATCTGCTGGTTCACTTCCCAAATGCAGACAAATAGTTTAGGTCAGATCAAAGCCAGCAGCCGAGAACTCAATAAATATCTGTTACATTGGGAGTGGCCCAACCACTTAAACCACATCTTGCTACAACCAGGGTGCGTAGCAGCAGAAAGCTGGATTCAGAAAGTAGAGCCACGACTTGGCCCTTCAATATGAGATGATTTACTGTTAGACCTAATACTTGTCCTTCTCATAACTTTTATAATCAGAAATTGAGTAATATTTGTATAAGTGTCTGTTCCTTACAACTTCACTTTGAAAGTTATCATTAGTTGTAACTACTATTGGTCACTACATTATTCCAAAATTTGACATCATTTTAAAGAAATGTTTGGGAACATCATTCTCATGGAGAACACATTGTCTTGATGATATAATAAAAGAATTTTGACTCAATGCTAGATCTTAGCAAACAGCTTAAAAAAAAAAGACTTAAAAGGCAGAATGACAGATTAAGAGATCAAGAGATTGAATTTCTCTATACGCTCCTTCACTTTTCTGTTGCCTACAGCAGTAGAACTGAGCCCAGCTGAAGTCAGAAGCCAGAAACGTCATGTGGTCTCACATGGTTGGCAGGTACCCCACTACCTGAACCATCACCTGCTGCCTTCCAGGGTACTGTTGGAAACTGCACTGGAAGGAGACAAGGGACTTGATCCATAGGCATCCCAAGCAATGAGGCTTAACCTAACACACTTCCCTATTTCTGTATTTTCAAAGACATGTTTATACAACAGCTGCTTTACTGTGATCCTGAAAGGCAACAAACAAAATTAAGTAATACTCCACTGTGACAAAAACAGAAATTCCTACTATTTCTGTGTTCTTGTGAAGTTGGAAATATCTAACTTATTTGGTTATTTGTCTTTTGTTAAATCCTTAAGGATACTGGACATTTTTGTCATTTTAGAGAAAATAAGACGAATCTAAAAAATTTTTCTTTTGCAACTATGTCATTGATTTAAGCCTATAAAACTTACCATTTCCATATCATGCAATTTGGCCTTCAGTTGTAAATTCTCTTTTTCTAATTCATGTAATTTATCAGAACGAGCTCGAGTTCCTTCTAGTTGGTCTTCCAACATGGTTTTTGTTTCTAATAAAACTTGATTGTCTTCTTTTAATTCCTATAAATAATTCAATAGACTATTTGTAATAAATGCGTTATTATGTTAAAATTTTAAATATTTTTATCATAAAACTCCAAGCTGTTCGTATTAGAAGTTACATGCAAGATTAAAGCTATTGAGTACAAGAAAATAAAGCTAATGTTTTCGTGCCTTCATTCCTGGTCTGGCCCCCATTATTTAAGCTATTATGAAACAAAATACTAAGCCCTTATATTAGGATGAGTGATATTAGCATAATTTAACATGGAATTGTCAGGGTCTATTTGCACTTCTTAGTCACAAGGATAAGAAATTACACTCAAGTAATCTAACATATTTAAAACACAAGTCTTCACAGGATCATAACTTACTTCATCAACTAAATTTGAAGATTTTTCTCATCTTCATAGCGAAGGGACTGAGGTATTTACAATAAAAACAAAAATACTTGAACTTAGGGTTCATGATAAACCATACTTCATGGGTCTACTAAGAAATATATAATATCTTACAGAAATTCTTAAAAATCTCTATATTGTGAAAGTACAGGCCCTCAATTCTATCTTGATAAGTTATGCACCTGTGGTTTTTAAATTGAAATCTAAATAAAGAACATTAAGACAGCAAAATACTTGATGATCCTTTGAAAGCATCATACATACATACATATAAGTAACTATCAAACAGTTAGTATGCACTTTGTATTTGCAGCCCAACTGGGCATATTTACTGTTAAGTATCAGGCTAAACAGGTTTGGTTGCGATAAAAACTAGTCCACACTACAGAATGCCAGGATGAGGTTGACTGTGCCGGATGTGACTGCAGTGCCCAGCCAGCACACGTGAGAAACCAGGAAGGGAGGGGACAGAGCCAGCAGGGGAATAAAGGGTGGTTCCCCTGCTGGACAGCTACTCCCACTGGAGAGCATGAACTGGGGATGGGGGCAGACCAGACTAAGCAGGGCTACAACACCTATGTGGACTAGATCAGGGAAAAGCCAGGATGGGTGGATTGTTCCTATGGGTGCAACCTACAATTAGAATGGGAGAGGGCTGTTTGGGCATAGCCACAGCATCAGCTGACAGAAACTGGCGCTGGGGGCTAATCCTGTCAAGTTAAACTGCAGAACCACCTGAAAAGTGCACAATCCGGGAGTGAGAGACCTGGGAGGGAAATAGTGGGTTCCCCCCTCTTGGGTTACCACTCCCACGGGAGGGCACGAGAACTAGGACAGGGGCTGGGGTAGCTAGACAGAGAGGCACTCAACCACACCCGTGAAGGCTTGACTGTTGAGCTGGTTAGATGGATCCAAGCTTCAATGCCATTTGCCATGTACGAGAGCCAGGGGGGATGTGGGTCAGATTGGACTGGTCTGCCACACATATTGGCAAACCAGGGTAGGGGGTGGGCCTGGTGGGGGTTATTGTGGGCTGCTCTCATCAGGATGCAGCTCCCACTGGTTTAGGTGAAGACCGAGTATGCGCTGTGCAGAACCAGGCTGGACTGCAACACCCATTGGTTCCAGTAGAAGGTGGCGCTGAAAACAGAACCAACCCAGCAATTGCAACTACCAGCTGACCGGGTGATGGACTGTGTTGGGCCCTGTGCTTGCTGGTGCATACAAGTATCTGGCCTGGGAACACCTCAGACGAAGTTTCTTTGGTGATCTCCCCAATTGAAATGCCAGACTCAGAACCCAAACCATGAAGGGGCAGAAGATGGAACAGGTTAATCAACCACCTCAGCAACAAAATACCGGGCAAATAGACACTATGATGGACACTGTCAATTAATGGATTTTTCAACAACCTCATCGTGTTTGAAGAGGCAAGATTGGTAGCAATTTCAAAACTGGTGACCTATTGAAACCACTTCAACGAGCATCTCGGAGCATGCCCCACATGTGGGACTTGGGGTGGGTGGGAAACCGGGTGGGGCTTCTCCTTCAATATCCCCCTCTACCTCAGATACATGAAGGAAACAATATGGAAATAATAGTCTTACCCACTTTCCTGTAGCCCTTGACCCTTTTTGCCCAAATTAACTATGTAAAGATTGACAAAATAAAAACAATTATTATTTAAAAAAAAAGTATCAGGCTAAAAATACTTGACTTTCTTTTATGTTTTAGTTTCTTGATATTGCATATTTCCTTCTTCTTACGTTAAAACTGACCAGAATCTCCTCTGTTTATAGACAATTAGGTAATTAATGGAAAAAAGAATGCAAAGACTTTTTTAAAATTTCATTTTATGACAGTTTCATAGGCTCTGGGATTCCCCAACTCCTTCCCCTATATTGAAATCCTCCATATTGTTACAGTAGTACAGTTCATATCCAGTCATGATTCCTTTCATTGCGGGCATGAACCATGCAGACTCCAGCATCTTATTGTCCAGATAAATCCAACAGTTTCATTGGGAGACCATCCTTGGTCTGAAAAGTAGAGCTAGCAGAATATCATCCCCTCCAATGAAAACACCCTACACAACTTCAATAACAGGAAGAAGCATGGAAATTAACAACATCATGAAGTTAATTTGACATGGTATTGAGTGACCAATATGTTAGAAAATGCATGTTCTTAACCACATCCTGTAACTACTTCAATGACATCTCAATTTTAGTTTATATACAACTGGCTGCTATACATCTTAAAATGGTTATAGGGTACTATTCAGATGCCTCGTGTCTATTTTCATTTTTATATTTAGCAGCTTATAGTATTCAGGTGTGATTTTTACTGAGCTTTGTGAATTTTAGGATAGTCCAAACAGGCTTATAACTCTAATAAGCCATATGTTAACAATTGAGGAGCATAACAATTTTAAGAGGGGTATGCAGAGAAATATTCAATACCTTTGAGAGGAGTAAGTGATCTTTGTGTCCTACCTAGTAAGTCCAAGCTGACTTTCTCCTGACTATTGTAAGCTTTCCTTATTGGTCTCTGTCTATCTGATCTAATTTTGGGGGGGAGGAGCAGAGTTCCAGAGCGAACCTGATGGTCATTGCAAGAGAGGGTGGGGAGCCAAAGTTGGAACTAAGTAAGGACCAGAGAAAGCTCCTAAGTGCCAATGGAAGTTTACTGTTCTTCTGTTTCTGAGGACTGCTCAGGGCTCCTGGCTGTTGTTCTGGTGACATTAGATCCTGTGAGGAAGGATCTTCCATCCCATGTGGGAGATCCCCTAAGGAATGGTTGACCTTAGAGTTCTCAGCCTACGAGGGCACTCCAATTCCCCATGGTCTCCTTGGCAGTTGGGACGTAGTCCTTGGTACCCATGTTGATAGTCCTTGGTGAGGATCTGGGACTCTCCGGGGTTAGGATACAAGTCTCCTCCTGTCCTATTGTTCCGCTCTGGGGTCCCCCCTGCTCTGTGCAGATGACCTCCTGTTAAGAGACTGTCAGGATCGCTCTTGGATCCCACTGTATGTCTTTATAGTTTTTGCTAATGTCTAATGCAGCTTCGAGTCTGCTGTCTCTAAGCTACCTGTTACAATCTTGCTAGATTATACTTAACATCTTCCTCACACACTCTAAGAAGATGGAAGTTTTCTCTACTCTCCCGACCCACTGCGGAATAACATAGGGTATTAAAAGCATATCAAGCTTTTCAGTTGTTTGATGTAGTTCATAAGCAGTCTGTCTCTAACTGATTATTAGTTCATTGGTTACACCACAGTGTCTTATTGTCTGTGATACAGGCTGTATGAGGGTGTAATAATGTTACAATTTACAGGTATTATTTTTAGGATTGACATCATTTCATGTTAAATTAAGGCAAACATGTGGTAGCTAACCTTTTGGGACTGGCTCATTTCCCTTAGCATAATGGTTTCGAATTGGGCCCATTTGTCCACGAAGAAACACATTTCGTTTTTTTTTTTTTTAAATAAAAATTGAGTAGTATTCCATGGAGTAAATGAACCATAGCTTTCTTATCCATCCTTGCCAGCAAGTGTTGTTGGTGGTTTTTCATATATGAGCCATTCTTACTGTGGTTAGGTGGTACTTCATTGATGTCTTAATTTGGATTTCCCTTACTGCCAGAGAGCTTGAGCATTTTTTCATGTTTGTTTGCCATTTGGGTCTGTTCCTTTGTGAATTGTCTGCCCATTTCCTGTGCCCATTTCTTGAATGGTTTGTTTGTGTTGTTGTTTTATTTGTTCTGGAGATTAGTAGCCCTCTACCACCTATGTAGTGTGCAAAGATCTCCCATTCTGTGGGTTGCTTTTTTATTTTGTTGATTGCTGCCCTTGCTGAACAGAAGCTTCTTAGTTTGATGTAGTCCCATTTGTTTATTTTGGTCTTGACTGCTATTGCTTTAGGAAGTCAGGCCCTACACCTAAATCTTGCAGGGTGTTTCCAACGTTTTCTTACAAAAGTTTGAAGGTTCCTGGATGTAGATTTAGGTCTTTTATCTATTTAGATTTGATCTTAGTGTAAGGTGAAAGATGTGGGTGTAACTTCTTGTTTCTGCAGGCTATCAACCAATTAATTATCCCAACAGCATTTATTGAAGAGACCTTCCAATTTCCCTGGATTGTTGCCTGTTTTTTTGTCAAAGATTATTTGGCTATATTTATGTGAGTTCCCTTCTGCTGCTTCTATTCTAACTCCATTGATCCTTCTCTCTATCTTTGTGTCAGTACCAGGCTGTTTTAATAACCACTGCCCTACAGTATGTCCAGAGGTCTAGAATTGTGATCCCCCCTGTTAAATTCCTATTCTTCAGGATGGCTCTAGTTATTCGTGGTTTTTTTGTGTTTCCAGATGGACTCTTGCATCATTTTTTCCAATTCTATGAAGAATGGTTTGGGTAGTTTGATTTGATTAAATCTTTTATATGAAATTCAACTTTGTGTAACACTCTGTAACTTATTAAGAGCAAAAAATAGTTTTTTTCTAATTTGTTTTCATATGTACAAGGAGACTTAAAATGAATCCATGAGCAATTCACATTATCTTTTCATTTCATTTGTCGACAAACTCTTCCCCTTGTATAATTTTTAAATCAACACCTTTTTTATCTCAAGTATCAATCAGAAATACGTTTTTGCTTTTACTTCTGGGAGTATATCCAAGATTAGTAGGGATAACTAATCATTTTGACCATATATGCTATTGTAAACAAAATACTCAGTCTTGAAACTACAATGAGTAATGCTGCTATCATTTTACATTAAATTGTCAGGGCACATTTAAATCCATTAGTCACAAAGGTAAGCTCTTCAGAAGTCTGTCCTACTTAAATGTTAAGTAAAGAAATGTAAGAGTTCAAGCATGTCCAAAAACTCCTTTGTAAAAAAGTTTAAGCAATAATGCTGCTGATCTACCATGAGTAAACCCTGAATGTATTTACTATTTATTCAACATTTCAACAGTTTTTCTCCCTTTTACACAAATTTTGAAAACTTAACCATAAATGGTTAATTACACAACATACCTCAACTCTTGCCTTGTAAAATTCAATGTCATGTAGCCTTTCTTTATATCTGGTGACTTCACTTTCAAGTTTATCAACTCTGATAGCCTTCTCTCGAAGTGCATCTAATTCATCTCGGTACATTCTTGCAGAACGAGCATCCGAAAGCAAATTCATGTTCTAAATATTAACAGTAATAGTATTTTAATGTTTTTATTTTCAATTTTTAAATTTTTTTGTTTGTACATTTTTTCAAATGAATTTGGAAACTCTCAGTATTTATTTCTAACACAGTAAACACAAGAAGACATTATCCATATGAAAGAATGCACGTTAATTTTTTAAGAGGTGTCTTAATTCCAGAAGAATTGGGAACTTTTATAGGAAATACATACACTAATAGCCCATGACCATCTCTCTCAGCATCACTCAAAAGGAAGATTTCATTGTATAATTCTTCAAAAGGAGTTTCCCCCACATTTAAAAATGTTAAGTTAGGGGAAGCAAAGTGAAGAAACAAGCGTGCAGCCTTATACCGATCCTTACTATGTATCAGTTAAGAAGCTCAGAGACAATTCTTAAATAAAAATGAAAAATGAAGTGATTTACAGAAACTTTTGCCTTAAATAAAACAAAATACTGTAATTCTTAAAACATAAATGGTCTCATATGATTTAGTAGGGAAAGAGTGAAAAATTAAAAAGCATTCTGTCATATATGTGTTAATCTAAAACAACATCAGAGAGCAGAGACCATGGGAGACACATAAATACTACAATTCACAATATATACATAGGTGTTCTGGCTCCCACAGTCACAGAAACCAAAAATATATATGTGTTAAAAGAAAGAAACAAAAACAAACTTGAGCTTTCTCCAGTCCTATGAACACTCAGGCTCTGGCATTTTTTGAAAACAAGAAAGAGAAAAGGAAAAATTAATCAATTTCTATAAGTCTTAGCTACCTTATTTGTTTATATAAAGTGTTTGGGTAAAGGTTATAAACTAAAAAGGGAAAAATTAAATTACTTGATAGCCTTATATAATTATGGTTCTGGGTACAAACCTCTTGCTGTAGCCTTTTTAGTTCTATTTCCATTTGCTCAAGTTCTTGTTTACAGTCCAACAATTGTTCAGTCTTTTCCTCCCTTAAATGCAAAAACATTGATTAAAGAATAAGTGCACTACTTTTGAAAGCTATGATTCTCTATTTAATGATAAAATTAATTATCAATACCAAATAATTAATTGAGCAGTTATCAGCAATAACTCCAACCCAGGGAGAAAAAGCAATGTTACAAATTTATGTTAGATATCACAAATCAAATTTCACCTCGATGTTCTCCAAAGGTTCATGTCAGTGAATTACATCCCTGTAGTTCACAATGTGATTTCTCTCCTTCATTTGCCTGTCCCATCACCCTCTTCGTTTCTACTCCATTCTTCTCTTTCTGCATCTCTCTGCGTAATCAGGGCAATTAAGCCACAAGATTTTCTAAACCATGCAATTCTAAGTCTGAGATCTCTAAGGAGCACCCAACAAGTTTCAAAACTCACAATGGCGCAAAAGAAAATTACGCACTTTCAGTTCTATTTGGTTTCTGTATTACACTCTATAAATGTCCTTAAACAATCTTTCTATTGTCTTTTAATTGCTTTACTTGTACCATTATTTATCTCCATCTCAGCACCAACATCCTCAAAGTAAGCCTCCATTATCTAGTCCTCTACCTCCTATTCTTTAATAATTAAAGGTAAAAATCATATAAAATGACCTTTAGCCCTTATCTCCTCATATTCTCATGTTTCAAAGCCACATGCTTTTAAGGCTTTAAGAAATTACTCAGGAGGCAGAGATGCAGAGAGACGTAGAGTTCACTCATCAAATGCCTGCAATGGCTGGGGTTTTAGTCAACACAAAACACATAAGCTTGGAACTCAAACTCAAAACAAGTTTTCCCATGTGAGTTGACAAGGACCCCCCTACTAATGTCATAATCTGTGGGATGGTGAAACAGGGAGTGAAGCTACTCTTTAAATGTAGGCTCTCTAATGCTAGATGTAGGCAACCCTAACTAGTGTCTTACTTACACCCACACATAACATTTAAAGAAATAAATACCTTTTGATAGAGGAACCAGAATTTATTAAGTAGATTCCATTTTTCACCATAACAATGTTTTACAAAAGAAACCCATTATACATAAAATCCTGTGTTTCAAGATGGATTTAAAAATACTTGATACATACTGTCCGACTGCCTTTCAGAAAGGTCATTACAAACTTGTGACAAACCAGAAGAGGATAAAGACACCTAAACACAGAACTGAATAATTTCTTAAAATTTTTATTTATTTTTTTTACTAGAAAATCAGACATGCAAAAGAGAAAAAGAGAGACAAAAAGGGAAATCCTCCATCTGCTGATTCACTCGCCAAGTGGCTGCAACAGCTGGAGCTGAGCTGATCTGAAGCCATCCTTGACTCCTTTCCCAAGCCATAATCAAAGCTGGAGGGTAAGCGCTGAAGTGGGGATATGAACCGGCGCCCACATCGGATCCTGGCTTGTGCAAGGTGAGGACCTTAGCCACTAGGCCACCATGCCAGGCCAAAACAACTGAATCATTTTGAAACACTTTTCAGAATGATGTATTTGTGACTGAGCTGAAGGACTATGCTAGTTTAATAATACGGAGAATGAAATGCTGAAGGACTATACTAGTTAGTATAATAATATGTGAAAAACATGGAGAGATGGACCCAAATAATGGCACATGAAAATGAAAAACCTCACAATTCTTGTTCTATTTTGTATTTCTTTGAATGTTATAAAATGATAGTTATTTTACCATGTGTGTGCCATTAAAATGCCAGCTTTTGTGAGCTGCTAGCTCTAGTCGTATCCTTAACTTTCCACTGAACGGTTTGTCTCCTTTTTAAATAATAAGCCATTACCCTCTGATTTACATACTTCTTATAAGCTCCCTTTTAAAATTACTGAATGTCTTTAATATTTAAAATTTGGTAACAAGTATAAAATTTCCATTTAAAAATTTATAAATGTAGGGCCTAGCGTGGTAGGTCCTTGATAGTGGCTGAGGTCCTCGCCTAGAATGTGCTGGGATCCCATGGGGGTGCCAGTTTGTGTCCTGGTGCCCCACTTCCGATCCAGCTCCCTGTTTATGGCCTGGGAAGGCAGTGAAGGATGGTCTGAAGCTTTGGGACCCTGTACCCGCATGGGAGACCCAGAAGAGACTCCTGGCTCCTGGTTTCAGATAAGCTCAGTTCTGGCCAATGCAGTGACTTGGAAAGTGAACTAGTGGATGGAGGATCTTCCTCTCTTTCTCTCCTCTCTGTAAATCCTTCCAATAAAAATAAATTTTTTAAAATGTGTAGATGTGCAATTCAGTGGCATTATTACACTCATATTATTGAATGTTGTCCATTTCTCAGTGCACATACATGAGAATTAACAGTGTATGTCCATACAAATGGTCACAGTAACCTTATGAATAAGACCTGAAAGGGTAAATATAACTGGTAAACTTATTAACCAATGAACAGATAGTCAGGATCTGGTATGCCAAGACAATGAACATAATTCAGCCATAAAGAAGCAGACACTTAGGAGTTGAGATGCCTATCTTCCACACTGGAGTCACTGAGTCGGCTTTCCAGCTCTGCTTTCTAACTCCCATCACATGAGCATAAATCATAGAAGGTACTGTTGATGGCTCAAGTAATTTGATTCTTGCCACCCACATGAAAGACCTGGCTCGAACCCAGCTTCAGGCCTAGTGGTTCCAGGTACTTGAGAAGTGAATTAGAAAAGGATCTCTCTCTCTCTTTTTTCTCTAAAATAACAATAAAATAATGATGTAGTGATACGTGCTACAATATGAACCAGGGAATCACTATGATAAATAAAAGATCACATGTTATATTATTCCAATTGTAAGAGTGTTCAATTCAAAATAGGGAAATCTATGAAAAGAAAAAGCTGCCAACAGCTTCAGGCTATGTGGATACGGAGTGAAAGCTGATGGGTCTGAAGTTTTTCTCTGGGGTGATGAAAATGTCTTGAAATTAATTAACTTATGCATAGAAAGGTAAAATCTACAATGAATTACTTCTTCCATCTAACCTGTAAATTTTACTTTCACTGTGTTTATACATTTTAAAAATTACATTAAGCTGTACCAGCCAGGAATGATCACTCAATTAATTTTTTACTACACTTATTCATTATATAACTTCTATTAGGAATAAAGCGACCTGGATCATTTTTGTCCATGATTTCTGTAGCTTGCTCACTTTTGTCAAGACAATAAAAAGATTTAAAATAAGTAAGAAAAATAACAAAGTCATGAAGGAAAACATTTCCCAAGGACAACAAGAGTATTAGATGACACTTGATGAAATGCTAGTTACTGGGAACACTCACAGTATCTGACTTATTTTTATATGCCTTACAAATTCACTTATATTTCCCAATTAGTAAATATATAACTCAAGTTTTATCAATGCCCTAAGTTAACAGACATTTTAATACACTCCAGGGTCAGGTAAATTTTATGTAAAAACTGAATTCTAATACAGTGCAAAATGTTAAGGGAATTCACAGCCATCTCTGAAATTCTAATTGCATGCTTTATCTAAAGACTAGAGAAGATTGTGCTAAATTATATGGAACGGACTAGTGTTCACTGTTTATGCTATCCATTAGCTGCCAGTCAAACTAATAACAGCAATCTCCTCCCTAATTTTCCTGGTGCAGCTGTTTATAGAATATCCTGGGCGTATTCAGTTCACTAGATACATAATAACACAGACATTCACAAGTAAAGACCACATTTTCTGTTTTCAAAATTTTCTCCATACTGTAATATTTTTCTACCTTGCATGTTCACTTTAACTATTTTAAATAATCAACATATTTAATTGTAGTATTAAGGCTTAAACTGAAAATCTATCCGATAATGCTTACATTATAGAAACCTGCTTCTTCCTCCCCTCCCCTGCTAAAGAAAGAAAAATCCAAAGAACAGGAAACACTCACAAAAAAAAAAAAAGGAAAGAAAAAGCTCTCAAACAAAAAACCCTATATTCTTTTTAAAACATAAAACGGAATCTCCACAGGACTACCTCATATCCTACTGTTATCAAGAAACACACGACATTTATACTGACATTTTTGCAATAATGTTTGAAAGTTAAACATAATTTCATCACCAATAATTAAATTTTAACATTTACCTTTATGTTATTAAGTAATGACTCAGGCAATTCAATTAATGTATGCAGAAAGTGCAGCTATTTTTTTTAATATTGTATACCAAAAATTCAACCTTCTATAACATTAGTTTTAGAAGAGCTAAAGTTACTGCTCTACATCAATGAATCCCAGCATTTTGGATTTCAAGGAATTTTAAAAATAAAAAATTATTGAGTCTTCCAATTTTTGAAGAAAAAACACAACTTTAGAAAATAAAGAACATTTTAACACTAGAAAGAAAGACACAAATCAAGACTAAAGGGCATCCTTTAAATGGTTAAGATTTAACACTAGAAAGACCTTGTGCCAGTCTCACTTTTTTTCTCTTGCTGACAAACTGTAGTGAAAACTTTGACACAGCTCTATATTGATCTATATTCCACAGCCTAAAAATACTGTCTAGGTCACCATTGTATCTTTATAAATTTAATGAATCTTAAAATCAACAACTTACAGCTCCTGTCTAAGCCTTCTTATCTTGGCCTTCGCATCTGCCAGCTCCACTGACAGATGCTGTCGACTTTCTGTTCGCTTCATGCCTGGAGAACCACAGGGGGACTGTGCAGATGAGGACGCATGGGGTAGTGAATGAAGACCATCTCGTTCTTCAGAGAGCTCTACAATAGTCTAAGAAATTATAGAAACAAACACTGAGAATCAGTTTTAATATTCTACATAGCAGCAAACTAACCCTACCAACACACTGGCTCTAAGTGTCAACCATAACATGAACAAGATTTCACTGATCAAAACATCTAAGTAATATTTAGTTGTCATTTTCTTTCAAAAATTTTTATTTTTGTTTATTTGACAGGCAGAGTTACAAAAAGGCAGAGACAGGGAGATCTTTCATCTGCTGGCTCTAATGGCTCTGGCAGGTGGGTGCAGGGGCCAAAAACACTAGGGCCCTCTTCCACTACTTTACTTGGGTGCAACAGCAGGAAGGACAGCAGTAGAGCACCGCAACTTGAACTGGCATCCATACTGAATGCCAGACTCCTAAATGGTTGTCATTATCCAGTATGCTACAATGGTGGCCCCTAACTCTCAGCTTTAGAAATGTCACTCAGCAGTTCAGCCATGAAGTACTGACATTGACACCAGAACAAAAATGAATATTATTCCTTTCCTTGTCTTTTAACAAAAGAAATTAACTGTAATAACATAACTAGATTAGACAGCAACCGTTGGAAAGGGGTAACAATTGCCGATGTGGGAAAGAAATGAACACAAGGGTGATTTGCTTCAAATTTGTGCTGTCCAATACAGTAGTCAGTCGCAGAAGTGGTTATCTGGCTTAAGAGCTGATAATTCAGTTCTAGTCACACCAGCCACATTTTAGGTGCACAACAGTCACATGCAGTTGATGATTACTCTATTAGATAGCTGAGACATACAAGCTTGCCATCATTGCATAATCAGACAGCCTTCTGTAACTTCCCAATTCTAGCAGTACAATTTCTAGAACAACCTAACAAGACTCAGAAATTTAGTTCAAATCTTTCATCTGTAGGTCAGATAACAGGCACAGAGGTTAACTGTTCACCATGCAACTGTCCAACACAATACCAAGACTCCAGACTGGTATTCCAGCATCATATCCTATGCAGATCGTTTCTCTTACCATACCACACTAGCTCAAATCTGCTTCCCAATTTAAAGTTTATTTTATTTTGCTTTTAAATTATTTCTCTGAGAGGGAGAGAAAACCAGGTGGAGAGAGAAGACGTAAGAGCAAGACAACATTCCCTTTTCTATTGGTTCACTTCCTCAAATGCCCACATCAGCTGCTGGGACTGAAGCTGGGAACACAACCCAGGTTATCTCATCCGTGAGGCAGAAAACCAGTTACGACAGCCAGGGTTTGCATCAGTAGGGAGCTGTGTTGGAGCTTAAGCCAAAAAGGAAACCCAAGGAGTTCACTGTAGTTAACAGGTGTTGTAACTGTTAAGCTAAACACACACCTGCTAACTCAAATCTTTCTTTTCTCCACAGAACCTCCCAGGAAACACAAATACTACTCTTTTTTCCCCTTAAAATGTGAACTACAGTGACTCTTTAATCTACAGGTGTGCCTCAAGGAAAACTGGCCTCAGTTATAATATTCCCTTCCCTTGTCCTTTATTGGTAAATTCTTTAAAAAAAAAAAAAGTTCTCAGCCTTTGTTTCAAACCTCAAGCAGAAATTTCTACTGTCTTGCTACTCTAGACAGACTATGAAGGGAACTTTGGAACCACAGCACCATTATACTTGTTTTATATCTCATCACAAAGTCTTACATCTCCACTCTACCAGTGAATCACTACATGTTTTTGCTACTTTTTAAAAAATCATTTGTCAAATTTCATTTATTTTTCCTAGAGAAACATTTCAGAATTAATGCTGTTAAATTTATCTTGACAATAAGATCTTGGATTTTCTTCCATTGTCTATACCTACAACGTCATGATACCCTTAAGGAACAGAATGATGGACTTGTGACTGTTGTTGAAGGATTATATTATTGTAACAATAGAGGGGAAATTAGTAAGGGGAAAGGGACATGTGGATGGTTTAAGGGGAATCCCTGAGCCAATGGAAACAGACCATGAAAAAAAGTTTTAGCTTCCTGTCAACAGTTATAAAAATAAATTTTCAGTTTCCAGTCGGTTCGTGTTCCATAGAAGACTGACTTTCCAATTTCTCTTCTCTCTGCAACTCATAGTCACACTCTATTCAATAGCTATAATAGGTTTCTCCAGTAAAGGAAACAACTGTTGCTCTGTGGCATGCCCCCTTTACTGTCCCTTAGATCATTCCCAGCTATTCTAGAGCTCATATGCAATCTAGAACTACAAATAAGCCTTAAATGTCACACTTTCCAATTTAACATTATCATTCCACTGTCTGATGCAGGTTCTGCCCTAGAGATATTATGCCTATTTTACACATGTAAGAAACTGAATATCACATATACTGAATGACAACCAATGACAGCCACACCTGAAATTAAAAATCAAGTTTGACTTTAATAATATTTTTTCTTATTTAGCATCAGATCCCTACTCTTGCTCTCAATGACAGAGTTCTCAGGAAAAAAAAAATTGCACAGCCCAGCCACAGAGTTTATGAACCATTTTCACCTGCTTTCTTTCTACCAGTCTTGAAATGTTGACAACTGGGACACTCCCCACCCCCCATGATCGTTCATGCAGCAATAAATTAGTACTTAATTAAATGCTATCTCACATTTTTCATTTACAAGTAGCATAGTTTTTCCTGAATAAGCCAGATATAATCTTTCAAATGCTCATCTTGTCCACTAATATACTGGGCACAACAAGAAATGCTCAGACATATTAAACTAAGCAATCACAAAAACCTAGCAGTTTGGTGAAATGAAAGCTTCAAGAACTTCCAGATGCCAATGAGCAAGCACAAAATATTCTGTGCTGCAAGATACTTGTTATCTTGAGGAAATGAGGACAATGATACTAACAGTTAAGAGATTCCAGAGGTATTTCCCATAAATGGTTATGTCATTTTGATGATTTAATAGTGATGAGTATAGTGACATATCTTGACTTTGAGGCATTCTACGCCTTTCCAAAATAATCAAGAAAACTAATTTCATAGGCCTTTCCTGTCCTTACAATCGGCAATTCCAAGTAAATCTTGTCTCTTTAAATTAGTGTATTATGGCATACCATAGTATTGTATAATATTATAAAAATTCTATATACACACATACTATATATAGTTTAATACATACTATAGTTCATCATCTTTACTGCTTTCAATATTTCATTAGATACATTAAAACAACTTCCCTTTTTATAACTATACTATTCTTTGATTTTTTTTCTAAAACACTGTCAGTGCTTTTCTCCCTAGCACTCTAGCATAAGATCTTGTAAAAAAAAAAAAAAAGGAAATGCTTATTAATATATGATGAAAGTATATGGAGACGAATGAAGACATGTTCTCTGCATAATCATGGATAGAGGCAAAAGAACTAGAGGCCCTGGCACTACAGCATAGTGGTTAAAGTCCTCACCTTGAACACTCTGTCTGCATTTCAAATATACTTTTTAAAAAAGTTTTTTTTTTTTATTGGAAAGTCAGACATACAGAAGAAGAGACAGAGAGGAAGATCTTCCGTCCGTTGATTCCCTCCCCAAGAGACCACAAGAGCCAGAGCCAATCTGAAGCCAGGAGCTTCTTCCGAGTCTTCCACATGGGTGCAGGGCCCCAAGGCTTTGGGCCGACCTTGACTACTTTCCAGGCCACAAGCAGGGAGCTGGATGAGAAAAGGGGCTACAAGGACATGAACCAGTACTTATACAGGATCCCGAGATGTGCAAGGTAAGGATCTTAGCCTCTAGAATACCGCGCCAGGTCTCTCAAATATACTTTTTTTTTAACTTTTATTTATTTATTGGAAAGTCAGATATACAGAGAGGGGGAGAGACAGAGAGGAAGATCTTCCGCCTGATGATTCACTGCCCAAGTGAGTGCAATGGCCGATGCTATGCCAATCCAAAGCCAGGAGCCAGGAACTTCCTCCGGATCTCCCACATGGGTGCAGGGTCCCAAAGCTTTGGGCTGTCCTCGACTGCTTTCCCAGGCCACAAGCAGGGAGCTGGAAGGGAAGTGGAGCTGCCGGGATTAGAACTGGTGTCCATATGGGATCCTGGCGCATTCAAGGCGAGGACTTTAGCCGTTAGGCCATGCGGCCGGGCCCTCAAATATACTTTTAAAGATATTTAAAAAATTAAACAAAATTTTTAAATGAACTGATGATACATATTTATGTACTTTTAAGAATAAAGAAAAAGAATTTTAACAAAAGGGGAAAAAAGCAAAAAAAAAAAAAAGGAAAAATTTAAGCACTTGTTTCAGTTTAGCTGAATTATACAAGAAGCCCTCTATATTTGTCTACTTTTTGGCAGCATATCCAGACATACTTCTTGTGATAAAAATTGACAGTATTCTACATTACTTACCAAACAAAGGGCCAAATTTAAGTTATGTGTGAATATCTGCATGAGAGAAAAAAAGCTGGCAGCAGGCAGAAGAGGAGGCTACAAAGAAACAGGTATGGCCTAGTGCAGTAGCCTGAGCAGCTAAAATCCTTGCCTTGCATACACTGGGATCCCATATTGGCACTGGTTCATGTTCGGGCAGCCCTGCTTCCCATCCAGCTCCCTGCTTGTGGCCTGGGAAAGCAGTCAAAGACGGCCCAAAGCTTTGGGATCCTGCACCAGTGTGGGAGACCTGGAGGAAGTTCCTGGATCCTGTCTTCGGATTAGCTTAGCTCTGTCTGTTGCAGACACTTGGGGAGTGAACTGAATGGAAGATCATCTTCTCTGTATATCTGACTTTGCAAAAACAAAATAAAACAAACAGGTATAACACACCTACACTGTGACTAAAAAAGGCAACTGATATGAATTGGTTGAGAATCAACAGAGAAAAGGGTATGCAGCAAGAGAATCATCAGGAATCAAATCCACAAAATGATCAACCCCAAAGCCAATGTCCAGATGTTAGATAAGCTTAGGGTGGGTGACGTGTTGTAGTACACTTGGTTAATCCACTGTCTCCAACACCAGTACCTCATGAATACCTGCTGCCCTACTTTCAAAGAGCTATTTTTTAATTACTTGAAAGAGTTACACAGAGAAGGAAAGAGGAAGAAAAAAAGGAAGAGAGGGGAGAGAAAAAAAGAAAAAGGGAGTTTCAGGGAGACAAAGAGACAAAAAAAATTCTATATGCCCATGGTCACATTAACATACAGAAGCTAGAAGACATCTTATGCAATACCTTTAATAAACTGAGAAACAAAACAGATGAATTTCCCAGAAAATGAGTAAAGCCTGAAAGACACTATAACAAAAAGAAATTGAGTGTACAATTAAAAAGTTAGGTTGAAAATCAAACTAGGTATATCAGGTTAATTTTGATGTTTTTGATTAATTCTCTTTTCCTCCTTGGGTGGTCTCACTGCCATGTCTTTTTAAAACATTAATTGTTGTTCTACAATAGTTATTTCATTTATTTTTCTTCTCTTTTAACAATTGAAAAGAATGAAAAATTTCCAATAGAAATGAACATATTCTGTAAAGCTATGAAGCTTTTCTTCAGAAAAAAATTTTTAGGTAATTAGCGTAGTCTTGTACTAGTTCCAAGAGAAATCATATGAATCTGCAAACAGAAAAAGCCCCCAAAGACTATCTCAATACATGTAAAATGGAACACCAAATGAAAGCACTATGTTTATCTGAATGTCACAGTACTTTGGCCCAATATTAAGAAAATATTACTCATCACCAGACCACATGCGTGAAGTCTGGACTTCTCCAAAATCATAAACAGTTTCATAGTATGCACAGAAAATTCAATGCAATTTTATTCTTTCTTAAAAAGCAGTATGAACTTTTAAAGAAGTTTATTATAATTCTTTTTGTAACACATTTCTTCATACTAACTATAAAAACTTCAGAGCTTCTAAAACATTTTATTTAGAACACCTGTTCTCCTCTTCTTAATACTTATTTTTCCATCCACAACATGCAGCAATAAAACTAAGAAATTAAACTTAAGGAAATTCTTTTGCTTCAAGCTACAACTTTTGCATTTACATCAACTACATTTTCAGTTTCACACTTCTATGCATTGCCAGAATTGTGAGGATGACTTGAAAAGCACACAGGAATAAAAGCAGAATGATACTAATTCAAAAAGAAAAAATAAAATCTAATCACAATCCATTTACTACCATTTTGGGATTCAAAAGCATCCTTTTGGTTTCTATATTTCAGAAACACACAAAAAAGACAGTACAGGGCCTGGCATGGTAGCCTAGCGGCTAAAGCCCTTGCCTTGCACATGCTGGGATCCCATGTGGCCGCCCGGTTCTAATTGTTCTAATTCCAGTGGCCACGCTTCCCATCCAGCTCCCTGCTTGTGGCCTGTAAGAGAAGTCAAGGACGGCTCAGGGACTTGGGGCTCAGCACCCATGAGGGAGACCTGGAAAGAAGCTCCCGCCTCCTGGATTTAGATCAGAACCAGCCCTGGCCATTGCGGCTGCTTAGAGTCAATCAGTGGATGAAAGATTGTCCTCTCTGTGTATCTGACTTTCCAATAAAAACCTTAAAAAAAATAAAAAAGACATTAAAGCCAACTCTCCATATCTACTGGTTTCACAGTGCTGGATCCAACTGGATGAAAAATATTCAAGGAGAAAAAACTGTGTTTGTACTCAACATGTACACTATCTTTGCTCATCTTCATTACTCCCTAAACAACATACCACGTCAACTATTTACACAGCATTCACACTAGAGTGGGTATTACAAAAACCTAAAGATGATTTAAAGTATGTGAGAAAATGTACACAGGTTATATACAAACACTATACAGTTTAAGAGTCTTGAGTGTCCACAGATTTAAGAAGCCTTGGGAGGCTCCAGGAACCAGTGACCCACAGACACCAATGGACAACTATATTTTATTATGTGTTCCTAGGGAAAAAAAACAATTTAAACCTTTTACAGCCATTATATATTCTTTCTGAAAGCAAACTTCCATAATATACTAAAAGAAATATACAAACCTCGGAATGCTCATCTCTCTCATCTATAAGTCTTTTTAGATGCAATGCCATATTTTTCAAGAGGGGTTCTATGTCCTCCTGTGACATATCGGTTACTTCCATCCATTGCAGATCAAATACATTTTCCTGATTATGAGTTACCTTTAGAAAAGCAACCAAAATAAGCAACAAAAAGGCTAATATTTAAAAATCTACTTCATTATAGAATTGTAGCTCAAATCATATAAAGCTCATCAAATTAAAATATGAAAGTTAATATGACAGCTAAAGAAGAACCTGAAATCATGTGGAATTAATGATAAAACAATCAAATTATTTTAATATAATTTGATATATATTTTATAAATTATATACATAAGCAATATATTATAACTACATCATATAAATATAACTTTAAAATGGATTACTATTCATTTGTTAGTCAACAAAAAACTTTTAATTCAAGGTATTTCTAAGTGAAAGTAATATTGATATATTTGACAGCTGATTTAATAAAGTACTGACTTCTTTAGACAAGAGTTTAAACTTGTACGTAGGTTCAAGAACTAAAAGTTCTTAATGTTTTGGGATATATGTATACATATAACTGCGTTTTTATATTTAATCATTAGCTAAGTTTTTGCAGATTCGGAAGATAACATTGTCACAGAAGCCTAAAAGCATTCCCAATATAAAGATACTTTTTACTTCTCAAATTAAATATTTGCTATAATTTTTTTAAAACAAAAAAAATCGCACTTCAGTGACTATGGCAAATTATCTTACTTGCAATGCTTAGCACTGAATACAAAATAAACTAAAGCCACAAGGATACAGAAATATAAAATCAGAGCTTACCAATAAACTGATAAAGCACTGTTATCTTTACCGTGAAAAACTTGCTGACAAGAAGCTTGGGCTCTACAAATGTTAACTAAAATGATATAGGACACTAACATTTACAGAGACAGTATTTTAAAAACTTATTTTATACTATTTATAGTGATTTTTAAAGTTGTTTTCTTTTCCTAATCAACATGTAAAATTTAATATAATTCTAAAAAACCTTTGTAAGACTGGAAGCCCAAGTGCAGATAGATACAGAAAGTTTTAAATCAATCTCAATACATTGTATTAACTTCAATTTTTAGATTTAAGTTTTATATGCATGCTACATATCATTCAAACATTCATGATTCAAGTAATATCTTCAACAAAAATTGTTATGCCAATTCACAAGAAAATCAGGAGTGACATACTACTGAGCTTATCATCCTACCTCACAGTAAGTCCTACTCACAAGCAGTGTTCTACTCAGCTGCTTTCAGTAGCTGTATGATTCATTCTGTACTAACAACAATCAATACATCATTTCTCAAATAATACTCTCTCCCTAAGTCTTTGGAGATACAGGCAACAATACAGTTGCAGTTACTAGTACATATAAAATGATTTATTTACGGAACTATGTCTATAGAGAAGATAATTTGTATAAAAGCAAGGTTCTGTTGCATTTGATCTTGATTTATTCTTGCTTATTCCATTATTTTAAATATTTTGGAAGATACACAAATGAATTCATTTAATAAAATGACAAGTTTCATGAAAAAGTACATTAAAACTCTCTACACATCCTTACCTCTTGAATATGTGCGGCAACTGCTGCTTTTGTATCAAAATCTAAACCTTGAATCCTTTCAATAAATTCTTCTTTTTTCTGACACTAAAATAAATAAATAATCATTCATACTTTGAGGAAATAGTCCTTAAAATGCACAAAACTTCGTTTAGGCTTGCCTATATTTTGGATAATACAATAAACGTTTTGTTTTACATTTAAACTGTTTCTGATATACTCACCACATAGAGACCACGATAGAGCAATATTTATTTTAAGAAGCAAGAACTGAAAATGTATACTATTTTTATGCTGAAAAGCTCTAAACTGAGAAAGCATTGCACAACTGAGTTGAGGTCAGTACAATATTTTTAGGCTAACTTTTCAGAGAAGTAAAGAATCAAGAACTTGTTTCAGGGAGGACAAGTTACTTGCCAAAAAACACAGTGAGTCAGTGGAAGAATTCGGAATACAGCCAAAATTCTCAGTTAGACTCTGGCTATCACTAAACAACACAGCCTTTCTTCTTGGAAAAAAAGAAAGTAAGCAATTTTTACTTCAAGTTTATAATTCATTCTCAAATGTTCATTCTATCAATCCTAATAAATTCAGTTTTGTGACCCAGTTCAACACTTGTAAAGTAATAAAATAAATATTTTGTTTTTAACATAACAAGATTACCACAGGCAAAAACGTAATCATGCATTTTTAAATACACATGTAGCAAAACAGAATAAAGGCAGCAATTATTTACTGTGGGGTTTTCTAAGTTTTCTATAAATTAAAAATACTTTGCAAACAAAACCTTTTTTCTTTCTGTCATTACTGATTAACAATTTAACATGTATGTTTTTCTTTGCCTCAGTCTACAACTCTTAAACTGCAATCCAACTGTGAGTATAACTGTAGCTACTGAATGAGAAGTGCATACAAAATAGACAGCACTGCCTTGTCTCACTTAGAATGATCCCCTGGGTCAATCACCAAACTACCTCAGCAGTGAACAAAACACCCTAAGAAAAGAAAAGCTGACTCTAATCACTAAGAAGCATAAAAGGTTTTACTATGTACTTTACATATTTATCAAACTGTAATATTCTATTTTTACTACTACACAATTCAACAAAACACAAGAGGGCAGGAAGTTCCACATCTTATAAAAATTAAAGTATTAGGATGATATAGTACAGTTTAAATGATCAAAAATGTACAAATTCCTAGTTGTGACAAGAAATTCAGATTTTGGAGGAAATGGAATGACAATCAGCAAGCTTAAGAATAAGTGGGAAAAAAACAAAAAAAACAAAAAGAGTAAGTGGGAGGCCCAGCATGGTAGCCTAGTGGCTAAAAGTTCTTGCCTTGAACAAGCCAGGATCCCACATGGGTGCCTGTCCTGGCTGCTCCACTTTGCATCCAGCTCTCCTCTCTGCTTGTGGCCTGGGAAAGCAGTCCAGGACGGCCTTAAGCCTGGGACCCTGCACCCACATGGGAGACCAGGAAGAAATTTCTGGATCCTGGCTTCGGATTGGTTTAGCTCTGGCTGTTGCAACCACTTGGAGAGTGAACCAGTTTTTTGTTTAGTATATATCTGATTGATTTTGTGAGAGCCATTAAGAATTGATTTCTAATTGTACAGTTGTAGCATATATAAAATAATCAACTAAAACATCTCTTGCAAATGGGGGGGGGTTGTCACAGAATTCCTGGCTTCTATCGTCACATCAGCAACCTTTATCTTGTTATTTCTACATGCACATAAAATTATAACAGCTAAAATGACTACCATAGTATTAAATGGAACACTTGCATTTTAACCCATTCAACTAGCATACAAACATATTCCCTGAAATAGAAACTGCATTCTAGAATGTGTACCATAATACTTGATGCCTGACCTGTTTCAACAGCAGTTTCTTGTCTGGAAGGATATGGTGGCTCCTCAGTAACAACAAAGGTTTTTAATTACTCATGTAATCACAGAAAAAGGCTGCTAGGATATTCTGTTTGTTACACACTTCACTTTATCAATACCAGTGGCCACAAAATGCCCACAGGATAAAACTTAAGCTCAAATTTGCAAATGTAGTCCTTGATAATTCAATCCTGTCCTTGTCAATACTCCAGTCTAATCTCTCTTTTCTCTTTTAAAGAGTTCTTTCATTTTTATTTGAAATGGAGAAATACAAAGAGAACTGTAGAGAGGGGAGAGATATTCCATCTTCTGGTTCACTCCTTAAATGGCCAAAAACGGGCAGGTCCAAAGCCAGGAGTTTCTTCTGGACAAAAACAAGGCTAGAATTCCAAGTGGAACCAGTACTCAAACCAAGGCATTTCAATAGCAGGTGTCCTAACTAGCTTTTTAAAAGCTAGGCCAAAATATATTTTTAGCCCTTTTATTTTTCTTTTTATAAATTATTTTATGTGCTAGAAGGCAGAGAGACAGACACACAGATGCATGTAGATCTCCCATGCATTGGTTCATTTCGGAAATATCCACAACAGCCAAGGGAGGACCAGTCTGAAGTCAAAGCCAGGAAGTAAAAGCCAGGAACTCAACCTGCATCTCTGAAGTGAGTGGCAGAGAATCACAGGCTGCCTCCCAGTAGGAGCAGAGCAGAGATTCAAGCCCAAATATTCAAACATGATATGCAGGTGTTCCAAGCAGCATCTTAGTGTGCTGCCCTCAGTTTCTTGATAAGCTCGAACACAGTTGAGTAGTCTCCTTTAATCTTTGGTTTATTTTCTAAGCTGGTGAAACCTATCCTCTCTTAAATATAAACAAACCAAGCAGATTTGCTGGTGTTTATTTATTCTCAAATCAATTACTAACTATAGATTCCTCTTTAGCAACTCCAGCCATGTCACTCTTACATGAATGGATTTCACCAGAGCAGGTATTCATTTGACTTAGCACATAACCTGTCCACACCCCATATCAGAGTACAGTTATTCATCTCCTGGTCTGGTCTGGGCTTCGGTTTTCAGCATCCTCCGTATATGGGCTCTGGGAGGGAGCACTAATGTCTCAAACTATTGGGTTACTGTCATTTGCACGAGATATGGGTTGAGTTCCCAAGTCCTAGGTTGAGTCTGGCCCATCCTAGTTCCAACAAGTGCAAGCATATGGGTAATAAACCAGCAAATGGGAGCTCACTCCATCTGTCAATCAAATAAATTAAAAAGAAAAAAAATTTTTTTAAAGATTTATTTATTTATTCGAAAGTCAGGTATACAGAGAGGAGGAGAGACAGAGAGGAAGATCTTCTATCCACTGATTCACTCCCCAAGTGAGTGCAACGGCCGAAGCTATGCTGATCTGAAGCCAGGATTCAGGAACTTCCTCCAGTTCTCCCACACGGATGCAGGGTCCCAAGGCTTTGGGCCATCCTCGACTGCTTTCCCAGGCTACAAGCAGAGAGCTGGATGGGAAGTGGAGCTGCTGGGATTAGGACCAGTGCCCATATGGGATCCTGGCACATTCAAGGCAAGGACTTTAGCCGCTAGGCCATGCCACGGGGTCCAGAAAATTTTTTTTAATGACACATTCTGTTAGGTCTTTGCACTACTCTCTCAAAGGCTAAAAATTATAAATTCTCAATTCTAAAATTTCCCTCCACATTGCTTTACTCTAAAAATCTCAAAAACGGTTAAAAAAAAAAAGCCTGAAATTAAGTTTGTATTTCTAAAACAGTGTCCTGATAGCAATTCAATGTATTAATGACTACAAATATGAAATTTATCTTAATATTTAATAAAGTCAACAGTTATACAATTCAGCTGATGAAACTTTACTAATCTAAGTTGCATAGGGATATAGGTCCCGGACCAGGCACAATAGCGTAGTTGTTAAAGTCATCGCCTCGAACGCGCCAGGATCCCATATGGGCGCCGGTTCTAATCCCAGCAGCCCCGCTTCCCATCCAGCTCCTTGCTTGTGGCCTGGGAAAGCAGTCAGGGACGGCCCAAAAGCCTTGGGACCCTGCACCTGTATGGGAGACCCAGAAGAGCTCCTGGCCACTTGGGAAGTGAATCATCGGATGGAAGATCTTCCTCTCTGTCTCTCCTCCCCTCTGTATATCTGACTTTCCAATAAAAATAAATAAATCTTAAAAAAAAAAAAAGGAATATAGGTCCCAACAAATCAACTCTAAAAGTCAGCATCTTAGGAATTTGTCATTTCTGGCACAGGTATATAAACACTGATACACTATTTATTTGCTTCCAAATAACTTTATTGCACAAACAATCAAGATAGTTCAAAACAATACTGCAATCATTCATTCATTTAAAAACTGGCTGATTAAATGAAGTAGGTTTTGAAATCAGAACATAGAAGGTTCTTTGTTCTACTAGCAATATTACTTACTAATCACTTTGGTTTACCTTGGAGAGTTCCAGTTTATATATGTAGTTTCTCCATTATTAACAAACCTTCTTTGACTTTCACAAGTATCCTAATTTAGTTAACATCATAAACACCCCATATAAACATCAATCTCCTTATTTGATAAAAGTTATGATAGAAACAATGTAAGGTATAATATCTGATACTAAACAGTCACACAAAAGAAACCATACCTGCTAAGAACAGGCCTCAAAACATTCATGGAAAAATTTAATTAAAACATGACATGGAAAAATTTAATTAAAACATGACATGGAAAAATTTAACTAAAAGATAACATGGAGGTGCAGTAGCCTGGTGCCTAAAGGCCTCGTCTTCCATGTGCTGGGATACCATATGGGTACGGTTTCATATCCCGGCTGCTACACTTCCCATCAGGCTCTCTGCTTGTGATCTGGGAAAGTGGTAGAAGATGGCCCAAAGTCTTGGGCCACCAATGTGGAAAAACCTGGATGAAGTTACTGACTCCTAGCTTTGGATTGGGTTAGGTTTGGCTATTGTGGGCGCATGGGAAGTGAAACAGCAAATGGAAGAATTTCCCCCTCTCTTTCCTTCTCTCTGTAAATCTGCCTTTCCAATTATAAATAAATAAATAAATAAATAAATAAATAAATCACACACATATGTATAAAGGGGCACTGCAGCAATGACTCAATCTTCCCCTGAAAGCAATGGCATCCTGTATGGGTACCACTTTGCGTCCCAACTACTTCATTTCTGGTCCAACTTCCTGCTTATGGTCTGGGAAAGCAGTGGAAGATGGCCTAAAGCCTTGAGACCCTAAACCCAAGTGGGAGACCTGGAAGAAGCTCTGAGCTCCTGGCTTTGCATTGGCTCAGTTCCAGCCATTGAAGTAATTTAGGGTGTGAACCAGCAGGTGGAAGATCTTTGTCTCTTAGTCTCCTCCTTTCTAAATCTGCCTTTCCAATAAAAATAAATAAATCTGAAGAAAGACAAAAAAGATAATGTGAAGGCCTTGTGGTTAACATGCTCTGTCCCATTTCTATTGGGGTATCTGGGCTTCATACTCGAGGACACCACCTGACTCCAGCAGCCTCCCTCTGGCAAGTTTGAGTAACTGGGTCCCTGCCACATATGACACTTCAACGATCTGGGAAGTGAAACAGATAGGAGTTCCTCCCATGCTAATCCTGCTCTTCCTCTCTACCTAAAAGAAATAAAATAAAAACGGGAATTAATGTGAATTTTCCATGATTTTCTTTACTCTGTTTTTAAAAGGCTATCGACACAGGGAAAAAGAAAAATTGTGTGCATGCATGTGTTTATGAGAGAGAGACTTTTCACCTGAGGGTTACCTCCCCAAAGCAGCAGCAAAGGCTTGTTCAGACTGAAATGAGGAGTCAGCATCCCCATCCAGGTCACTTATGTACCAGGAAGCCAGAATCCAAGTACTTCAGTCAACATTTGCTATCTCCCAGTGCATCAGTAGGAAGATGGATAAAAACCAGAGGTGGAATAAGAGCCCAGACACTCCAGATGTAGCCTTCTTAAGCAGTGGTTTAACTTAATCAGTGGTTTAACTTCTGCAACCCCACCCAATGTATTTTTTTGAAATTCCCTTGTATCATTAAATAATCACAGATCCAAAGTCAACATAACAGGACAGACTCCTAAAGCACTTTCCATAAATTCGTTTTTTGTTAACCCTCATTTCCTTCTCCAAAAGATACATTCATGCTAACATAAATAAGTGTTTAAGGGGAGGTTTTAAAGATAAAGCTGAGAAAACTCAGAAAACTTAGGGCCAATAAAAGCCACAGAATAGTAAAAATAATAATTCAGGATTTAAATGACAAAGATTTTCAATGACATGACTGTTATAATAAGACTAAATTTTGTAGCAGGTAACAGTTTTTCTTTCGCATAATTTCCTTAGAGGGTTACAGAGCTGTTAAAAGTTTCCCAAAAATAGACTTTGAAGATCAGTAGTTCATCTTAAAGTCTTTCAGAAACTAAAGTCTGAAAAAAATAAAGAAAACACGAAGGGGTATTTTAGACTTACCTGAACTGCACAACCTAGTAAAAGTAAAAGTAGCTTTTTAACTTCTTCTGTGCCTTGCTCTGAAATAAAAAACAACTGGTAAGCACATTTCCTCTCAACTCTCATACTAGGAAAATCACTTCTGGAGATAATATTCACAACAATTCAACTAAAGGATTAAGTTTAAGTTTATAAGGAAGCCTACCAAATCATGTTGCTATAAGGATATGTCATAAAGTCAGTCAAAACAGTTTCTAACAATTAGTCTGGCTTCTCAATGTTTTCTATTTCTTTTATTAAAACCTAGGTATTATATAACTCATACACTTACAGGTTCAAATGGATTTCCATTATGAATAAGTTCATAAATATCAGAACCCTAAATATGTATTAAAATCAGGCCGGTGAAATAAATGTATGTAACAAGGTGAATAAAATTTAATGGTCTACCCCTTTAAACATGAAGGAAACAATATGGAAAAAATAATAGTTTTACCCACTTTCCTGTAGCCCTTGAACCTTTTTACCCTAATTAACTACGTAATGATTGTCAAAATAAAACAATTTACAAAATAAAAAAAAAAAAGAAATTTAGTGGTCTATGAGTCACTGGAGAGAACACTGTACCACCCAAAAAGTATGCAATTAATATTTTCTTAAAATTTTCAATTGGCAAAAAAAAAAAAATTACTTCTTTGGACAAGGTTTTCACCATCATACCAATGAAGTTCAACCCTTCATTTTTGACAACTGTTCTTACCAAACAGCTTACTTTCTAGCCATAGTAGGCATGCTAATTACCATCCCCCTCAAAATACACACATCAACTACTTTACCTTAACTTCTATTACTCTTTCTCTCTTCTACCTCTTTAAATCACCAGTAAAATACTAATCAAAATTCCAAGCAAGGCTCCAACACTTCTAATTAGTTTTCCTTGACCCAACTACCAATGCAATGTCCCTCCATAAAGAATTTGCCAATTTTAAGAATAATTAATAGTTCCATCTTTTATATGCCTTAATATTCTTACATTCTATTTAAAGATTACTAGGAATCTGTGTCTCTACAAACAAATCATGACAACATCTAGAACATGGACCACATTTTGTTTTTTCAAAAAATTATTTACTTGGTAGGCAGTTTAATGGAGACAGACAGAGATTGTCCATCCTCTAAATCACTACCCAGATAGCCACAACAGTCTTGCATAGGCTGGGCCAAGCAGATGCTAGGAGCCAGGAACTTCATCGAGGTCTGCCATGTGTGTGGCAAGGACCGAAGTAGATGGGCATCTTCCCAGGTACCTCAGCAGGGAGCTAGAAGCCCAAGCAGCAGGACTAGAAGTAGAATAGAGCAGCAGGACTAGAGCCCAAGCTCAACAGGATCTTAGCATCACAGGTATATCTATCTACCCTACGGACCATATTTTGGTATTTATGGTCCCTATATTTTAGTGAGTAGATACTAAAAACACATGAAATTTAAAACATTACAGTTACATGCCAAATTTCTGTTTTCATTTCCTTATTAGTGCATCAAAGATTTAGTATATTTCTAAAAATTGTTAAACTTTGAATTCACAAAACTGAATTACTAGCTGAATTCTTTCTTAATATATTTAATTGATAACCAGTTCTATAAAAATATTATTAGTTTTATTTTGGTTTATTTTCACTGAGGGTAGGAGTAGGGATTAGGTAAGATATACTTCATTTGGATAACATACAGTCTTATCAGGGTAAGTATACTATTGAAAGTTAATTTCCCCAACTGCTTAAAAATTACAATCCCCAACAAAAATCACAATTACAATTTGGCAAAGGCCTGGGGAAACTGTTAAATGTCCTGATAGTAGAATGTTGGACTCTCTGCCAATGCCCATGCCTACAATGTCGGGAAACACTTCAATAGTGGAACGACGAACTTATGACTGTTATGATGGACTACCCACTGTAATACTAGAGCAGAAATCAGAAGATGTGGAGGGAAACTGGAGAGGGGGAGGGCAAATCCCAGAGCCTATGGAACTGTATCATAAAATAACTACAAAAGAAAACAAAAGAAAAGAAAACAAAACAAAACAAAAAAAACGAAACCTGGTAAAGGGCAGACATTTCAAACAATTCAGTGATCTTACAAATTACTTCATTCAAAAGTAGTAGGCATTAGGGCCTGGTGCGGTGGTTTTGCAGCTAAAGTCCTTGCCTTGAATGTATCAGGACCCCATACGGGCTCTGGTTCTAGTCCCAATTGTTCTGCTTCCCATTCAGCTCCCCGCTTGTGGCCTGGGAGGGTAGTCAAGGATAGCCCAAAGTCTTGGGACCCTGCACCTACATGGGAGACATAGAAGAGCTCCTGGCTTCAGATCAGCTCAGCTCTGGCCACTGCAGTCACTTGGGGAGTGAACATCCAGGGGGGAAGGTCTTACTCTCTGTCTCTCCTCCTCTCTCTATATATGTGACTTTGCAATGAAAACAAATAGATCTTTAAAAAAGAAGTAGTGGCCATTCAACTTGGCGGTTAAGATACTGGTTAAGACACTGGCAAACTACACAGAAATGCTTGAGTCACTTCCTGGCTCTGGCTCCTGATCACAGCTTCCTATTAACGTAGACACTAGGAGGCAGCACTACCTTGGCCACCAACGAGGGAGACTTGGATTGCATTCACAACTCTGGCTTCACTTTGTGGCCATGTCAGAATTCACTTAGTAAATGAGTGTCTTCACCTGCATGTGTTCACACTCTGTCTCCCAAAAGTCAAATGATGCTTTCAAGAAGATTAGCTTAATATAAATTAAAATGGACTAACCAGTAAATGTTACCTTCATACAATTTTGATAATGATGGACAGTAGATACAAGGATAGAACCTGGAAATTACTTATTATCAATTCTTTTCTAAAGCAATACTCATTTAAATTTATAACTACATCATCATCTGCACTTGTTCATAGAGAGACATGAGAAGCCATCATGGGATGGTGTTTGACGCTGCAGTTGAGACACCAGTGGGGTATGTGCATTCCAAAATTGCAGTGTCTGACTTTCTATCAGTGATATGCTTCCAGTGCAGCTTCCTGCTAATGTGCATTTCTTTTCCTTCCCTAAATTTTTCCCATCCCAAAGGTAATTTCTATTAGTACCAAGAAAACAGGTTCCATACATTTCACAAGAATAGCTTCAAGAATACAACACATGGGCCCAGTGCAACAGTGTGATGATTAAGAATGCACCAGGATCTTATATGGGCAGTTCTGACACCAGCAGCTCCACTTCCCATCCAGCTCCCTGCTTGTGGCCTGGGAAAGCAGTTGAAGATGGCCCAAGGCCTTGGGAACCTGCACCCACATGGGAGACCTGGAAAGAAGTTGCTGTCTCCTGGCTTCAGATTGGCTCAGCTCTGGTCATTGTGGCCACTTGGGGAGTGAATCATCAGACAGAAGATCTTTCTCTCTGTCTCTCCTCCTCTCTGTACATCTGCCTTTCCAACAAAATTAATAAATCGTAAAAAGAAAAGATCACATTTCCACTGGAATATAAATATGGGTTTAAAATGAAAAATTTTGGGAATGAAATCTCAAAGTGAGGATTTCATTTTCTTCTTTTTATGACCTGCATCAGCTGCCACATATCAAACATATTTGCTAAGACTGGTTTATCTTGCTAGACATAATGGCTGCCTCCAATTTATTGCAAAAGACAGTATTTACATTCCTTTTATGGCTTGGTAGTATTTATATATATATATATTTTTCTTTATCCAGTTACCTGTTGGTATTCATCTGGTCTGATTCAATATCTTAACTATTATAAATTGAGCTGCAACACACATGACTCAACACATAACTCTCATAAGCCAGTTTCATTTCACTTGTGTAAAGTGTCAGGACTGGGATGGCTAGGTCATATGGCAAATCCATTTCCAGATCCCTGAGAAATTGTGTTCAATACTATCTTCCATAATGATTATTTAGCTTACATCTCCTCCAACAGTGGATTATGGTACCTTTTCCCCCACATCCTTGCCAGCATCTATTTTTTGTTTTTTAAATTTTTGGATAATAGCCATTTTAACTAGGGTAAGGTAAAACCTCACTATGGTTTTTATTTTCCTGATGACTAGTGAATCTCAGCAATTTTTTATGTGTTGGTGGGCAATCTGCGTTTCACCTTTTGAAAAATGCCTTTCCATGTCTTCTGCCTGTTTCTTTTTAGTTTTATTTTTTTTTTTAACATGGTTTACATAGTTGAAAGGAATGCATGCCCAATGTGGGTCTCAGATTAACGTTGGGGAGGGTCGAGATATGGAGGAAGGTTGGTGGGATACATGCTTCAATTTGTTTTTTCTTTTTCTGTTGTATCTGTAAAGGTGGAGAAAGGGAGAGGGGGTCACTCCTCGCTGTCAAACTACATCAGCACCCAGGGATAGAGGATGGTCATATGATTCTGCCTTAGAGACCATGATATGGGGAAGAGTGTCCCAAGGGTGTTATTTGAGTGGATTTAATAGTTCTGAGACCTTTGTTGCTCCAGGGTGGAGAAAGCCTTTTCAAGGTCTGTTGGTTGACAAAGACCACTTTCTGCAAAGCTTGGTCAGAAGAGTTGCCCAGCCAGTTCTGCTTCAAATCCTCTGACAAGGCATTCAACATTCTCTACTGGCCTACATGAGCTACCAGCCATGTTCTCACATCTGTGTATGCTTTTTCATTTCATGGGCATCAGGAACTGAGGAGGCCCAGACCCAATATATGCACTCCAAGATTAAACCACATACATTGTGATTTTCCCTGTGGCTGGATTTGAGTCCAGCCATCTAGTTGGGGAATCCCCCAAGAAACATCCCAGGTCTGTTGGTTGACAAAGACCACTTCAGTGCAACTACAGACCCAGATACTTTCTGCAAAGCCTGGGATGATCTCAGACTTGACTCTTGTGTGTGTCAGCCAGTGTGGGCTCGGGTTCAATCCATCACCTGCATCAACCAACACACATACTGGTAGATGCTGCTGCCTGGTTAGGTCTATCCCCAGCCCTACCTCTCACTTGAATCAATGGGTACAGTGGTCTACCCTAGCCCAGCCAAGTTTGTTACAGGCGCAGTCCTCATGCACACCAGTGCGTGACCCCCAATAACAACCATGGGCACATGCCCAGTTTTCATGTGCTGGCAATTACTACAATCCAGCATGGCCTATCCCATGTCTCATCCAGCTTTCACATACACCAATTGATGCTGTGGGTTAGCATAGCCTGATCCATACTCAGACCCAGCAACATGTATGATGGTGGATGCTGTCACCTTATCCAGCCCAACCTATCCCCTGGCTCTCAAGCTCACCAGTAGGAGTAGCAGCCCTCAAGCAGAGTGCCCACTGTTCCCCTACCAGCTCCACTCCCAGTTCCAGATCCTGCAGTTGCCAGGGGGTACTGCAGTCTAGTCTTACATGACTCTCCATTCTCTAGCATGATGTATCTGTTCACTGCTGTGCTATTATACTGGCCATGCTTTTCCACAATGTTTCCCCACTTTCTGTAGAATTTCCACTGAAAATTTCCCTTCAACTCTTCCCCAGGAATGCATTCTCTCCACTTCGCTTTCCCTAGTCAAAATCAGCATGTCTTTCCCCTATCTCCATCTTGGTTCTTCTGGTTGACTCCTAATGAACATTTTAAGTAAGCAGGAGGCTCAAGTACTTGGGTCCCTACCACCATACTGGGAGATATTGAGTTCTGGGCCCTAGACATTGCAGGCATTTGTGGAGTGGACCACTAAATTCAAGATCTCTCTCTCTGCTTTTTCAAATAAAATGAAGACAGAAAGTTTTTCAAAATCATCACAGAAAAAGTATGAGTTTACTATCGGAAAAAAAAATCACTGGACTAATGGCTCAACTTAGAAATAAGTCCAAGCTTATTCTCTGTGTAAAATGGAACATCACCTCCAACTTTTACTTGGTTGTAGGAAATCTAGTAGGCTGATTTAAGTGAGCTCTTAATAAATATTAAGATAAAACATACTATAATATGCAAATTTCAATACTTACCAGAAAAAGGATTTTTGCCAATGATTAACACATTTGGCAATGACATCATGATCAACTGCTGCAAAGTCTCCTATAAAAACATATCCAATAGTAGCTGTTATGGGTAATGCATATTCATCAAGCTAAAATGTTCACTTTTCACTCTTCTTGTAGGCATGTTATACCGTAATGTTAAAAAGAAATATGAAAAATGTAGTCTACTACTTTTTAGCTTCACAGTCTTCTTCAGCACTTATCCATTTCCTGACACTGTCAACTTCCTAAAAAGACGACAGTAAGCTGTATATACTCTCTCCATGTGGTAACATGAATGATCCCGTTATTAATATAGTATGACTTTATGCTATGAAATATAAGTATCTGGATGATGCCAAATTGCTAAATTCAAATTAGGACCTCCATTTCAATTAAAATAGAGCTGACTCTAAATGTCTAATAGTGTGTAAGTTGGGGCTTACATTTTGACTTCGCAACTTATCATCTATATGCTTTTGGAGATGGCAGGAAGTGAAACAAAAGCATAAAGTTTCACAAACAGATAAGGTTATTAAACAAGAAAGAGAAGTTTTTTGCTTCTACTCTATTTTCAGGCATTATTTCTGAAAGTCTTGATACTGTACTGAGTAGAGTAACTGAATCCTATACAAATTTTTACAAAGCAAATTTTTCTATAATCTCCATTTGGTTCTTGGAGAGGCTCTTCAATGATACAATTCATATTTTTTGTAAAACTTAGTTTTATTTATCTATCTCAATCTCATATTTTAAAATGTATACAACATGAAAGAGATCAGAGACTAAAAATCAACTGCTATTGTTACAGAGTAATTACATCATTTCAGACTTCCCTCATCTCTAAAGATGTTCTTCACTAAGGATTAATTGAATTGAAAAAAGCACAGACATTACACCCAATACAAATATGACCATATTAAATAGGAGGAACACATTGACAAGTCAAGGATGATGATATATATAATCACATATAAATCAGCAAAGATACTTTAGTTTGCTAATCAAGTGATAAGATCCCTATTTTTTGATAAAGTGCATCAAGAAAGAATTAGCTAATACTTGAAAGAGAAGACTGTTTTAACAAAATAGGGGCAGTCACTCTCTCAACAAATATTTACCAGGTGTCTACTACTTGTCAGACACTGTTCTAGACACTGGAAATACAACAGTGAACAGATACTTGTTATTATGGAATTACATTTTAGTAGTAGTTAAAAAATATTTTTGATAAGTGTTAAAAATGTTTTTGATTATGTTTTTTATAAGGGTAAAAAAAAACAAGAAATAAAAAGAAGTATTGGTGTAGGTGGAGATGAAGACTTAAAATTTTCAGCATTTTCAGGACAGTTTAAATAAAATTTCACCAGTAGGTAAATGTTCTACTCTGGCATGAAGACAATTTAGAAAGTTTTAGAGGGCTAACATCATTAGCAAAAGTAGTAAGAAAGGATTTGGAGAGATGATGTACAGGAAAGTAAGAACAGATGTGCTCTGAAAGTTATTAGAGGTAATTTCATCATTACTCTCTTTGTTAGTTGTGTTTTGATTAACTTTTCCACAGAAACAGTACATTAAATATATATATATATACATATACATATATATGTATAACATATATAACTTTTTATTTATTTGGCAGTCAGAGTGGGAATTTCCATTCATTTATTTCATTCTCCAAGAGTCCATGATTAAATCAGAAGCCAGAAACTCAATCCAGTCCTCACTGGAGAGGCAGCACTATAATTACTTGAGCCATCACCACTTCTCTCAAGGTTTCCTTAGCTGGAAGTTGGAGCTGGGAGCCAGAGGCAAAATCTCAAACCTAGGTACTCTTACAGGGAATACTACTGAATGAACAGTTAAGCCAAATACCTGCCCCATGTTTTTAAACTGATCATCCAAATCTCTTTTTTACTGATATACAAGTTTATAGAAATTCAAGTTCATGCTGCTACTGCACTACAAGGAAAACTCACGTTACAGAGGGAGAAACACAGAGAGAGAGACACAGAAAGAGAGAGATCTCTTCAATTACTAGGTAATTCCCAAATAGTCAAACCAGCCAGGGTAGGACCAGGCTGATGGTAGGAGCCTATTATTCTGTAAGGGTCTCCCATGTGATGGCAGGGATCGAACCATTAAAGTCATTTCTACTGCTTTCCCAGGTGCATTAGCAGGGAGCTGGGTCAAAATTGGAACAACAAGACTTAAGCTAGTCTCTACATGAATGTCACTGTAGGCAGCAGTAACATTGTGCCACAATGCCAGTACCCATGGAACAGAGTTTAATAGGTAACAACTGGCAAGTCTCCAGGGTATAGACAGTTTAACAGGTGACAATATTGTGTTAATTTGAATGTTGTCGATTTAAAATCTGTATTTCACCAGGTCATGTCTAAAGCGGAAATACACATGGGAATAAAAAATCATTTCATAATTCACTATGTCAAAATGAACAACTATTTCTGAAGACAATTAGGAAGTGACTTAGAAACGTACACAATACAGGAATGCTCCTACTTCTGATCCTTTCCCCCAGAGTAACACCAAGATTTCCAGCAGAAGAGTTTCCCTGCTTAAACAACATGAAACCAAAAATGTAACAATCTTCTAATGATAAAATGATGAATCTTGTTCCAGGGAGTTACTCTCGTCTTTTGTTTAAAATATCTAGAAACACTAATTTAAAATAATAACAAAGGACCAAACAGATACAGCATAAAACCTAACTCATAAAAATAAACTGGAGAAAAATGAGAGCCTGAATACTGGGCAAGTATTAATAATGATTATTAAAACAAATTTTACACATTTCTGTTTTTGGCAAGTAGGAAGACTATAAGTGGAAAGGAACAATCTGAAAATTTTACCTAGGTTTTTAAAAAAGTATTTATTTATCTTTATTTGGAAAGCAGATTTAAAGAGAAAGAAAAGTAAGAAATATATAGAGATCTTCTATGAGCGGGTTCACTTCCCCAGTGGTCACAACAGAGCTAGGCCAGAAGCCAGGATCTTCCTCCAGGTATCCCACTCGGATGCAGTGGCCCAACAACTTGAGCTATCTTCCACTGTGCTTCCCAGACATAAAAAGGGAGCTGGATTGGAACTGGAGCATCCAGGACTGCAACTGGTGTCCATTTAGAGTGCTGGCACCGCAGGCACAGGTTTAGCCAATTATGCCACAGCATTGCCACTGCCACCTAGTTATCTAAAAAAATGTTTTAAAGTATATCATTGAGCTAAAAAAAAAAATCCTCAATTAAAAGACTAAAAGACAAAAGTTAACTTTGCAAGAGAAGACAAGGCAGAAACTGATTCTCCTGACCTTTAGTAGGGATTTCCCAAGAACCTGCAAAACTGTGGTCTTGCTTCAAGAAAACAATGTAAACACACATGGATACACACAACCCCACATAATGCACTAATACACAAATACAGGGTGAAAAAAAGAGGTCCAGAAATCTCAATATACTGATTAAAATAGTGGTCCTCCCTGGAACTGTATTTTCTCTTTTTTCTAATTTTATTCAGTATATCAGTATGGTTTCTAAAATAACATCAAAAGCTTAAACGAATTAAACTTTAACAAAGGCTGGTTGCACAAAAGGAAACAAGTCTCTCTGGAGCAATGCATTCTTTTTCCCATATGCCACAGAATTTCTAAACAATGTTTCCTTTAGGAATTACCTCACCCAGACCCTATGGAATTGTACCATAAAACTCAAAAATTCAAAATATTAAAAAAAACGAGCTTACAATTAAAAAACACAAATGTCACTTCCAGAGTCACCAACGTCCCACTACCACCACAAGAAAAACAGAGAAAACAAAGTGAAGACAAGATCACATGGACCTCAGATTTGAGAATTACTGAACATAAAATCTATGTTAAATTTAAATCTTAAATCTAAATTTAAGTCTTAAATCTAAATTTAAATTTCTTATAAAAAAGGAATTAAAAGAATGAACAAAATTAAAAGGCATATACAAGAAGAATCAAAGAGAACTTGCAAAAATGAAAAATGTAACCAATGGATTAAATATGATTTGGTTTGACATAGATAAGGACCAAATTAGTAAAACTACAGAACTCTAAAAAATTTACTCAGAATACAGAAGACTTGACAGTATTTTAAAAATTTTAATAAATACAGAAGATAGAGTAACATGGAAGTTAACAGAAGGATATCATCAATAGGAAAGAGGCAACGCTGACAAAAATGCTATTAACAGCAGTTTAAGGGAGGCTTTGGCCTGGCCCAGCCCAGACAGCGCAGCCATTTGGGGAGTGAACCAGCGGATGAAAGACCTTTTCTCCTTTGTGAAATTCTTTCAAAAAAATAAAATCTTTAAAAAAAAAAAAGTCAAGATTGGCATTGTGGCATAATTGGTTAAGTCTTCATTTGCTTCATTCGCTACAAGCAGATTTGAGCCTGCACCTAGGAGGGGAGTAGCAGATGGCCAAGTGCCTGCGGTCCTCCTGCCACCCACGTGGGAGGTCAAGAGGGAGTTCTCCGCTCTTGGCTTCAGCTGACCCAGCCACGGATATTACAGCCATTTTTAGAGTGAGCCAAAAGTCAGGAGAATCGCTTCTGTTTCCATTTCTCATTTCTGATGCTCTTTCAAATAAATGAATAAATAAAATCTTTTTTTAAAAAAAGCCCAGAAAGCATAGATAGGATTTTTCATTTTAAGTTTTTTTGCTAGACTGATAACTGACTTCTTCAGGGCAAAAAGAAATCCAGAGAAAGAATAAAACCTGCCAAACATCTCGAATTGCATACTGAACAAAATTATCTGTCCAGAGTAAGTAAGGACGAAATAAAGGTGTTTTCAGACAAATTAGCAGTAAGAAATTTTCTTATAGCCCTCTCTAAAGAAAAATTTGAAGGATATACCTCAGTAAAAATGTGATATAAAAAAAGAAACATAAGAAAACACAGGAGAGAAAAATAAAACATAGCTTGAAATAAAGAAACTTTACATGAAAAGAATTTTCAATATCTAAGTTGTTACGTTACAAATACAAATAGATTTATTTTCACACAAATCACCTTCTTTGACATAAAGCAAAAATCCTAGGCATTTGAAACATAGTCTGTTTGGAAATTTAAAATCATGAAGCAGTAAAATAACTCATAGCAGAAAATATAAAAATGCAGAAAGAAAAAAACCCACAATCTTGATAATTTAGCCTAGCAGTTAAAAGAAACATTGCACATCAGAGTATCTTGTTTCTTTTCTTTTTTTTTTTTTCAGAATACCTTGTTTCAATACTCAACTCTAGCTTCTGACCCCAGCTTCCGGCAGGGAACAGTAATAGCTCACATAAATGTTTCTTCCCTTCCAGTAGGTGACCTGGACTGAGTTCCTAGCTCTTAGCTTCAGCCTGGCCTAGCCCCAACTGCTGTGGACACCTGGGGAGTGAGCTGGTATCTTGGTGTTCTGTCTCACAAATCCATAAAACTTAGTAATAAATATATACTATACAAAAATCTGTACAATGAAACCACAGTAATTCTCACAGGTATACTAAATGGTGACATTTAAAAAGTGAAATATGGGGACAGGTATTTGGAAGAGTGGTTGTGATGCCAGTTAGAACACTTGCAACTCAGAACTCTTGAGTTTAGTTACAGCTCAACTCTTAATTCCAGCTTCCAGCTAGTGCATACCCCAGGAGGCAGCAGGCAATGGCCCGGGTGGTTTGGCCTCTGTCACCCAAGTGGGAGACCCAGAGTGAGTTCCCAGCTCCTAGCTTTGGGCTGGCTCAGCCCTACTCTGGCAATTGTAGGCATCTGGGGAGTGGATAAGAAGATGGCAGACCCTGCCTATTTGCTTTTCAAATAAATCAGTTAAGAAAATTAAAGTAAAATTGTACATAAATTATATCTAATTTTTAAAAATGTTTAAAACTATATTTATATTTAAAATATATGTATTATATTAAAAACTATATATATATTTATTTCAAGAATTATTTATTTTTATTGGAAAGGCAGATTTACAGAGAGAAGGAGAGGTAGAGAGAAATCTTCCATCTGCAGGCTCACTCCCCAAATGGCTGCAATGCCCCAGCCAATTCAAAGCTAGGAGCTAGAGTCTCCCACATGGGTGCAGGGGCCGCAAGGACTTGAAGCATCCTCCACTACTTTCCCAGGTCATAAGCAGGGAGCTGGAACAGGAGTGGAGTAGCCAGGACACGAATAGATACCCACATGGAATGCTGCTGCTCATAGAGACAGAGAACTAGCCAACTGAGCCATTGTGCCAGTTGCAGTTATATTTAAAGTTTTAACAAAAGGCAATAAATACATTTTTTCAAAGCTATAATCAAGTGGGCTAATAAAGTATTACACCATGCAATTTTCCAGGAAAGTGAGAACTAGTTATAAAAATATATAAAATACAGTAATCATTTTTAATATTAGATAATTATGAAGTCTTGCTTATATTTTAATATTTATAAGTAACACACTATTTGCTACTTTATGTCCAGCAAACAGAGCGTGGCATATAATTAGCATTTAATATTTGTTATATGACAGATAATCAAATAATATAAAAATGTGAACATATAAATAGCTATTAAATTACCAGATGAAAAGAGGGATCACTTACCTGATAATAAAATTTTATCTGTCTCACCAAAATAGACAGATTATGAATTCTAAGTGAGGCATCATTGTTGACTTTTTTATTTACTCTTTGACTCTCCAATTTAGGATTTCTGCAAGATATTAAAAAAATTATTTAAAATTACCTTGAAATTAATTTGTCAATCTAGGGATAGCCAAAAATAATCACATAATAGCTGTTTTCCTTAAATAAATTTTATATTCAGCTTGATTAACACAAAAGATCCAAAACGACAGATGATTATTTTGACATGTTTCTGTGTTTTTAAATTAATATAAAAGTAATTGATATTCCCAGAGTGGTGACCCCAAAACCTGGTCAGATGTTATTCTTATCCTTCATTCTTATTTTCTCTCTCTGCATTTCTGGTATGAGTTACCTCCTATTACTTTTGAATACTTATACATATTCCATCATCCAAAATAAAATATGGGGCCCTGCAGAATTGCCTAAGTGGCTAAACCCTCACCTTGTATATGGGTGCTAATTTGTGTCCCAGAAGCTCCATTTCCCATCCAGCTCCTTACTTTTGGCCTGGGAAAGCAGTACAGGATGGCCCAAAGCCCTGGGACCCTGCACCTGCCATCTGACACCAGGAGGATGCTCCTGGCTCGTGGCTTCAGATTGGGTCACCTCCAGACACTGAGGCCACTTAGGGAGCAAACTACCAGATGGATTTTTCTCTCTGTCTCTGTGTAAATATTCCTTTCAATAAAAACAAATAAATCTTTTTAAAAAATCATTTAAAATACAGGCTAACAATCAACAAATTTCATTTCTCCTCAGTAGGTAATGATGATTATGTCTGAGCAGACAACACTGCAGAGAAATTAAAAAATGAAGTAAATAACATAAGTCACCTTTTTATTCATTTATCTATTTAGTTTTATTGTTAAGGCAGACTTACAGAGAGAAGGAGATAACAGAGACAAAGATCGTCCATTTGCTGATTCACTCCCAAAGTGGTCACAATGGCTGCAGCCCAGCCGTGACTCAATCCGATGCCAGGAGCCAGGAATGTCTTCCAGGTCTCCCGTGTTGGTGCAGGGTTCCAAGGTTTTGGGCTTTTGAGACTGCTGCCTCAGGCCACAAGCAGGGAGCTGGAAGGGAAGTGGAGCAGCCAGGACATGAACTGGTGCCCATACAGATCCCGGTGCATGCTAGGTGAGAACTTTAGCTACTAAGGCTACTGCGCTGAGCCCACCAGTTTCTACTTTTATCTTGGGTAGGCTTGTAAATTCAAGGAAAGCAAATAGCCAAACGATTCTCAACTAACACTAAACAAGGAAGAAAAACAGCTAAAGTATATTCAAGAATGAGAAATTTAAATGAAAGTCATGGCATCAAAAGAAAGTTATTCTGAGGTCAGGAGCCAGAGTTCTGAGTTCAATCACCTCTTGCAACACTAACATACCATTTCAAAGGGACAGTTCCAGCCTCAGCTGTCTCACTTTTGATCCAGATTCCTGCTAACCTACATGGGAAACCACCATTTGGCCCAAGTATGCTTGTCACTCAAGTCAGAGACCCAGATGCAATCCCTGGCTCTTGGTTTCAGGCAGGCCCACCACAGATTGTTTCAAGTGCCTGGGTGTGCAGTGAACCTGCTGTAAGATCTTTTTTTCTTTCCCTCTCCATGTCGTTATGCATTTTAAACAAACAACTCTTTAAAATTAGAACTTTGAGCATACACAGGTATGAGCTTTTTCCAAATTAGGACAACGCAATCTCACTAGTAATGCACAAAGACACTACCAAATGAAATAGCAGGGACTGAATTAGTATGGATACCCTGGTGAAAGGACTAAGTCCAAAATATCCAAAACTAGAAACCTAGATAGTTCCTTGGATAGGACACTGTCCCATGGTCATAAAATTTAGATATAGGCACTTCCAGATAAGGATGCAAAGAAATCAAGAAATTGAAATCTATTCAATAATGAAAAACAGCTGAAAACAAACTCTCACTCTAAACCATCTTCCTTTTGCATGGACCATCACATTACTTATGCCTTCAATTCCTTCCTTAGATTATCTGATTCTATGGTGCTTTATTTCAGTTCTCAAACATTTGGGCCTTGATATTCCTCTTTTATTATTATTACTATTATTATAATGATATTTACTTATTTAAATTACTTTCCATGATACAGTTTTGTGAGTATGGGGATTTCCCTTTTTCATTCCCCTTATTTCCCCACCCTACCCGTTTTCCATTTCCCTCCCCATGTCATTATAAGCAGTAGCAGTATACTCCCCTAGCAATAGCTACAAGTTCAATCTGAGCACCATGGCATTGTAGGCACAGACAAGGAAGAAAATCTATCATATTACTGAAGTGTATTTAACTGTTTCACTGGAAGTCCTCCCCTTATTCAGGAATAGAAATGACCATCTTAACTGATACTTGCACACCACTTTCGTTCCTGAGTGTCTATTAAGTTAAAACTGACAAAATTTTGAAGTTACTTATTTCTAACTCATCAAAAATAACAATAAGTCTACATATGGTAATAAATGCTAAACAAAAGAATTTAGTAAGCACAATGGCATTTTCTTCTTTGCAAATATCTAAAGAATCTATTTTAATTTTTAAAAACATTGGTTCTCATCTTTGTTTCTGTATTCAATCTATTACTTGTTTTACTGTGGCTCAAGTATATGCAGAAACTTCAAGTCCACACAGAACACAGAGCTGGGTGAGTCCTCTGGACTCATTCTTGAGGGCGACTGCTTTACAGCAACCATGCTCCTGCCTGCATTTCCAGGATGATTCTTTCATCCCCAAACCTGGGCAATTTCTTTTTTTGTTTATTTTCTTTTTTTTTTAAAGATTTATTTTTATTATTTTTTTATTGGAAAGGCGGATGTACAGAGAGGAAGATCTTCCGTCCGATGATTCACTCCCCAAGTGAGCGCAACGGGTTGATACTATGCTGGTCCGAAGCCAGGAGCTTCTTTCAGATCTCCCACGCGGGTGCAGGGTCCCAAAGCTTTGGGTCGTCCTCGACTGCTTTCCCGGGCCACAGGCAGGGAGCTGGAAGGGAAGCGGGGCTGCCAGGATTAGAACCGGCGCCCATATGGGATCCCGGGCATGCAAGGTGAGGACCTTTAACCACTTGTGCCACCGCGCCGGGTCCTTTTTTTGTTTATTTTCAAAAGATCTGTATTAGATCCATTTTCCCAAACGGGAAAAAAAAAAAACATGCATTACATAAGGTAATCAAATATCTGGGTGAACAAAATTTTATCTAATTCCTGGATTCCATCTTCCATTTGTTAAATAGAAACTTTTTGTTTCTGTGACATGCAATTGGTTGCTCACAATTCCCATTTTTTTATATTATTTTTTATTGATTACATTGTATTATGTAACACTGTCTCATAGGCTCTGGGATTCCCCCAACCCCTCCCTAAACCCTCCCCCCATGGTGGATTTCTCCACCTTGTTCCTGTATTACAGTTCAAATTCAGTCAAGATTCTTTCATTGCAAGAGTATACCAAGCATAGAGTCCAGCATCTTATTGTCCAGATAAATCCAACAGTTTCTTGGGGAGACCATCTCTGGTCTGAAGGCAGAGCTGGCAGAATATCATCCTGATCAATTAAAAGTCACAACATAACATCAACATTATGAAATTAATTGACATGGTATTGAGTAACAAATATGTTAAAAATGCAAAAATGCAAGTTCTTAACCACATTCTGTGGCTTCATTGACATTTCAATTTTAATTTATACATAGAACATATACATATACACCTTAAACTGGTTATAGGGTACTATTCAGCTGTCTTGTGACTATTTTCATTTTAGCATTCAGCAGTTTATAGAGCTGAAGCTTAATTTTGCTGAACTTGGCAGATTTTGGGATAGTCTAAACTGGCTTATAACTCTAACAAGGCATATGTCAACAGTTGAAGTGCAGAACAGTTTTAGGAGGGGTGTGCAGAGAAATCTTCAATACCTTAGGTGAGGAACAACTGTGTCCTACCTAGTAAGGCATGTCTGAGTCCACGCTGACCGTTTCCTATCTGGTTCCAAGCTTTCCTTGTTGTTCTCTGTCTATTCCAATTTGAATGTGTGCATGCATGCGTGCGTGTGTGTGTGTGTGTATGTGTGTTTTGGGGTGGGAGGTTCCGGAGCGACCCTGATGGTCATTGCAGAGAGGGTGGGGATCCATAGTTGGAACTAAGTGAGGACCAGAGAAAGCTCCTCTCCCTAGTCCTGAAGGAAGCTTACTGCTCTGTTTCTGTGGACTGCTCAGGGCTCCTGGTTGTTGTTCCAATGACCTTGGATCCTTCAAGGAAGAGTTTGGACTTCTTCCATCCCCAGCTGGGATGTAGTCCTTGGTGCCCGTACTGATAGTCCTTGGTGAGGATCTGGGAGCCCCAAGGGTTGGGATACAAGCCTCCTCCTGTCCAGCTGTTCCACCCTGGAGTCCCCCCCTGCTCTGTGCATATGACCTCCTGTTAAGAGGTTGTCAGGATCACTCTTTGTAGTTTTACTATTGTCTAATGCTGATTCAAGTCTGTTGTCTATAAGTTATCTCTTATGTTCCTGAAAAAAACCTGGGCCCTTTCATTCTCTTATTTTTTAATATTATCTTTCCTCCCCTCTCTCTAAAAATTTACTTATTTTACTGCAAAGTTAGAGTTACTGGGAGTGGGGGAAGGGGAAGAGAAGGAAAGAGAGATCTTCCATTCACTGGTTCACTCTCCAAATGGCTGCAACAGCCAGAGTGGGGCCTGTTCAAGATTGGCAACTAGGAGCCTTGGTCTCCCACTGCTTTGGGCCATCCTCAATGCTTCCCAGGTTATAAGTAGGGAGCTGGATCAGAAGTGGAGCAGCTGCTGTTCATATGGGACACCAGCACTACAGTCAGAAGATTGGCCACCATGCCACCACCTTTTTGTCCTTTGATCACACAGTGTTCATCTCAAACTGTGGGTCAGTTTAATCACCTACAGTGAGACTGTTCACAAATAAATAATGTCATAAAGTTGAACAACCAAACCAAGCTAAAATACGAAGTAGCTACTTTGAGGAGAAAGGAAGGGAAACTCGTTCTCTTGTCAAAAAGAGCTAGA